TAGCAGAATCCATTGCAAGCACATAAAGAAACAAAGTATACAAAGTATTACATATAAAATTACAAGGAATATTGAACACAACCACAGTACGAAAGCCTACTCCAGTTCTCTCCACGGCCTGTCAAAGTTTGCATCGTCGTCGTTATCATCATCTTCGTTGCCCGTGCCAATCTGCACATTCTCTGCCACGACCTCCTCAATCCTCCGAGCAAGAAGATTCATATTCGTCATTGCAGCCGCTCGAATGTGTTGATCGTATTCGCCACTCTCATCCACTGTTTCTGTTGTGTCCCATGTCGGTCCAGGACCAGCCCACCCACCGTTCAAGTGTACATAATTCAGGAACAACCGCCAGAGGGGATCTAGGGACAAGACGTTTGGGTCTCCGACCACAATCAGCAGAGCCTGTGCTCGAGTCACAGCAACTGAGAGCGATGTGAGTATTATTTTCACCAAAAACAATGGTCCACTGACCATTGAAGCGCCTCGGGTTCGCAACGAAGCCAAGGGTGTATTTGAGATCAAACTCAACGAAATCTCGGCTACTCCTGACCGTTGATATGATGATGATTCGTCGTTCCTAGTAACTAGAATTGGTCACAGAGCGACACAGACTTCTAAATTTGCCCACCTGACCCTGGAATTCTTCTACACTGCCGACTTTGACCTCGTCAGCCACGCCACTGAGCATCTTGCGAATCTTGACACATTGAGCGTGATAGGGAGCGATCACGCCAATCTCACTGTGAGCTGTCGTATCGTTTGTAAATTGTGAACAACAATGAGTGCGTGTATTCACTTACCCACTCTGATCTGTCGATCATCTCGGAGGAGTTGAATGTATTTGCGAACTTGAGTAACCTCATCAATGTTGAAAAACGAGGGTGACGAAGCCTCGCGGTCATCCTTCCCAGATATCGAGTGGAAGATAATCGGGAATTTCTTTGAAGGCAGCTTCTTCCAGCCTTCAAAAGCGCGTATGATGTTCTTGTTGCCACAGGACTCAAGATCATTCGCGTAGAATCGCTCATTGGGAAACTTCAGAATTGCGGGATGCGACCGGAAGTTCTTCACAAGCTTGACGACGCTGCTCATAGATTAGTGAGCTGAACGAATTCGAAGGAAATACACGAGCTATGATCACCTCAGGCCGTGGCCACTTTGAGCTTCGTATGCATCCATCGACATCAGACGTTCGAGGTAGCTTTTCTCCAGCCCAAGCTCCCTTGCAATGTTAGAACGGATGATAGGTCCTAACTGCTTCGGATCTCCTGCCAAGACGATGTTCGTCGCATTGTCAGCCATCGTTTTGATGCCGATCATCACTTCAGGCTCAGTCGCTTGACCAGCTTCATCGACGAAAATATGCGTGAAATGTCCGCGGGGGATGCCAATACCGTACGGGATAGATGCAGAGACGCATGTGCACACAATAACTTTGAAGCGCTTGAGGATGGGGATGGGCGGGACAGAGAAGCAACTCTTGTCTTCCCCTTCCAGTCTCTTTGTGAGTGTGTAGCGCTGCAACTCATCTGGAACTTGGTCGAGGTGTCTTGAGGGTGCGTAAAGTCTGAAAAGTTCGTCGGGTCCGAGGGTGGACGCCAGCCGGGATGCAATGATGTCAGCAGCAGAGTTGCTGGGTGCGGTAGCAAGAATACGTGTGTTTGGTTTATGCTTGAGTAGTTGTTTCATGGCTTCCACTATCGTTATAGTCTTGCCAGTGCCCGGGGGACCAAAAACGGCAAACGGTGCTGAACCTTGTTGCTGAAGAAGGATAGATGTGACAGCTTGAAGCTGAGGTGGGTTCGTGGCAATCAACGGATTAAATGGCACAATAGGGCCTACGCCAGGACGAGAGGCAAGCGGTAAAATGTGCGCCTTTTGAGGGAACAAAAACTTATCAGATGCAAATGCAGTGTCCAGCGCTTGGTGTTGACGGCGCATAGGAATACGGTTGAGCTTGAATCGTACGTTATACCGCTGTTGCTGAGACCAGCCATGGAACGACCCGTCGAATCGTAACCCGACAGACGCCTGTCGAATGAAATGGACATGGCCTTCGTACCAATGGCCTTCGACAGCCCCATGCTTTTGGACAAGAAAACGATCCCCTGAGAGCATGATGAATGATAGCAAGAACAAAATAAGGAAACATCCAAACCAATCAAAACACTTGGGCGTTTTTCCGCTAGCCCGGGAACAGGCAAACTACAACACGATAAGCTCAAATCCTTGCGAAATATCAGTGTGCTCACTGATAATACAGTCCATGACGTTCTAGCTGAGCGTCCAAAATATCATAGCGTTCCAAATCGCGCCTTGAACACTCATAAGGATAGAGATAAATCAGTATACAACACTACTCACTCCATTCGGTGCTCCTCCACCCAAAGCAGTGTCTTAAAGTAGCGCGAATACGTTGAAGAATCGAAGACCTTCGGGAGGAAGACTCTCCTGACGTGGTCCAGTGCCTTCCCAGATGATGTTTCCGATAATGCAGCTAAGAGTGACTCCGATGGCTGCGCCCTAGGCAACTTTATAGTGTACGGGATGATGTTTTTGGAAGGTGGAGGGACACCCGACACTACTTGCGTCTCAGGCTGCGCACGGGTGCGCCGGCGAGGTTGGAAGGGAGCAATTGGTTTCAATAACTCATAATCGGCTTGGCTGCCCACAATGGCCTTCAGCGGCCTAGCGATGACGAAGGTTACACGCAGCGCTGTGTCTTCGAAGAGGATTTCAAGACGATCGTCCATGCGCCCAGAGTGAGGTGTTGAAAACCGTACAACAATAGCAGTCGGACGGCGATATGCCAATACTGCCCCCTCCGCTGTGGTCGTAACAACAAAGCTACCAACAAAGTCATTAGCTTGGGTGACCAAACCAACAAAAGAGGAAAAGAGCTCACGCGGATTGCCCACCCACAAATGAGGAGGACAAAGATACCTTCTTAATGGTAACTCGTGATGAGGGCACCGTGGACTCTATTGTCAAAGTTCGTAATGCTCCCCGCGCAGCATCAGCATCTTCCATAATTCCAAAATCTAGTCCTTCCGAGAGAACAATGCCATGCTTGTCCTTCTCAGCTTCCTCGAGGGCAGTTTTAAACGCAGTGTAACCCTCCTTCCTGCGATGTTCGAGGGATCGAGGATGAGAAGGCCACAAGCCTTCTGGGATCTGTTTGTCGCAGACACCACAGAATACCTTGCCGGGGAGCGCCTCAGGAATAGCAGGAGCTACCTCAGGCAACACGCCTTCATTCTCCGCTTTTTTGCGGTGTCGTTTTCCTTGAACATGTTGAACCCAAGACTTGTGACCGGAAACGGAAGTGCCACAAATTGGGCAGCGGTATTGGCCTCCATCATGGCCAGCCAATTTACGGCGATGTTTTTTTACTGGCTAGATGCGCTTCGTACCACTTAGTGGACGCGCAGAAAACACCACATAACTCGCAGAGGTGGACGTCATGGTACCCTGTGCACAGGGGATCAGTGCAAGCGCCATGGGCTTCCAACTGCGGGCAAATTATGACCATAGCAAATGAGCGATAGGTCCCAGGACAAGAAGAGAGAGCACTCCAAAAGTACTTATTCCTCGTCCGCTGGATAGCTTTCTTGTATCCTCTCGTATCGGAGCAACGTGTCTAACACGAGGCCAAGTAGTGCAAATTAGGATGCTTCGATTCTTCAGACCTCCAGATTAGATTACGACCGACTCCAAGCAACTCGGAGCTTAAATCGACAACAAAGATACTGAGAGAACAAGGGTTTTCTGAGTAAGCGTTTAGAACAGAGTGTAGCAAAGTTTCACGAGTCGGAATAGGTCGGAAATTCGGAATGATACCGAGTCCAATGAGAGTGCGATGGTTTCAGAGCTAGGCAAAGAATGCGTTGAAACTACTCTCTTATACACTCCCGGGCCAAGGAAAGGTGTAACAACAAAGAACCGAACGGACAAAGGCGTCGCAACCAAGACTGTCACAGAGGCGAAGAAGCTTGACCTTTGAAATTGTGGAGACGGCAACGAGTGTGATATATAGAAGATAATTGTGAACAAAGGAGTGAATCATGATCACGGTTCCGAAGAGAAATCAAACTGTCGTCATATCCTAGTCACCCAGTGATCAACAAGTTGAAGATACCTTTGATGTATTATGGCTAACAGCGGAGGCGCAAATAAAGTTCGAGAGAACTTCTTACGTAAGGCGTTGCATTTAGCTTCGGTCATAGTACGGTCAAGGACGCGGTTACCGGTGGGCGATCAATCGACATCGATGAAGCTGGTACTTAGCTTTCTCCTGCTGTTCTTCGTGACATCACACTGCAAACATAACTTTTTCAGACTAGTTTGGCGGGTGGATAACCCTCATGAAAGGCAGTTGTTTTCGTCAAATTCCTCACTCTTTTGTCGTCGCAAAATTTCTTCCTCAGCGTTCGGCCACTTGGACATCGTACTAGTATGGCCTCGAAAAAGCCGCGTCCTTAAAATCGCTCCCTTTCCTAGCGCTGCGTGTTTCACGAACTGAACATTGGGATGCAAAACTTTGACCGTCAAGGACAATTTCTGTTTGCTATTTCCTCCAAGAAGCCAACGGGAGTGAATGATGGGTACTACTTTACCCTTCGATCGTCGCTATACAAAGATAAGAAAATGTTACGCGTTGAACCTCCTTTGCGTCCAGGGGACCGTACTCTCTACATCCATACATTTCTGAAGCTTCTCGAAGACACGGAATTCAAGCTCTCGCCAGAAACTGTGCCTCATATCTCGAATCGACTTGACGAATCTAGTTACCTCACCTTCTGTCGTTCGGTCATGGAAGTTTATGAGACATTTGTTCAAAAAAAAGTGCAAAGGATGCACAGTCTTCTGGTGGAAGCGATCCAGTAGAGGATGGGTGGGGATTCGTGGAGTGGCGAGTCACAGGGGGAGTATCTGAATAGACGATCTGGTTATGTCTTTGAATATTTGGAACCACAAAGTTTCAACCTGTCTGCCGCCACAGTTGAACCGACATCCATACGCCAAGATTTGCTGCTGTATAACCAGTAGGTTGTCCCTGCTTGTTGGTTTCGTTACTAGCTCTCACATATGTCAGGCTTGCTGCAGACTACTCATGGATGGGGGGTCACTGCTGCCGTGAAGTGGGCTATGAAGTCGAGAGCCGTAAGTCACAAAAGTATAGTGTAATGGCCATGATTTCTGACGAAAAGTTGGATTTTACAGTCTTTTCGTGCGCATGGGGTCCAACAAAACGGCCATCTTGTGCCAGGTTCTTTGTTTGTTAGAAAGTTACTGACATTCAATGAAAGTCTCCAGGCACATGCTCTAACCCTCTGGTCAACGAGGATCCCCTTTGACGGAGATCCCCCTGTTGTTGACAGTACTACTTCGCAAACGGAAGAAGAAGTATTCGATTGGGATGATGAGCCTTGTGTCGACCTCGACTTCGTTCCGGACTACGTGCCTTCTATCTCCGCACTGTCCGCTAGTGTTATTGCCTTTGATCTCTTTGGTACCATCCTTGTAAGTTTAATATTCATCCATCACAACACTTGAGTTGCTCACCTGCAACCAGGATCGTGACGGTGCTGTGGATGAAGCTATGCGTTTGTTATCCCCACGCATCCTGACAGACGCTGACTGTCTGAAGTGTATCTCGAATGCAAACTTATGAGACACAGAGACAACCCTGACGCACTCTACACTGACATTGTGCGGCATGCATTGGAGGATGTCTGCACGTTTCTAGGAGCGCTGCTAAGTGAAGTTTTACTCCGCGAAGCTGTCCAGACTATCCTGCAACCTGGTTTATATGCCGACGCAAGAGTAGCTGTGAGGACGCTCCTGGATCAGGGCTATACAGTGGTTGGCCTTCCAATCCCAGGTGCTCAGTCATTTTCGCTTCCTCAACTTCCATCCGGTCTTTACTGTGGGCGATCAACCTGCACCCCTCTCGGATCTTTTTGCTCAAAACCCCTCTACATTTTTGGACCTCTTGGAGCGCTGTCGCTTGGCATGCGATGCCGTTGAAAGGACCCAGGTTCTTGTAGTGACGTCCAGCCGTTAACCGAGTGATGGAACCAGCAAGTGTGGCAGTTTTCCCACTGTTTTGGTTCAATGTCCTGGATGCCTAGAATCAGAGTGAAGCTCGGCACAAGCGACCCGACCCTAGCCGTCGACGGACTACAAGCTTTGCAAATGCGACTACAAACATCGTCTTGCTCTTCATTCTTCACCAGTGGAGCGCACTCCGAGTCGCGTCAGGGAATTCCGCGTTTGCGGGTATGTATCAGGTAACAAACTCGCTTGGAATGGGAAGCTTTGGTAAGTTCACATGCACCCCTCTTTTCTGTATTAAACTGGCTGATGCGCTTTGTCAAGACAGGAAAACGTGTCGAGCGCGTTTCATGTTCTCACCGGCTCAGAGGTTGCAGTCAAAATGGAGATCCCAGCCGATGCACCGACCCGCGCCCGTTGTACTGCCTTACGAAGCTCTGGTGTACGGTCTGCTGCGTGGATACCCAGGTATACCATCATGCAAATGGAGTGGTATGAAAGGAGGAGCACATTTCTGGTTCTCGACCGAGTGGGTGCGAATCTTAAACAGCTCCGAAGAGTATGCAGAGGCGACCTCTCTTTGAAGACAGTAGCTATTGCTCGGCTGTCGAAATGGTAGGTGTGCTGATCAGCGCTGTGAGTCAGTACTAATTTGTGTGCGTTTTACCAGTTGGATAGAGTTGAATTCGTGCATTCACTAGGACTTGTCCTGCGGGACATCAGCCCAAAACTTCGCGATGGGCATTGGGGAGAAAGTCTAATATGGTCTATCTGTTCGACTTTGGTTTAGGCGAAACTTTACGTCGACCATCTACAGGAACACATATACCGTTCCATGAAGGCCGCGTTGGACTTGGAACTCCATGATATGCAAGCTATAACGTGCATTTTGGACGAGGTTCGTAAAGACCAGTCCCATTTTCCACTCAGGGCTAACGAGCGAGGAGCAGAACAGGGACGGCGAGATGACCTTGAAGCAGGGGGCAACGTCCTGTTATATCTCTTGCATGGACGCCTGCCTTGGCAAGGCATCTATGCACCAAGCATCGAGGCCAAACTCCTTCGAATAGGGGAGATGAGAGCTGGTTTGCCATTCCGTGACCTGCTTGTGCGCTCGCCCGTGGAGTTCACTACCTATTTTGATCACTGTCGTGGTTTGAAATTCGACGAAAAGCTGAACTACGCATTGCTAAGACAGCTGTTCAGTCAGATAATGGTCAGGGAAGGGTGGACGGAAAACACTGGGTTTGACTGGGAGGATGCAAGTCCCCGCAAAGGTATGCTGTTGCCTGACGAGTATAAATTAGATGTCCGGTTCACAGAAGACGATGTGTCCACGCTACAGTACGTGGGCCCTTATATGTATTACGCGCAACGTGATTGAATAAATACTATGCTCACCTCTCCCTACCTCGAGATGGATGTCTTAGATTATTTAGAAATGATGCACCGCACACCTTGCAATAAAGCCGAATGTTTCCTTTGGTGGCCTTGCCACTGCATCGCTAGTCATTGGGTCGGTAAGTATTTTGTCTCCAGAAAGGTTCACTACTGAGTCTAGACTCTACTTGGACCCATATACTTACATGATTTATGCTGTTGTCCTACCTCACGCAAGAAGGATTAAGATTAAATGCAAAAATTACTAGGGATAATTTTCTAAGTATGTACGCACTGGTGCCGTGCCTCGGGGTATACACCTCAGATTGTGTTGTAGCCCTCATACAGCCTCAGCGAACCAACAGCATTGTGACCGTGATCCACGGTAGTAAAGCCTCATCCATAGGACACTCCTTTGGCCGTCGGCTCTTCCAATGCGACCGAGGATGACTTGAAAGCTAAAGGTGGGGAAGTTGCATCATTTTCCTGACTGTCAGACCCACTCCGAATCTGTCCTTAGCTTTCTTCTGGCCTCCGGCCCCATTAACTTTTTTCGTTTGGTGGCAAATATCGACAATTTTGGTCAGTCTATCGAAAATCTAGGTTAGCACGTACGCACATCGGGGATATATCTCATGCTTCAGAGACGACGCTTGCCGCAGAAGCGTGAAGGTGAATTCCTTTTCATGGACCACATCAAAAGGAGATTCCCGCTAGTGTTGCGGGCAGAGCTCTACCATTCCGGCGCCACGTGGCAGAGCAGAAATGGCACTGCCAGGCAGATAGCAAAACCTCCCGGGCAAAATGTGGCAGAACTCCAAGACATGCAGAACCACGGGAGTAGTATAGGATGTATATATCAAGTTGCCTCGGACTAAGATGCGGACGGGAACGACATCTTGAAAGGGCTGGGGAGAAGATTCGACTTTACGGAACTGCAGTGTGTCGCCTATAGCAGAGGATGGGAATATCATGGTCACGGATTATGATACAAACGATGATGGGATTTGGAACATTGACTTGCTTATTATCTAGTGGTCTTCCATCCATTACAGCACGTAGATCTAACACTTCTAGTACCATCCAAAGAAATCTGCGATTCTGCCATCCGCCAGGTTCTGCCAGTTCTGCCGGCAGAATTACTTCAAAATAGTTCTGCCCACAATACAGTTGAAAGTCTGGAGTCTGGTACCTACTGGCACTCAGCTGGCTCTTGATATAGCCTCGACCCTTGTGTAAGTCCTTGTGTGAGTATTTCATGATAAAAAGATCTCGCATTCCGACTCGGAGTCTCATGGTGTGGAGTAATTTATATGAAACGACCATCATGCTTCTATTGAGTTCTGCCTGAGGGAGACTGCCGTAGGCGTGCTTGCTGTTTTCGAACTTGCGGATTGATATTTTAAGTAGCAGCAGCAATAAATATAAAGTGCATGAACATTGAGCACAGAACTGACCGACAACCGACAAATAAAAAAAAACTCACACTTGGCTTAAACTGAAGATCTCGCACTTTTCGATTGTAAGGTTCACCTCACTCACCAACCTGTGGGTCCGACTGATGACACTGAGGGCTTAGATGAATCTCTTGGCGATGATTCTCCTGGCATTTACGGTGGTTGGTCCTCTTAGTGCACGAGCCACGCTCGACTCCGAGACCACTGACTGACGGACCCCCCCAATGCGATTGGGGGCCGTGCGGGGCGAAACAGTGCCCGTCGGGAAAGGTTGTTGTAACAGCCAGAAGTTGCCACTTAGCACACGGTGACGAGGGGACTGAGTACTGTTGTCATGCTAGTGATGAGAAAGCATTGTGACGTAAATGAGGGGTTCGGGGTATGTCACCGATGAAACTCTTTCAGAACACATACTGAGCGCAAAATAGGGATGAAAACAGTTCTGCTCACACATTAAGCTGCGATAAAGTATACCCCATACATATTATTGCAGATTGTCCTACGGCGATGGGTGCATGTCACGAGCTCAATCGTGAAGTGCCAAATCTATATTTGTTCGCCCGTCTATCGCATCGGAATGCCTTAAATGACATTGTAAGCCGAAACGTAAGTGATGGCAACTGAGAGAGCTCAATGTTCAACGTTCAACAACGTCAGCACGAGCGTGTTCTCGTCCATTGCTGGATCAGGAAAACCCTCCCGTGTAAACCTAGAGAGATTTACATTAATCAGAAAAAAATTGTACAACCAATGCAAATTAGACGGCTTACAACTCATCTATAGATGTCCTCTGAGTAGTTGACCCCTTCGGCATCAGACAATGCATCCTGCAGCGTGTATCCACACCATTTATCTTCAAAAATGATGTTCTTGATAGTCTGATGCTCGACAGATAGGCATCATTGATGATTCTTCCGAGTCCACTGCGATGAACGTGTGTGCCGACTGCTTAACGACATTATTAAAGAAAACGGTCCCCCGATTTGCGCTTGCAAATGGCCTCGAAGCACTTTTTTTAGTTGTCAGATCCGGTGGCAACCGTCTTGGTGGGTCTTTCATGACAATATATGCGCGCACGAAATGAGCGTTGTGTCTATGTCGTCTGTGTTGCCTCGAACTCCCGCTGAAATCAATGGGCTCCTGAGCATTGTGTTTGTTGGCCCTGGAAAATTCAAGCCTGATCAGTTGGTCCTGTTTTTCGAGTGCGTAGGACATACCTGGGTATTCCTCGTGTGGTCGAAGGATCACCATCGGTTTTATCTTAAAATATACATTGAACGAGAAAATGTTGAGTTTAAGTTATCCTGCCGAATCCCGACGATGTGATGCCTGGCTTATCTGAGCGTGTACTCGGGGGACCACGGGCTTATGTCAAAAGGGTGTTTGCAGAAGAGTCAACTGTACTTCAAGGTAGCTTGCAGAGCTCGTGGTGGACAGAACGATGGCGGGTCCGCTGTAACAATGCTTTGAAGGCGGGTATCTCCGATCCAGGGTGTGGCAACATTAGATCATATAGCTGCTGCTCTCAAAAACCTGTTTTCGGAGAGTGCACCAACTCGTTGCCTGACCTTGTGGTCCGACATCGAGGATTTCATCCAGTCAATGAATGCAACAATCCTGATATCATTCCAGGCACATACCCCATTCATTTTCCGTTTGGAATCGGAGAGTTGAAGATAATCAAATTGCGAATATGTCACTTGTCTGGACAATCTGTTATTGTTGACTCGATCCTTTCGGTAGGATGAAGACACCGTGACATAAACGCAATGTGCACGCGCAATCTCAGCATATTAAGCGTCGCAAAATTGTCTGTAATCAACCGCAGATTTAGTGCCACCACAGGCAGCAACAAACCTGCGGGATATTGATTACACATAGGTAAACGCTCACGAGAGACCTCTAAGAACTCAAAGAACTTGTGCAAGGCACATGACGACATAACATACGTCCCATCGTCTGCAAGCTCGCGACACAGGGGGGAAACAAGACGCAGCTGGATTAATAACTAGGGAAGAACCAGAAGCCATGATCATTGATGACGGAGACAACAAAGAGGAGAGAAAGGAGCACAACGAAAAGAAAAGCGAGCTCGATTTATGCTGACAAATATAGTCCAAATGAAGTCGGCGGACCGGCCGAGCCGTCATAATCATGCTCATGAAGAAAATTTTGGGAGACCTGTACCCTCTTCTAAGGTACAGCCTCAGGAATGTATCAATATAGGCTGCAATGGACATTGCACGAGATCGCGTTGACGTCGAGCGCAATACGCTGTGGGTTTCCAGATCCCCAGCAGTGCGCACGGGTGTGTGCGCAATGAAAGCACGTGCATAGCATGACGCAAGTGAAGCCGGCGGTTAAGATCTAAGAAGTGGCGTCAGCGCTGCACAGCATGACGGGATGGACACGAACCGCCAGAAATGCGTGCTTATATATGTTAGATATGCCCATGTAAATGCACCGCAATCAGCATGAACTCACCGGTTCACTGATGTTACTGTAGAATCACAGAAGTAGCAGAGAGTAGCAGTCATTTGCCAACGCAAAATGAAATAAAACGACTGGTTTGTGTTTACAGCTATTTGCAGAACGCTAGCTCTCAGATCTCAAAATCCGATCCGACATTGGATATCACTGTTGTGTGTAGTTTTTGCGTTTTGACCTAGCGTTCTGCAAATGGCTGTAATTCGATGGACACATAACATGCCACGAATAAGTGAGTCACTGAGGCCCCGGCTGGCCCCGGCGCCGTTGATGTCAAAGTGAGTTGGTTGCTGTACAGTCGTGACACGTTTGAACTAATATGATCTCAGATGGTGCATTAGCACATGTACGGAGTTCCGCAGATGATAATCTGATTCACAACTTGAAATTGAGACGGGCTTTTTTGCGGTTCTGTTCTGTCACTGATATATAACCTTATTACTTGTGAGCGTTTGAACCTTGGCTCCAGATACGTTTTTAGTAGCCTTAGCCATCCGCCTCATACGCCATTGATCAAGGGCTACCATGTTGCCCTTCCCAGACGGCCTGCGTCTCCCCACAGCTAGGGTACCACTCACAACCGCGACCTTCGTTTCTGGTGTTCTTCCACCAGTCGTATGCTACTTCGCCGCAGCTTTTCTTGTCTTGCTTCCCCGAACACAGCCAGTCCGCATTGTCTTATGGCCCATCACAGCGATCCTCGCATTTCGCGCTGCGATGTCGCTAGATGTGTCCATGGGACAACCGAAATATAACTTCTTGAATAGGCAGCTTCAAGTGAGTTCCCGTCGTACTCGCATTAACTGCTACAGCGTTGAACTTATCCTTCAGCAAACCATGTTTTTTATTGCTGCACGCACCCTTGAATGGACGCTGCAGACAAAACCTTTTATTCGCATGGCTCGGCGATCGTCAAAACAAAATTCCGTGCTCGACATGTTTGATTTGATATTTAACCTTCGAGGTTGCGGCTGGGACTGGTCGCAGGGACTGTACATCCCGCCTGAGACACATCCTACATCCTCACGATTGGCCTTTGCTACGTCCACCCTCGTCTCTGGTCTAAAGCACTTGTTTCTTTGCGGCGTGATTAACTCTGCCGTGCAGTCTTTTTCGCCAGAGACGTTTCGTTCTGATGATGGTGGTACCATCTTCGATGAGTCACTTCCCCCGCACCTCCGTTATCTACGGTCGAGCATCATAGCAACGCTATGCGCATTCAGCAGCTATTCAGGACTCCAAATCGGTTACGAGCTCACCGTAGTTCTTTGCGTACTGTTATTGAGGCAGCATCCAGACCAATGGCCTCCCTCATTCGACTCTCCCTGGCGCTCCACCTCTCTCAGAGATTTCTGGAGCCGACGCTGGCACCAGTGGTTCCGTCGGCAATTCATTTTCTTGGGCGGACGCCCACTTTCTTTGCTCTTTGGGCGCGTCGGGGGCGTCATAGGCGCGTTCCTCGTCTCTGGGTTTCTTCACCACGTCACACTATTCGCCATTGACCCGTCCTCGGAGATGTGGCGCATGGTGCTGCCATTTGGAATGATGGGCGTTGGCATGATTATCGAGCGTGCTGTTGCGGGCAATAAGACAGGTGGCTGGATGGGATGGATCTGGACGATGTGCTGGATGGTGTTGTGGGGAAACGTGATGGTGGATGGGTGGGCAAGAGCTGGGATGTTTGGCGGTTCGACCATTTTGGATAGTATGATGCCTTTAAGACAACCGATCGAGCGGTTGGTCAGGACGTTTGACGAGTATCTACATGCATGATTAATTAGCAGAAAATCGCAGAGGTAGATATTGATTGAGCAGCCGATACTACTTATGTGCAATGTTGTGCAATGTCGTCGCGGTGAAAACTTTGCGAAGACGAGCTCGAAAATGCAAATTTGTCGCAAACGATCCTTGCGTTTACTTGCATTTTCGAACTGTGCACAATTCGTTGCATTTTGTATTTTTGACGTCTCCAATTTCTTAGATTTCTATCTATTTGCTCCTGTCCTTCGACGTCTATTGCCACGTATCCCTCCCCTTCTTGTCGATTTTCACTGGGTCTCAGTAGTATGAAGGGCTACACTGGACAAAAATTCGAACGCATGGAAACGATTTTTCAAAACAACAAATCGAAGAAAATCAGTTGTCAATTTTCTGATTTCGAAGTCCCTTGTTTGCATTTGGCTGCATTGGGAAACGGATGACCGTAAACAAAGTTGCTGAACGTGTACACCGACTCGGACCGTTGTCGGCGAGCATGGAAGAACCTGAAGTCCTAGAGCAAATTCCGCTAAGTACCTCTGGAGACCATACGACAAGGATATAACGAGTTTGGTCACCATACTCACATTAATATTGTTCTCTGTAGGTGACTACTCAGCTCGGTGATAGCGCTACGCTTAATGCCGCCAAGAGAGAATGTTTGCGGTTGCGGCCCTTCATACAGTACGTGTCCGATCGGATATTGGAATTCAAATATCACTGTCAACGGTTGTATGTACTTAGTTTTTGCGTTTTGACCTAGCGTTCTGCAAATGGCTGTAATTCGATGGACACATAACATGCCACGAATAAGTGAGTCACTGAGGCCCCGGCTGGCTGGCGCCGGCGCCGTGAATTTCAAAGTGAGTTGTTTGCTGTACCGTCGTGACACGTTTGAACTGATATGATCTATGATGCATTAGCACATGTACGGAGTTCCGCATCGATTCACAACTTGAAATTGAGACGGGGTTTTATGTGGTTCTGTCACTGATATATAACCTTACTTGTGAGCGTTTGAACCTTGGCTCCAGACACGTTTCTAGTAGCCTTCGCCATCCGCCTCATACGCCATTGATCAAGGGCTACTATGTTGTCCTTCCCAGACGGCCTGCGTCTCCCCACAGCTAGGGTACCACTCACAACCGCGACCTTCGTTTCTGGTGTCCTTCCACCAGTCGTATGTGGCTTCGCCACAGCTTTTCTTGTCTTGCTTTCCCGAACGCAGCCAGTCCGCATTGTCTTATGGCCCATCACAGCGATCCTCGCTTTTCGCGCTGCGACGTCGCTAGATGTGTCCATGGGACAACCGAAATATAACTTCTTGAATACGCAGCTTCAAGTGAGTTCCCGTCGTACTCGCATTAACTGCTACAGCGTTGAACTTATCCTTCAGCAAACCATGTTTTTTATTGCTGCACGCACCCTTGAATGGACGCTGCAGACAAAACCTTTTATTCGCATGGCTCGGCGATCGTCAAAACAAAATTCCGTGCTCGACATGTTTGATTTGATATTTAGCGTTCGAGGTTGTGGCTGGGACTGGTCGCAGGGACTGTACATCCCGCCTGAGACGCATCCTACATCCTCACGATTGGCCTTTGCTGCGTCCACTCTCGTCTCTGGTCTAAAGCACTTGTTTCTTTGCGGCGCGATTCACTCTGCCGTGCAGTCCTTTTCACCAGAGACATTTGGTTCTGTTGATGGCGGTACCATCTTTGACCAATCACTTCCCCCGCACCTCCGTTATCTACGGTCGAGCATCATAGCAACGCTATGCGCATTCTGCATCTATTCAGGACTCCAAACCTGTTACGAGCTCACCGTAATTCCTTGTGTACTGTTATTAAGGCAACATCCAGACCAATGGCCCCCCTCATTCGACTCTCCCTGGCGCTCCACTTCTCTCAGAGATTTCTGGAGCCGACGCTGGCACCAGTGGTTACGTCGGCTATTCATTTTCTTCGGTGGACGGCCACTTTCTTTGCTCTTTGGGCGCGTCGGGGGCGTCATAGGCGCGTTCCTCGTCTCTGGTTTTTTTCACCACCTCGCACTATCCGCCATTGCCCCGTCCTCGGAAATGTGGCGCATGGTGCTGCCATTTGGAATGATGGGCGTTGGCATGATTATCGAGCGTGCTGTTGCGGGGAATCAGACAGGTGGCTGGATGGGATGGATCTGGACGATGTGCTGGATGGTGTTGTGGGGGAATGTGATGGTGGATGGGTGGGCAAGAGCTGGGATGTTTGGCGGTTCGACCATTTTGGATAGTACGATGCCTTTAAGACAACCGATCGAGCGGTTGGTGAGGACGTTTGACGAGTATCTACATGCATAAATATTGATCGAGTAGCCGATACTAATATGGGATACAAGCACAACTCAATACAACTTTCTGAATGCTAGTGAATGACGTCCATCAAAATACGTAGTAGGTCCCACTCTTGGCAGCACTTATTCGAGGTTCTCACCCAAATCCCTTTAAAGTTCTTGCGACCCTCTCGACATTAACGTAGAGGTATATTGTCCCGAGTGCAGCTTACCATCCTGCACAGAGGCTCGAGCGCCATCAAACCGAGCCTCCTCGAAGCCTCCACATCTCCTGTTCCAGTTCTTGTGTAGTTGTGGGTATTACCATAATATGACACATGTCTACCAAGTACTAGTTCATTCTTCCTTCGAGCTCCATATTTCATCGCAGACACAGTACGTATCTAAAATTCAACGAGAAAACACGACAAAAACGCGAGCACGACTTTACTTCCCTGGGACGCAAGAAGCAGCAAGAAGCTCATCATCTATTTCCACCTCATCTTCCCCATGGGCAGCCCAGCCTCAGATCTCTTTATCATGAAATACTTACACGAGGACTTACACAAGGGTCGAGGCTATATCAAGAGTCAGCCGAGTGCCAGTAGGTGCCAGACTCCAGACTTTCAACTAAGTTAGCGTTGTGGGCAGAACTATCTTGAAGTATGTAGTTCTGCCGGCAGAACCACAGAAGTAGCAGTCATTTGCCAACGCAGAATGAAATAAAACGACTAGTTTGTGTTTACAGCCCCAATAGAGCTCTAATTACATACCCTACGTATCTGAGTCCGATAAGATATTGACCACTGTTGTATGTAGTAGTTTTTGTTTTTTGGCCTACTAAGTAAGTGGCGTTCTGCAAATGGCACCGGCGTTGCGTTACGATTTTGTAATTTCAAAGTAAGTTACCTGTTCTCTCGAATTTACACCGTCGTGACACGTTTAAACTGATATGATCTATGATGCATCAGTACATGGCTTTTTCCGGTTCCATCACTGATCTATAACCTTACTTGTGAACGTTTGAACCTTCAAGTTGGCTTCAGACACGTTCCTAGCCCTGACCATCCGCCTCATACGCCATTGATCAAGAGCTACAATGTTGCCCTTCCCAGACGGCCTGCGCCTCCCCACCGCTAGGGTACCAGTCACAACCGAGACCTTCGCTTCTGGTATCCTTCCACCAGTCGTATGTTACTTCGCCACGGCTTTTCTTGTCTTGCTTCCCCGAACTCAGCCAGTCCGCATTGCCTTATGGCCCATCACAGCGATCCTCGCATTTCGCGCTGCGACGTCGCTAGATATGTGCATGGGGCAACCGAAACTTAACTTTTTGAATATCGACCTGCAAGTGAGTTACCATCGTGCTCGCATTAACTGCTACAGCGTTGAACTTGTCCGTCAGCTATCCATGTTTTGTATTGCTGCACGCACCCTTGAATGGACGGTGCAGACAAAACCTTTTATTCGCATGGCTCGACGTTCGTCAAAACAAAATTCCGTGCTCGACATACTTGATTTGACATGTAACCTTCGAGGTTGTGGCTGGGACTGGTCGCAGGGACTGTACATCCCGCCTGAGACACATCCTACATCCTCACGATTGGCCTTTGCTGCGTCCACTCTCGTCTCTGGTCTAAAGCACTTGTTTCTTTGCGGCGCGATTCACTCTGCCGTGCAGTCCTTTTCACCAGAGACATTTGGTTCTGTTGATGGCGGTACCATCTTTGACCAATCACTTCCCCCGCACCTCCGTTATCTACGGTCGAGCATCATAGCAACGCTATGCGCATTTGGCATCTATTCAGTACTCCAAGCCGCTTACGAGCTCACCGTAGTTCCTTGCGTACTGTTATTAAGGCAACATCCAGACCAATGGCCTCCCTCATTCGACTCTCCCTGGCGCTCCACCTCTCTCAGAGAATTCTGGAGCCGACGTTGGCACCAGTGGTTCCGTCGGTTATTCATTTTCCTCGGTGGGCGGCCACTTTCTTTGCTCTTTGGGCGCGTCGGGGGCGTCATAGGCGCGTTCCTCGTCTCTGGTTTTTTTCACCACCTCGCACTATTGGCCATTGACCCGTCCTCGGAGATGTGGCGCATGCTGCTGCCGTTTGGAATGATGGGCGCTGGCGTGCTTATTGAGCATGCTGTTGCGGGGAATAAGACAGGCGGCTGGATGGGATGGATCTGGACGATGTGCTGGCTGGTGTTGTGGGGGAACATGATGGTGGATGGGTGGGCAAGAGCTGGGATGCTTGGTGGTTCGAGCATTTTGGATTGTGCGACGCCTTTAAGACAATCCGATCGAGCGGTTGGTGAGGACGTTTGACGAGTATCTACATGCATGTTAGCAGAAAATCGCAGTGGGAGATATTAGATCGAGTAGCTGATACTAATGTGGGATACAAGCGTAGCTAGTCCAATGCAAATTTCTGAATGCTAGTGAATGACGTCCATCAAAATACGTAGTCAGTCTCATGCGAATTGTCTAAAAATCATCCGTGTGCCCCGGCACGCCTCCGGTGTCAAAGACAGCAGTTTTAAGCCTAATTCGTCCACTTTTTAAACAGCTTTATCAAGTTAGAGTCATCTCCGTCGAATTGGCATTCTGCGGACAACAACTCAAACATTGACATGGGTTCCAAGTTACGGAACGAAGCTCGGGCATCTGCCTGAGGAGCTGTTTTTTGAATGATGAATCTCCGGATATCCCACGCGTGGTCGCATGTTCTACGCTGTCAAGACAAAGTTTGTTACAGATGACAGGCGCTGCGGCTTTGGGTGTTGTCCCGTTGCATCGCGGTAGTGTACAGTAGAAGACCATCTGCCAGTTCGGGTCCCAGCGGGGGTTGTCAGATACGTCATGAGATGCAATCATGTCCTGGGAAGACTCCATCGCGGCCAGCCGTATGATCAGTGACAGCAGTGGTGTCAAGTGGCAGTATGAAGATACCTCAGTCTGTTGAAAGCCGATAAAGAGCGGCGTCGGTGTGGTTTTTGCAGCTGTGCTTTTACCTCTGTTGCATTTTGCGCGAGCAGTGCAGAGACAGCCGCGAGGAGGTCAGGAAGGTTGACATTCTTCTCTGAGTCGCACGTGAGTGCGAGTGCCTTTATGCAGGGAATTCTTATATGCTGAAGCATGACAGAGCAGTCCCGTCCAAGCCCCCTTAGCTTGATACTCGACAAACGAGGCAAGTTGATGATGGGCAGAAGCATCGGCATCGTATACAGACCAATAAGCTCCAGTGCAAGAGTTCGCAGGGACGACAATCTTTGGTGAACATTGATGAATACACGAAGCGTGGGCCAGATCGCGACACTCCTGATGTCCAAGTGCGTGAGATCTTCAAGCATGGCTACATTAGCACCAATCATCCAGGATGAGTTTCCGTAGCGCAGGGGTTTTGAACTCAGCTACAGTGTCATATGTGATAGTGGAGTTGGGCTCGTATGATGATGTGGGGATGGCTGTAATGGATACCAAAAGAGGAGCGGGACCAAATGCACAGCGAAGGAGATCCTGTAGTTTTCTGAGTATACGGGTGTGAACTAAATGCTTCACTGTCAAACGGATAGGATGAAATGGCGTCATTGCCAGATGGATAGCATAACGTGAAAACTTGGTGTAACCACGTATGTCGAGTGTCAAGGGCTCCCTTGGATCTAGCCAGCATTTCCCTTGTCCATTCATGGCCGAGCAGCGAGGGGACTATATAGGTTCACGAGGCAGGGCAGCCAAGTGCGATGGCACGCCACTGGTAGCATACTTGGCTGGTGGCCCTGATGTCCCATGGATGTTTAATTTGGCTTTGAATAGCGGTACGTGGATCATATAGGTCTGATGGGGGTTTCAGGATACAGAAGATGTGTGTAACAACTTCCACTGGCAAGCAGGTAGGATTGAACTCGTTCAGCTTGGAATGGTTCACGGCAAGCTCTGTCTGGCGGTGGGGAGCACAAGCGCTAGAGCTACGATCCTCGGACGATTGATGGGAGAACGGTTTAAAGAGCCGTGACAAACATCCCGGCATCGTTGCACTGCTTGTTAGAATGTGGTCTTATTTCCACTGCTAAGTATATAGTTATCTGACTCACACCTGTGAAAGAGAGCAGACTTACGCATATACTTGCCAGCAACATTATCAACGAATCTGGGTAAAACACTCGAGTTTGGGTACAAGGGGTAGGTATACGCCCCTTTTTCAAAACCGGTCACACACTGTCACATGCACGTGCACGTGCGGAATTCGGCGTCTCGTCCCTATGACCGGTTGACCCCACAGAATATGTGAACATAGGCCCCAATACGTGTCAGCGCTTCGTCTTCAGACCATTCAATTCATGATCGAGCCGTTGATCAATGAGGCCATGAATTGATATTGTCGTGGCAAGAACTAACGATCCGTTAGCAAATATAGCTGTACCGAGACGACACGATGGCTGGATGACCGGCTAATGGCACGCAATTGTCGATCACCGGTCACCAATCGACTCCAACGGCAAACCGTTCCCAAGTCTCAAAAGTCCGTCAAGTAGCACAGATGGGAAAAAGAATCATGCAAATACCAAGCGCAATACAATCATGAGAACAACTTGTTGACCGACGTATTACCCTCCTGGTTCTTTTTGAGCACCTTCGCAATAGCGAACTCAAAGTCTTCCTGCGTAACATGCTGCCGCCGCTCCCGTAGCGCGTACATACCTGTTTCCCTGGTCAATAAATGCGAATACAAAGACCATCAACGGACGCACCTGCTTCTGTACATATACCGCGGACTTCAGCGCCTGAGCACTGGCCCATTTTCTCGGCGAGTGCTTTAAGGTCGATACCGCGTTGCAGCGACATCTAAAAATAACCATGTTTTAAGGACGCCCGCGACATGCACGATGCAGACAACTCACCTTGCGAGAGTGGATTTTAAGAATGCTGACGCGAGCTTCTGGACCAGGGGGAGGGAATTCGATCTTTCGGTCAATACGTCCCGGACGAAGAAGAGCAGAATCCAGTATATCTACGGCGGCGCCCTCAGAAAGCCATCAATCTTCTATAAGGATCCACAAACCTATACGATTCGTAGCCATGATAACCTTGATGTTCTTTGTGGCCTCGAAACCATCCAGCTGATTGAGAAGCTCCAACATTGTGCGCTGTACCTCCGAATCGCCACCTCCCGAACCACTGTCTCCTCGCGAACTGCCGATAGAATCAATCTCGTCCATAAATATGATACTAGGTGCATGTTCCCTGGCCATGACGAATAGCTCCCGGACCATTCTGCTTCCTTCACCGATGTATTTCTGAACAAGCTCAGAGCCTGAAACACGGATGAATTTGCAGTCGGTGTGGTGTGCGACGGCACGAGCGAGGAGGGTCTTTCCCGTCCCAGGAGGACCATAAAGGAGAACGCCCTTGGGCTGTGCAATACCAAGAGACTCGAAGAGCTCTGGGTGTTTGACGGGCAACTCAATAACTTCCTTGATTTCCTTGATTTGCTTATCCAGACCTCCCACCATTTCGTACGTGCTATCGGGGACTTTCTCCACCATCATGAGAGAGACAAGTGGGTCAACTTTGTTCGGCAGTATCTTGTGGATGGTATAAGAGTCAGAACGGAGAGCCACGCGCAATGAAGCGGAAAGCTGGGACAGCTCAATTGACGGGTCAAAGTCAACAACTGAGCGGTGTGTGAGCGAATACAGAATAAAGCGTCATTCAAGACCAGTACATACTGTATTTGCCTTCAGGTTGCACCTTGACGAGGACTTTCTTCTTCCCCATAACCTTCACAATCTCTCCAACGTAACTTCCAGGTTCGTGTAAGAGCTGAAGCTCCTCACGTAGCAGTCGCACTGTGATTCCGTCCTATAAACGCTTCCATTGGAATCAGTGCAATCCAAACGCACCTCGAGCATTCAGTGCATTCCGTTGAGCCTCCAATCGACGTAGGTTCTGTGTTTTCTGATTAATCAACAGTTCAGCAGCCTCAATCTTGGCCTGGTAATATGATTGGATGCCTCCAGGGGTCTTAGCTTTCTGAACGGCGGTAGGCATTGTGAAGGGAGAACGACAAGATTTCTTCCAGCGAACGTATTACGCGTCTTGCGCGATACAGTCACGTCACGGTAATACGGTCACGTCACAGTAATACAGCCACGCTCTGAGTTTCACACGTTTTTTCTTCCGTTCGCCCCCCGGGCCCATCCTTGCGCGATCGACACACTTATTAATAGTAAGAAAATCTATATTCCATGGATGTTTGTCCCGGCAATATTAATCAGGAATAATGATGGGAGGCAAGCAGACCCTGTGTTTCCTACATGATCATTACCGCTCAAAAGCCCTGAATGATTTTAGATTGTTGCTTCGCACCCCTTCTTGACAGACGTCAATAGCACTCCAGCTCTCAGCCACTATCCCCTTTAATAACCTCTTACTTTTCTGATAGAACCACACGACCGAACACGAAGATCGGGTCTGGTCGGGTTCATACAGGTTCATCTCTTCTCCGCTCACAAAAACTGGCACTGATCACATTGATCACAGCACAAGCCAGCCGATTGGTATCGGCTGATTGCGTGAGAGACAGACGATACTTACAAAGTTCCAGACTGGACGTTCTTCGGCTTGGACAGACTTGAACGGTGAAACCCGATTACCTACAATTACCTCCTCCCTGGTGATCCATGCTGTCGAAGGCCCTTATATCTCCGCGATTTGCTGCATCACTATTGATTTCGTGGCAGATGGTGTGTTGGGCTATCGGCCCAGCTCAATACGCACTATCCCGGAGATCGTCTATGATAACGCGAGAAGCCAACAGCCTTGGCTAACGGAGTGATGCGTTGCTTCGCTGTGATCCCCAACTTCAGCAACCACCGACAGGTAGAAATTCAAATGTTGGAGCGTGCGCAGAACCACTGGACAAACCTTGGAAGCACAGAGCCTATACAGTTCTATCTCCTGAATATCTACACCGCTCCCCGAGGAATTCATAGGCATTTCCTACCCTGAAATAACGCCATTTCATGACTAACTAGTTTAGCCAATACACGCTGCTGTCACCAGTGGAAACTTCCCCTTACTTGCCGAGAGCCACAATCACAAGCGTATGTCGTATGTACGATTCGTGGTATGATATCATGTACGAAGCAATCTTACGAGAGTCGGAGGTTGTGACAAATTGTGTAACCGTGATATAGTTGCCCAGAACAGAATGGACTCAGCGGCATAGCCGCGTGGAATTGCGCAACTGCAATCCCAAAGATACATTACAACATGCTACGCTTCTGAGTGGAAAGTCCCTACCCTTTTGGACCCATTTCGCAATCAGTATTAATCCGACAGGCACCCACCCTGACTCATACCCTTCAGCGCTTTCACAAACCATATTTTCTTTTCAGCGCAGCCCAAGATAGGGCCGCAGTGCGATGGGCAATTACGAAGTGATTCATATCTTGCTCAGGAATGCGATTGATATCCAATCGATTCCAGTAGCGGCATAATGCGTAAATGATGTCTTGAGCATCACGGTCTGAGCCGCGTCTATGGAGAATGAGTTGATCTACCAGACTATTGGATAGTAGTTACTTACATTGTCCAAGCCTTTAGCTTTGCCCGAACAAACTCGGACAAGGTCAAAAAGGGGATGCCTTGTAATTGCATGATAGTGGAACTATCCAGTCGTCGGGGTCCGTACTCGCCAGCGGGTAGAATCTCAATCTTCAATACCACTGTCGTTAATGACATTGTCAAAAATACATTCAAGGAGATGCTCACCTCGATGGCTGGGATGACCTGACGATACGTAGCATGCAAACTAGGCAGAGTCGGTTACAAGAAAGACTATATTAGCAGGAGACTCCTCTACCGGTTGCTCCATGGTGAGTGTGTGGTCGTGAAGTGCTCACTCCCCACAATGGCTTGTCTGACTCGACGGAAGGGGTGTGTGGAACCGCCTTCAACAATACAGAATATTTCCTGGAAGCATATCAGTATGAGGGCGTGTGGGCACTAAAGACATAGTTCACGCACATCGCAACGCGGGTTATCAGAGAGCACGGCAGTGAGAATGCTCCCATAAAAGGCATGGGCAATGGAGTGTTGACGCAGAAGTTGAGAAAGCGCGTTTGCAGCTTCCAGGAGTCTGCGAGAATCAGACATAATGGTGTGGGTTGTGGAGGGATGGGTGGAATGAGGTATCAGAAGGAGACCATGGCATGAAATAAAGAGGCGAAAACAGAGGCGAGGCAAGGTAAACCGATTGGGTATGTAATAGATCCGTGACCGAAGAGAGAGGTCCTGAAGAAGAACTTCAACAGATTGCGGCCTGATCTTCATCTGATTGTGCTGCCTCATCTCAAGGTTAGTATTACTGATTGTGGGTCTCTCCGATCTGCTCAGAATGGAGAGAGAACATGCCGAGAATGACTTTGGATGAAAAGTTGGAGGCCACTGGTTAGGTCTAAAATCACCTGAAGTAGACTCGGAAAACGTAAAAGCCTAGAGACGTCCAGCGGCGTGATAGATCGGCTAATTTTTCAAAAAGAGCTGATAAATTCGGAATGAATATGTTTGCACATGCCAGATTAATGCGACGCTGCTGGCGCTACCATGGTGAAATATCCGCGGAACATGTACCGACCTGGGGGGAAGAATGCGGGGTCAAATATTGGGGTCAGATGGGGGGGACCAGGGGCCCCGGACCTAACTACTGTGCACAGCTTATCGTCACACCAAGTGTGACAGAATAAGGTTGTAGAATTTCAAATTATTAAAAGTAAATATCTATTTGGTTATCGTACGAATTAATTATAACGGTTTTGTCCGAATCCATTGGGACACCTTTGACACATTTGCACTTGTCTCCTCCAATTGCGTCTGTGAATGCATACAGCTCTCAGGCGCGTGCATACAAGCAATGTGATGCGATTGAGCCGAACATCTTCTGCTCCACAGCTCATTCCTCAATGTAGACAATATCAAAGTCACGCGCTCTCGACTTCTCCTTCTCCATCTCAGCAGCGGTCAATTCCACACAATGCCTTACTTGTACCCGTCAAACATTTTCATCTAGCCTCATGGAAGAATTTCTTTCGGCCGAAAGCTCATGAGTCGTCTGGAATGTCTGACACTCAGGAGGAAATAGCTAAAGCTGCTATCCTTGAGAAAGTCATGAAAGGCAGGCAACTTACAGACCTCATGCTACGCTGTACGTTCTCTCCATTCGATTATCTCTTTTTCGTTTCTCTTTCTTGCAGCTTACGAAGGCACAGGCACTATTCTGGATCATGCGGGTACATTATCATTTTCTCAGCCCATCCTATCGTTGCATGACCACACCTGTCACTTTAGGCAATATCAAGAGCATATCTGGCCAATTTAAACGGTCTGACTTGTGCAACGAGCATCGCTTAAACGTAAGAAATATTATGTCTGCACTCCAGCATTTGGGCTGGACCCTTACTAAAACTCTAATGAAGCCTCGTGACTTACGGAAGATTGATTCACGAATACCCAACCTTGTTCCTACAATTCTTATTCGCAAAGGAGCTGTTCTAGTACGTTGCTGTATGTAAATATGTGTGGCCTGGTTATAACATTGACGTCTAGATTAACATACTTCACATACGGGCGCTAGTCAAGGCCGATACTGTGGTTTTATTTGACTCTTATGGGTCCAACGATTCCCGTCTTCACTCTGTGTTCCTGTACCACCTCGAGGTCATTTTTTTCATCAAACATTTTACGTGTGTCGACTGACCCCATTCAGCATAACCTTAAGGCCCGGGGGTAGCGGCGCACCGTACGAATTCAGGTAGGTTTTGCCGCAACTTGATCATTTCCGCGCTGCATCGGGATTTTATAGAGCAATCGAGTCCATCCTTCTTTCCGTTCTTAGTGCGCTAGAAGCTGAGATGGTATTCATCCGTAACCTCGTAGGTGGTCTCTTGGCGGAGCTCGAGGACGATATCAATCATGACAAATTCAAACGCTTGCTACACTACTCAAGACGTCTGGTAGCATTCAAAAATCGCGCCAAGCTCGTACGACTTTTTTGTCTTCCCCATGAGATCTTTTTTCATTCCCATTCCAGGTCCAAGAGGCTCTGGAAGAAGTACTCGAACAAGGTTAGCATTGCAACTATTGTAATAGTTTAAAGGTTCGAACTTGCTATGTTCAAGATGATGATTTGGACGCTATGTATCTTACTGACAAGAAAAATGGTGTTCTGCGTAACATGCATGAACACGAGGAACTTGAAGTCCTTCTTGAGTTTTTCTCAAAACAAGTAGAAGAAATTGCCAATGAAGCTGAAAACATCGAGGTGGATTTTTTGACGCATATCGTTTTGCCGATAACCTTACCGTCCTCAACAGGCCAATGTTCAATCTACTCAAGAGATTGTCGAACTCATCTTAGACTCTAACCGCAACGCACTACTCGCATTGGACCTTAAAGTGAGCATTTTCGTGCCACTCGAGTGAGGTAAGGCTGAGATATGTCAGGTATCTATCGGAACTATGGGAATTGGCACGGGAGCCCTGATCGCAGGTTTATTCGGCATGAACGTCAGTCACTCGTCACAAGATCTTTGATGCCCGCGTTGACGCTCTTCTCTGATCCAGTTGAAAAGCCACATGGAGGAGATGCCCTATGCCTTCATGGCGATGTCCACCCTCTCATCAGCTGTTGCACTCTTCGTAGCATGGGCTGGCCTAAGAAGGTATCGTATCCAATCGCTGTTACGGACCGTAATGTTTGACCTTCGTTATCATCACAGACTCGCTCAGATACGAAAAGTCGGACTCTCTAATCCCAAACGAGGACAAGATTTGGAAGTGCGTCCACGAATACCACTACCCTTGCGCCGGCGAAGTTCAAATGGATGGTCATGATGATCAACGAAACCTATGGAATGCTATCGCTGCCTTGCGCCCAACTTGACTATAGACGCATCAACCTTAGCTATGGTACCCGCATTTGAAGGATCAGGCCGTATATCAATCAATCTACATCACGTCGCCCATCTCCGTAACTGCATGTTCGCGCCACGGACGACATCATATGGTCATGTCTTGTGATTAGATTATAGAATGAAGGAAGTTTCAGGGTACCGATCTTCTCGCCAAGTGAGTCCGATGCCTCGATGCAAGTCATTCCGGTGATCCTACAAGTTCTGTTGCCTGATTCCGCAAATCTTATCGGCAAGTCCCAGCCAAGTTCATATGAAACCCTGCTGATAGCAACAACCTGCTCTGCACGCGTCGAGGATAGCGATATGCCCTCACCCCTTCCTCCCCGATACAGTGATGTCGAAGCAAATGTTTCATAGGCAAGATTAGTACATACGTCCCTACAACCTGTGTATCGGGCAATTGAAATTAAAGATAACGACGCAACGTCCTAGTTCTCGAAGTGGTAAAACAGCTTTAACATTCTCCAGTTATATGTGTCCACGAAGTTGATAGATAGCGGACGCATCCGTAGTCCATATGAAAATTTTACATACAGGGAACACGAACGACTAACGCATGTCAATGAGAGCTATTGGGGGAGGCACAGCCTATTCGTTCCTTGGCGGGGGCATGTCAGGGATCAGATAATGGATACGGTTGTGAGACGGCCCTGACATGGTATGCAGCGGGGATAGTGACTCTATACCGTGCGAATGTGATGATTCACCGGCGGTAAACATTGACTGGTTGTCTACTGCGCTATGTAAGTCGTCACAAAAATCTGAGGCCTCATAGTGCGGCACAGGTTTTCGAGAAGTGCGGCGAGCAGACACGGCACCTGTTGAGGGCGAGCGCCTGGCCGAGGTTGCAGCTACAGGGGAAGGAGGGTACTCGTCCCGCCCTCGGCTAGGAGATGTGGGCGTATGCGGAGTGGGGGCAGCTAGGGCTGGCAATGAAAAGCGCTCGGTACGCAGGTACATGGAGCTTTCCATGGATGAGCGTATTCGAGCTGCTTGCAGCTCAAGACTTTGTTCCGAATAGCGCGCAGGGGTGACACGGGTGCGAGCAGTGCCGCCACGGGGTGGTGGATCTGGAAAAGGACATGGATCATGAGGGGAATGAACAGATGTGCGGTGATTATAATGCGACAAGGGATTGTTGATAGCGTCTACAGGGATCATTTCCCTGGACGAGCGAGGGTGTGCTTCTTTCTCCTCCCCATGACTTCCGTGACATTCGTCTGAACTCTGCGTTGTTGTGGTCTCTGAGGCTTTGCCACTATCTGCGACCATGAGTATTTCTCCCTTTGCATCCGAATGACCGTGGGAGTGAGTAGAGCCACCTCCGAGTCCCGCTAGTGACCTGGCAGCTGAGTCATTAGATCTTAACGAACTCCACCTCCTTCCCACGCTCTGCTTTGGCTTGCTGCCACGAGTTGGAGAGCGACGTTGGCGGCAAAGGTAATATGCGATAGCCAAGACAAGAAAAACCAGCCCTGCTAGACTACCAATCACGATCCCCACGATCTTGCCAACGCTGAGTGTCATTGAGGAGGTGGTTGCAGCGCTAGTGATTCCTGGCGATGAAGATGGGGACGAGAGCAAGCAAGCTGTGTCGGATCCGTTACTAATGAAAAAAGCAGTAGAAGAGGCGTCGAGCGAAGCTACAGAGCCTTCTATTATATACCAGCCCTGTGGCTGATCCACTTGAGGCCATGTCCAGGAGTTTAAGATGGCACTAGTGTTTGCTAAAGTCACGGAGATCTGTCCAGCAGTATTTTGGCGGCGGGTGAGATCAAGCTGTTGAAAGGGATCAAGAACATTGATACTCGTGATAGAGAGCAAAATGTTGGGTGATGAACCGTTATAGGTCCAGGTGATGACGCCTGGGGCGCATGTCGTCATATTCTTGACGGCATTGATCGTGAGCTGGGTAGGTGTTGATGAAGGGGTTAGAGCGCTGGCCGTTGACGTCATGACATGCGAAGAGTTAGATGAGGACGAGGTAGACGAGGTTGTAGGTGATGAAGCAGGCGAGGAAGTGGAGACGGCGCCTATAAGACCAGGATCCGGAGGTATAGGTGGCGAGGTATGGCCCACCTGCCGTTCGGCATGCTGAGCTAAAACACCTGCCCACTGGCCTCCACCAGAGTAGAGCCAGCAGAGCACCACCAAAGCTGACAGCATTCTTATCCTTGTAAGAACATCCGAATATGAGATGGTCGGACCGAAGTACTCACGAGCTGATGATCCGCAGGCTTTTATGCACCAGTGATGCTGGCACAAGATAACCAACAGGACAAGCTGAAAGAACTCTTAACAGCAGGTGAAGCCCCCGTCTGGCGCTCTTGATAGAGTGACCGGATGAGCAAGAGAGTCAGTGTGAAAATTGCTGCCCCAACGACGATTAATCGCCTGGGACAAATGCCACGGCGGACCCGTTACCGGGATTCTAGTGCCGTGGATCTTCTGTGGAACCCAGTTTGCTCAAGCGGGTTTGTGCCTCCGTTTCAAGTTCCAACGAGTTTAACGGATGACGATGCCCCTAGGCCTGGAGTCTGGACCTGCCGCATATGCCCACCGTCGTTCCTGTTAAGACTGAAGGTAGCGATCAATTTGCTTGCTAGCAGCTTAGTATATCTAAGCCACGATCGACATGACGCGGGTTTTCGCAGAATGTTCGTCGGTTCAATGGTCTAGTGGTTATGATTTCTGTCTTACACACAGAAGGTCCTGAGTTCGACCCTCAGTTGAACCATCATTTTTTGCATAGCCTCTATATAATGGGCCTGTCTAAGTGGCCTAGGAATTTAGTTGATCATTTTTGGCGTAAGACCTCTCGATGTGCGATTTCTCTGCAAAATCATGCATAACAGCACATATATAATAATATATTCAAAGAAGTGTGTTGACAGGATATATCGTTGTGGTGGTCAGAATACAGACACCTAGGATACATTTCGCCTTCCGACGATTCTTCCCGCGAAGCAGAAACACACTGCTGAGTTCCATACGTACTCCGATCGCCATTCCCAAACTGTCTCGCCTCGACTGTATTCGCCGTTCAGTTAGAATGCCGAAGTTTGACGCCAACTGACAGTTTGGCATGTGTGCACAGTATTCGTGGTGACATGACGAGGTATGCTTATCCTGATCCCTGAACGAGAGCAGTGAATTAAATAAATGAGGTCAAGTGTGATCTCGACGGGGACAACAGGTTAAGGGAAGACAGAAATTTCGAACACTATTCACATGGGCACGGGGTCAAGCAGAGCTTAACCTGACGTCAGGCAATGGCGCAATGGGGGATCCGTAATGGGATAGCATAAGGAAACCTAACGTATCCGTCGACGAGATGGGCTTGGTTGTCAGTATCAGCTAGCAGATCTGTCAGTCATGGGACCGCGGAAGGAGCATTGTGAAACACGCGAATCTTCTAACGCCTACATCCCTCTCAGGAGAAAGGTGATCATGGGCACGGACCGAGTTACAATGGGACGGAACTAGACAAGGCCCAGCCATTGCCACAATTTCGACCCAGACGGAGAGTGACGGCATCTGGGGGATTTAAACTTGCCAAGTGGAACAGGTAAGTCAGTGGGGATTAACGGGGCCAACGGATGATCTGGGGTAGCACGTGCCTGAGACTGGGCAAAATCAACTTGATCAAGTACCGCAAATTGCAAATCATGAACTGCATATAAGTCTATTTGGGTTAGAAAGCCAAGTAAGGTCGGTCTTGAAGCTTGAAGATTAACCATCGGCACCCAATCCCTGCTAACACACTGCCCAACTGGGAGTTTCCAGAAGGAACGGATGTCAGGTCTAAGTAAGTGCTCCCGTGGTATATCACTGGGATCATCGCTTGCCTCAGGACCAATGAGGCCATTATCATATCCTCAAGATGGTTTTAGAGTTTCCAAAGTACAGCGACATAAAAATTCCACTTACGAAGCGTTGTTCTAGTTATAGGTGATGTATTGCTTGAATCATACACTGCGCAGACGAATGTAGCCACGTTTCGCTAGGGTTTGACTTTGCGCCCAATGCCGCAGGGATAGAATGGATTTGCAATTCCAGCGGAATAACTTGAAAGCAGAAAATGATACTTACTACGTACAAGGTCATCCAGAAGGTAAAGGTACCAGAATTTGGTCCAACGGGGCTAAGAGTGGCGATTGGATTGCACTAATGAGTAGTAAAGAACACGTGCGGTAGTTTGGAATCACGGCTCAACCGGCCTCAGTACTCGGTGTTCACCTTGTCACAATTGATACCGTAAAGCATCAGAGTCCCCGTTCGCATTTCAATCGTGTGCGATCATATCATATGACATCGCCGCTAGAGTCGGAGAGAAGGTACATCGCCACATGAGGGAGAAAGTTAAAATGTGTCTCGTGAGCTGCGGTATTTGAACCTGCTGATTGGCTTGGTTACTGAAATGCCTGTGTATGGAAGAAAGACCACTTTCCTTCCACATACTAGACAGCACGAGATTGGCACGATACCACAATTTGCACATCCCCGATAAAGCACGCATCTCGTGGCAGGTTGGATTCAGTCAGAATCGGCTGGGCGATGTGCACATTCGCGGCAAGCTGTCACGGTGTAGTATGAGGGCTGACTACTACGCAGTCTAAGTCAGCTCGCAACCTCGCAGATGTAACGACCGTCTCCCTTCAAGTTAGTCTGCCAACAGGAAAGCATGAGCGCATACTTCTCCACTCTTTAGGTTGTGTTACACTTACCAGTTACACGACCAATAACAATGATAAACTGACAACATTTGTTACCGCGCTCCCGGAGAGCACGGTATATGAAATTGAGGACTTTCACAGGAGTTGTCAAGGGCCTTTGCACGCACCTGTAGAGTTATAGTGTACACCGTGACGTTCCAAAACTGTTTGAATGTCCCTGAACGCCCTTGGAATGTGAATCTTTATAAAATGAATGGGTGACTATACGTGGGCTTAAATTTTGCGCAATATAAAAGACCGATTAAGGAAGTAGAGCCACGATGCCGAGTTGAATTTGCAAAACAATGTTGTCTCCACCCTCCCCCCTTCCAGAGTCCAGACTATGACGATTAGAATTTATGGTTTGTATCCGTTTTGGGTTAACGTCAGGTCCCCGCCTGCATCACTTCCAGCATGGTGAATCGGTGCCGTGGTCCAAACCTCACCCACTGAATAGCTGGCGGCACCACTAGTGCCAGCGTGTCGGCTCCAAAATTCTCTGATAGAGGTGGCGCGCCAAGGAGAGTCGAATGAGGGGAAGGGGACGCCCGTTGATCTGGATGTTGATGTTGCCTGAAGAACAACACGCAAAGAACTGCGTTAGGCTCGGAACTGACTCGGAGTTTAGAATGAATATTGACTGCACATAGCATCACTATGAAACTTGACTTGATCGTAAACAATGGAGGTGCAGGGGAAGCGAGCCTCGAAGACGGTATTACGATCAATAGAGCCAAATGTATCTGGAGATAAAGACTGCACGGCAGAGTGAATGGCGTCGCAAAGAAATGAGTGCTTTAGACCAGAGGCGAGGGCGGACGTAGCAAAGGCCAATCGTGAGGATGTAGAATGTGTCTCAGGTGGGATGTACAGTCCCTATGACCAGTCCCAGCCACAACCTCGAAGGATGCATGCCAAACCAAGTGTGTCGAGCACGGAATTTCGCTTTGGTACATCGGTTGACGATCGCAGAGCCACACGAATAAATGGTTTCGTCTGCACTGCTGCAATACAAAACATGGATGTCTGAGACAGGTTCAATGCTTTAGCAGTTAATGCGAGTACGACGGGAATTCACTTGAAGCTCCATATTCAAGTGAAAATTCGGACCCCCCATGCAGATCTCTAGCGATGTCAGCTATGAGGAGACGCAGGCGGTCTGGCAAGGATAACATCGTGGCCCCCGATTGATGGAGGGAACTAGTGCGAGGCAGATAACTAGACTGCGTCCGTTGTTCAGACGTTTACAAGTAGGCTTGAGTCGCATATCTGTCATGAGAGCTGAAATAGCTCAATCGTATGCGGGGCGATGCTGGCAATGAAGCACATATCATATTAGAAATGCGACACGACGATGTAAAAGAGATAACAGCCAGCAGGTACTTACTCGTCAGGGTGTATATCACGATGTCACCAGAAGGCAAGTTGACCAGAGAAAACCTGTACCACGCAAGATTAAGAAACTCTACCAAGACCTAGGTTATGCGACCGACCTGCACAGGATACAGCCGAGTGAGAATATATCGCTGACTGTTTGGTTTCGGGAGGTCGACATCGCAGACAGAAGTGGATGTAGTATCACCTTCTTCACGGACGTGCTTGATGCATGTCGGTTCTGGTAAGTGCATCAGTTGCCACAAGACGTTGAGAGACGGGAGGCCGTACAATACGGCCTCGCGGACCTCCTATAATATAGGCATTGACAGCAACAGTCCTTATACTTTCATCTCGGCTTACCCCAAACCATCCCCCATACCAAGCACATGGTGTAAATCTAACCCCCTTTCATGTGCATGACGTCATCCCAAATTGACTGAGCAGGGTTCCAGAGCATATTCTTGATTCCGCGACCACCATGAATGTGTCCGAACACATGAAGCACTAAGGGCTGTCTCCTACAGAGTTACCACATATGTGCAAGTAGGGCTTGCCAACTTAGTTCAGTGAGGTTGAGATGACCGTATGGAGGACCGTGAGTGATGAGCGTCTGGTACGACATACCAACGGCTGAGACTGTCAGTGGTACAAGTACGTGGGTATTGGAAGGTGCCATTGCCATGCTACGGAGTGAATGCGATGCCAAATATTTTGAATGCGCGACCGCACACTTGGATAGCGTGAGCCTGTCCTCCAGATAAATTATTCCACGCTCTCGCCATGTATGGACCCATAAATGACCCTCATCTGTCTGAAGGCACGCATCGTGATTATCAGCTATAACGATTTTGTGCTCATGCAGAAGGGGGACTAGCCAGTCGAAGGTAACTTGGAGTTCACGAGAAGTACCAGAATGGGTAAGACAACCGGCGTGAATGAGAATATCACCGGGTGGTATCAAGGCAGATATGTCGGTGTTGTGAGTGTCTGATATGCATATGGTGCGGACGGGAAAACTAACGACGTGGCAGTTGTTGGCTGAGACGATTATATAGCTTTGAGGCTAGACAAAGGCTAGGATTCGTCTTGAACAACTCCATGGACCAGGAACCTTGCGATTAATGATTGCATCTAGGTAAGACATGCTCGTCTGAAAACGATCAATCTATGAGTTTTCGGAAGGGTTATGGCAAGTTCTCGCAGCGTACATCTTGCCTATCAGACACCTGCCCTCGTGAGCAACGCCATGGGAAAACTTGAAGTCGGCGACGTTGCAATTGCTAGATTCGGCGAGGGCATGGAGCTACTTCATGGCTTCGACGAAGAACCATTTACGGATGCTGCTGGGGCAAAGACGCTCGGCGTGTTCAGATTTGAGCAGCGTGTAACGAACGTCCTGGATATGGTAGAGACGAGCCTCGAGGTGCTAGAGAGCGCTAGGGAAAGAAGGGCCACTGGGTCGGCAAGTGCAGGTGAACTATGGCAACTCGAGATTATTATTTCGGACGGTATCTGTCAGGATCACGAGCGTTTGCGGCAGGTGCTGAGACGGTGGAGCAGGGCTAGCGGCCTAAGCCCAGAGCAAGACAGACAAGCTGAGATGATGATGGATGCTCTGAGCTACGAACATGGTGAAACCTAGTCTACGTGCTGACTAAGCTGTAGAAAGGGCCGATAGGACCCTTCTTGCCCTTGGGACCCTGGTCCAACGGGTAGCAAGCCAACGCGTCATGATCGTATTCATCATCATTGACCCACTGCACTCGACCTCCACTTCTGGGCAAGGGCAAACACAAGACACTTCTGCTGTACAGAACTCAATCGTTTCGATGAATCAAGTCGCCTACACGACGATCAACGGGCGCATGGAGCTTCAGGTGGAGAGGTGTCTGGATTCCTTCCCATTTGATTACTACGTGGTGCTTCAAAGCGTTGAGGCACTGCCTGAAGTAATGACGTCAGGCGAACAAGCACTTTAACCGCAATGTATTTAAAATAAAATCTCACCCGTTTTGTGCAATCTCCACAAGCCTCTCTTCTGCTAGTTTCGTGAGCGCGCCGACATCATCAGGTGGTTTTCAATCGCAAAGGCGTAGACCGTGACGCAGCGTATTCAAGACGCATGTATATCTCTAATATCTGTGACCCAAGTTAAAAAATCTCCGTGACTGAAGCAGGATCAAGGATGTATCCGCTTAAGTGTATGGAATCCGTCTGAATGACCCTCGACTGCGCGGCGGTTACCGTCCATTTCGAAGGCTACATGACGTGGGATGGGGCCCGCAGAAAGAACACGGAGGAGCAGAATCACGACTTGGGCCTTGATGAAGGCGAGAAGGACATTGTCCAGTCCAGGATGTCATTGCGAACGTGGCTCAGGTAGAAGGTAATAAATGAGCACAGCCACATACATCCGCGATTTCCTTCCGCGATTGGTCGACTATAAACGACTTGCGCGGCAGACCCAGACTCCGAAGTGTGCTTATTTCAGGTCTTTTTTAGTCCCTTTCGACTTTCCCTTCGTCGTCGTCTTGCGCGATGACGAGCACACATGATATTGATAAATTAGCTGAGCGACGCGGTTTGCTCTTGAATGTTGACGGCATAGACGCTGTCCAACCTGATCTCGAGGAGCAACCCACTTCCTTTGCGACCTCAGACAAACGCAAACGTTTTGCTGGATTTAGTGTTCTCCTCTCGCTTATTCTCGCTGCCACCCTATTTGAACTCTGGCCCCGTACTCGACACGACACGAGAATCGGGAGGGATGCATTGTACTCGAATGGAACACATGAGTTCAAGAAGACAGTGCTTATGGTTTCGATCGATGGGCTTCGTGCAGATTATTTGGATCGTGGACTCACGCCGCATTTGCTAGATATCAGTCGGGAAGGTCTGAGGGCAAAGTACATGAAACCTGTTTTCCCCGTGCGTGTTCCCTTTCTGTTCTTTGCTCTAGCACTAAACATTTCCCTCTCTGCAGACTCTGACGTTCCCGTGAGTCATAGTTTGTTCAAGTAATTGATACATCTGAATGATGTTTGTTCCAGAAATCACTGGTCACTGATGTAGATATCAACCGTATGTTGCTTGACATGAACTCACACTGCATCTAGGACTGGCCTGTATGCCGAATCGCACGGCATCATTGCAAACGTTCGTCCTTCATCACTTTCTTCAACTGTGGCATTCTCACGTCAGCCATGTAGAATTTCTGGGATCCCGTTTTCCGAGACACATTCCATTACGCTCGTGTTGAATCCGCGCAGAACCCAAGCTGGTGGCTGGGCGAACCTGTCAGTACCCACTGATTTTTTTTGTGGCCGTCCAATGTGTTCCCTTTCACCTCTGGTAACTTTGCATGTCTGTCTCGTCATTTGACTGACACACGCATCGGTCTTCCTCTTCTCTGCATTTCCTGCCCTTCGTACAACTTAGATGTGGGAAACTGCCGAACGTGCAGGCATCATTACTGCAAACCTCATGTGGTCAGTTTTCCCCTTTACCTCATACATTACTTTGTATTCACTCGACCAGGCCTGGTCCTTGGTCTACATCCTCGGGCGTGAACTCTACATATTTTCTACCTTGGGAGGTAAGAGTGTGATCTTAGACTTGAAAAGGATGTAATATGATTTGAACTGGAACGCAGGATAACTACCCTCTCGAAAAGAAACTTTCCAATCTCCTAGGATGGATTGACCTCCCGCTGGAAGAGCGGCCACAGCTTATTCTTGGTGTGTTCTTGCATCTGTTTCTTTCTCTGCCTCTGGACCACTATATCTGTTTCTTTGCTCTAAGCGGTACGGCGTTGTTTCTTCTGCTTGCTATTTCGTCCTCTTCAATTTCATGATTCTCCCTTGTGCCAGCTGACGTTGTTTCATAGGGTACGAACCGTCACTAGACCACGCTGGCCATGCAACAGGGCCGATGTCTAAGGCCGTTAATGTAAGCGTTGTGTCAGTCTTATTAGTTGATGTGCTTATTTTCGTTTTCCAAACTTGCTACTTACTGCAGTTGAGTCTTGCTGCTGTCGATCTTTTCGCTCAGAACCTGACCCAAGCACTAGGGGAGCGCAACCTCACACATATCGTTGATATCATCTTCGTCAGTGACCACGGGATGGCGGACACCAGCCACCCAACTTGGGTATATGTTGATGAGATTGTTGGTCAGCCGTGGAAAGGTGTTACCAAGATGGATGGTAAGTGGTTTCAACATATAGTCTTCTGCTTACCATGCGCTGTTCAGGTTGGCCATCTATGGGCTTGCGTTTTGCTCCCGGTACAAACGTGACTGAGGCCCTTGAGCGTCTGTGCGAGCACACACTTACCCATCCGGATCAGTTTGATGTGTTCACGACTGAAAGCTTCTCTACCGACCTTGGCACCTCCTTGGTAGACCTCAACGCACTCAACTACGGTAAGATGTCTGCAGGCACAGTGGAACCTATGCCAGAACGATACCATTTCTCCCGCAATTACCGCATCGCTCCTGTGTGGATTGTCCCGCGCATTGGCTACGGGCTGACCGACCGCACGGGCGGCGAAGATGCAATACCAGCTGGAGTGAGTTTACCTTACCGTATCTCATGTCGCTTTATCTCTCTGTTGCAAGTCATCGAGCTGACGCGTTCCGCCCTCCTAGAACCACGGCTATGACAACGAGGACCCGTCGATGCATGCCATATTTGTCGCACACGGGCCTTTCTCGCAGGGCATGAAGGCTGCTGTAGTCGCACGAGGAGAGAGCGATGGTACAGGAGCATACGTGATGCCAGGGTTCCAGAATGTCGAGATTTACAACCTCGTGATGCGATTACTGGGCCTTGACGCTACAGATACAGCTACAACTAACGGAACCGCTGGATTCTGGGATGAGTTTGTCTTGCCAGATGCTTGAACCTCACACATATTTGAAGTCGAACCTGCTTTACAGTCATTGACCGTCATTTGAGTTTGGAATTTTCGGATGTCTGCCACAACACAACCAGACACAATCTCGAAAATCGCTTTTGGCGATGTCATTATAGATTGCTAATCCACTTTGTACAAAGTTTTGAAGAACATCAAATGACTGGATTGTTTTACCCAGAGTCTTCCCCGTCGACTGGTGGGGAAGATGGAAATGCATCATCTTGAGACCTTGACGGTCTTGGGTTCTGCGGATGTCTGAGGGTTTGACGTGGCTGATGGGGTCGAAAGCATCTAGGCGTGGAATGGTGAATTCGTCTTAACTTGAAGTTCTTTGGTGTCTCGTACCTGACTAATGATCTTTTTCTTCAATTTGCAAGATCCAAACTTTGCGCGTCGGGCAGAAAGCCTCCCCCTTCGAAAACATTGTCTTTGTATTATCTACGCGCGCGTATAATAAACCCGCAACGTCAGGCTAATCAGTTGGTAAGTGTATTTAAATGACCGATCATCTTTCACACCTCGGTCTCCTCTCTTCCCATTTGACATACAGCGTAGGTGGCCTTGCGGTGCTTAACCGAGTGAGTCACAGTTTATCATGGAGTCACCTTATCTGAATTGAGAAGCTTCTATATGAGTTGTTCGCCCAAAACCTCACCAGGTTGGTCAGTTTCAGCTTCATCCATGTCAGAAGAACGGGCGCAGAGGTGAGTTAATTCAGCTCCCAGACAACTCGATTCTTCTCGTCTATTATTGACTTTCTGATCAGTCTGAGCGAACCCATCCCTCCAACCCCTTCCAAATCCTTGCAAATCGCACCGCAGTCATCCAGAAGTATCCGCTTCGAAGACCCATGTCAGGGCGGCATTCCCTCGTTCCTCGACCTCTCCTCGACCGACTTTTCCCACTCCTTTCTCCTTTATCTAGTGATACACCATCCGCGTCTTTCCATCGTCTTGATATTCTTTGTTATAGACTGGACAGTCTAGTTCTGCAATGAGCTCGAGTACTTCTGGACGCGGTCTCAACCCGATTGGGCGCTTTCCGCCCTCCCTAATCCATACCCTAAGAGGGAGGTCTCATGGAACCGAGTCCCTTGGTATTCCACGTGAACAGTATCATAAAAGACAGTACCCTGTTTGTCCAGTTCCACAAGTAAATAGAAGCGGTAGACCAAAATAATGAAATCTGGCCTATCAATAATACATGAAAGTAGTTGTAGCACTGCTGTGTGCACCACATCAGGGAGGCTATATATAACATAGACAAATCACAAGTAAAACAAGGAGTAAAATGGAAATTAGAAATGACTGACGGTATCCAGCGTAATTGAAACTTCATCAGAGCCGCTAAGTACTAGTACGAGTTCGAGTTCTTGGTTGTTGTAGCACACTTTGAGTAGTGTTCCCTAGTCTGGCGAAGAAGATGCTGTCGCATACTTCCACATGGATTGTATCAACATCGTTCCAATATTGACGACGTATAAAACAAGCAAGATTGCAGTGACTACGCGACAGATCGTGCTCTGGGAGCAAAAGCCTGCTATCACCATAGCTGAGGGGTGGGATTCATCAGGGAACCGAAGAGAGTATCGAGTGATGGAACAACAACTCACCAAATATGAAACAATGTAGAGACCAGGCGACGAAAAACATGGGGGTGACTATTGACAACAGGTACGATAAGACGAAGTAGCCGCCTGGCTTAAGTTGCTGATACTAGGTCAGCGGGTGTAGGTGGTAAAGTGAGAATAAAACTTACTTCTTGAGTCCAGTGCCGATCGGAGTGTAGCCAACGTATCATGCTCGAGCCAGATGTCAACATCGCGATCATAGCGAGCATGAGCGATATGAAGAACAGACAATGAGGAGCGGGTGATGTATAGTCAAAGTATCGAACAGGAGAGCCGGTAGTGACGAAAACACCACTTACAGCGATGAGGACGCCTGCCTTTTTGAAAGTATGTCAGTGCCAGATTCAGCTCGCGCAGAGTGGGACAGCGGCTTACTGTGGTGATAGTGCTGTCTAGGATAGAGCATAAGCGGCTCCTAACGGTTTCGAACGCTTGCTCTGATTGCAGCGACTTCCAATGATCTTCGAGATCTGGGCGTCCAAGGGCCAAAAAACAGAGTACTCTCGTTAAGAGGGACATGCGACGAAGAGCTTCAGGGAGGAGTTGTTCTTCGGCGAGTGTTCTTGGGTCAGCAGTCACATAAAGCTGTAAAGGTCAGGTTCAGTCATACGGCAAGGATTCCTAAGTCTTCAACTTGAAAGTGCACCTCAGTGGAATAGAATGAGGCCATGGAGTCAAATTAAAGAGCCTTGAAGATGGACTAATGCACCTCCCATACTGACAAGGAGATGCAACACATATTATATACCCGTCATCAGAGAACTGGTGAGAAGATATTGTCAGCATAATGATCGCTAGCAAAAACTCACCGGTTCACTGATGGTTGCAATCATTGACCTGAACGAATTAAGCTCATAGTAGAGTCTCAGTAATAGGTTACACAAAAAAAACGGCACATCCGGATCGGTAGTACAACTTAAATAATGGTGCATCGAGGGTCTTGGCATCCAATCTTTCTCCTAGCATTCGATTCACAATTCCCAATTCTGCTATTCAATTGTTTGGTTGACGAGGAAATGCTCCGGCTCAGCGCTCGGCTTCACCTCGAGTATGTCTTAGTTGCCCACTTGGATAGGAGATATGGCTATCCTGTGATCGGCAGTACTACCGAAAATACATCAATTGTCGTGTCGCTCCGAGTCATTACTAGTTCACCGTGACCGGGTTGCACAATTATTACAAAAAGAACACCATTGGAATTTATTCGGAAACTCATTTTGATTCTGTATTGGGGCGGTCACCTAGTGTACTTGACAGGATTTCAAAGCAGATAGTATGAGACTAACTTGAATCGGACCCAGGATGGACAGAAGTACGACGAATGTGGCTGTGCTCTATATTTGTCTTGTAATGAGCGTCATCGAAACACTTTTCGTCACGTCCCTCATCATACTTTTAGGATGGCTGTACATACGCAAAAGCACATCTTTCCCTATCATCGTACTTCTTCACTCATTGTATTCCCTATACGCTCTCATCCAACGTTCGCCAAACCTCTTCTCCCGTCTACGTATCCCTCTCACTCTCCCCGTTGACCGTATTCGTTCGCTGTTATTATCAGAAGCTGGATTCGGAGCGGGAGCGGGAGATGGTGGACTTGCAGTATCGGCGCAAATGCCACCTGATCTCGAACTTTTACTAAGTCGCCTCAAGACGGATGAATCGAGGGGGTGGTTTGTCCGGTGCGTCCCTACCCTACTCCTTTTACATTGTAAATTCATAACCACCTACAGGTTTGGTCAAAGGGCACTGCAGACATGCGCTCCATGTACCTCTGCGGATGATTATGCCCTCTTTGTATTCGCAGGCGCCCTTATCGCCTATGTCCGTACTGCTGCGGTACTCTTGTTACTTACTTCCAATGCAAATGGGAAGGATAGATGGAGGGGGTATGTTTTAGGCGTCTTAGTATGCGCGGCTCTTGCAGAAGGCTATGTCCTAGTTTCCGTTAGCGCAGCTCCACTCCCCAAGGACGGAACCCGAGTCTTCATGGTACTGTCCCTCACTTCCAAGTACCACTCGCAGCCTAACTTAACTTCAACAGTGGCACGACAATATCCAATTTACACGCCAAGCGCTCTTCCTCCTTCTCCCAATCCTTACCCATTTCCTCCCAGAGGTACAGAACCCAGGACCACCCAGCATGTCCCTCGCCCCAGCTCTTGCACACCTCGAGCGTTCCATCCCTCGCGCTCATCTGTTGAAATACACACGTGCAGCTATCATGCGCAACCCTGAACTAAGCGAACGCGCGGTAAGGTGGTGGTCAAGGAAGAAGAGGGAAGGAGACGCTGGGAGAGAAGATGAGGCGGTGCAGAGGGCGGCGCAGAAGATGGGGCTTGGATTTGCTGATGCTGAGAGTGGTGAGGAGGGCAAGTTGAGGATGAGCGCGAGGATGGCGATAGAGTCTTTGAAGGGGTTGTTTGTTACCCCTGTGGGTCCTTGAGTGTCACCATTGTGTTTGATGTACAGGCGTCCGTGCGGTTTGTGCTATCGGTGAGTCTCCTTTCTGTGGCATTTTCTTCAGCTGAAACAGTGATTCCAGGTAGATTAGCTACATCACTAACGTATATGATACGTGATTGCAACGTTCCTTCGACCCCATCTTGGTATCAGGCAAAATATTGGTATTGCTACTTCTTAGCGGGTCTCGAATAAGGTTTCATCGATGAATTATGGCATGCTCCAGGACATGCGTATGATCGAGGATACCCGGTGCCCTAGTGTCAGTTTCAGTTCCCCATGATGTAAACAGATGCGCGCAGAACAGTGTCGTGCGGTTCCGTCGGACTTCGAGCGAAAAGGTAGGAATGCGCTCAGCCGTGTTCGATGACGTGAATGCTTTGTTCCCCCTGGACTTTCATCATGTGTTCTTAGTGAGTTTTCATCTGGGTGCCGCATTCGTTTTTGAGCCTGGCTTGATGTCGGACTTGCATTTGAAGCTAATTGATTACGGTACCCAGGCGTCCGTGGAGGAGCTGTGGGCTCATTGATATGGTGTGACCATGGATAATGCCCACGAAAGGCAGGCGAAGATAACTATGTATGGTGATGTGAAAGCAGCTTGCAAGAAGAAATCGATTGGGGAGTAGTGTGGAGGATAGCGGTTGGTTGTTTGACTTGGTGAGTGCCGCAGTCAATCTGCATGTTGTGCGTGTCTGGGTGGACCACTTCTGGTCATGGTCTGACTGAGGACAGCGTGCACAGAGGTCATACATAATGCAGGTCTGAGATTGTCAATCTCACGTATTTACTACTAATACTCAGTGTTGTTACTAACCCGTTAAATCAGTTATAACCCGGTTAACCCGGTTAAGAGGTTAGTTAAATGGATCTGTGATTTTGGGAGGGTTAGTAGGGTTAATGTACTAGGAGTTAATTGGGTTAATTGGGGGTCACCAAACTTTTAATCGTTATCATCAATCTAGTGTGGGGGGCAAAACTACTTGGCTTTAGTTTTGCCGGTTATAACCGGCAAAACTGGCAAAACCGGTTGTTTTGCCAGGGTGGCAAAACTTGGCAAAACTCTAGGCGCTTAGCTAGGTTATGTAGACTATATTTATGACATTCCTAATGGTGACATCAATATTAATGTTGCCTCATCCCAGCTGTCACCCTCGCCATTGTAATTAACCACCTCAATCTCATCTAGAACAGTCTGTGGTTGTTCAACCCGATCCAACAGGATCCAACCCGTCAAAATCGAAAGCATTTCCCACGAGAACTTCAACTTCGTTAATGCTCTGAACTTCTTCAGTCCTTTTCAACTCTTCGAGAGCTGCAAATTCAGCGGCAATGTCGTCAGGTGAGATACTCTCTAGACCAGTGAGAAGGTCATCTGTATTGCGAGGCTCGGTCGAGAGCAGAGGTGCTCATGCGAAGGATGCTTCAAGATCCTGTGGAGTCTCGACAATCTCTTCACGAGTGTGTATGTGAGCGACGGCGGGTGGACTTCCCAGCCTCTGCAGCTCTTACGGCGTTGTGGTGTCGAAGGTTTGCATGAATTTTGCCGAGTGTTTCAAATGTGTCAACTAAGAGATTACATCGCCATGCAAATTGTGTTGCGTCCAGGTGCTCGAAATTGTTGTTGATCAGTGATGCCCTCCAGCATGCACCATCTTACTTTAGGGATGTCATTTTGCATGTTCTCTTGAATTCAAACTATGTTATCAGAGAGCTAGATTACATCTCCACGAGTCTTGGATATCCTGGAGTTGTACCAGGTTTTGCCACCCCCCTTTCGCGTGAGTTCTGCCGAGGACCAGGCACAACCAGTTTTGCCGAACCGGCTGGCAAAACTCGGTAGTTTTGCCAACAACACTACATCAATCTCTCCGATTCTCTCTGTGCCAGCGTCCTGGGACTGTATTACCTCTCCAAGCCGCTCCGATGGGTAGGGAGAAGTCCTGGCTGTGGGATCCTTTTCATCAGGGGACTGCGAAGGTTGACAAAGTGCACTGGCAAGCACGCTGTAAATATTGTGTCAATGTGAAGGCTAAAGATCTCGCAAATGCTGATCAACAGGCTGTTGCACACGGAATACTGCAGGCTGTCAGAACTTTCACAATTTTGACGCAGGAAGGTGAGTTTTTGTCAATTGATGCCATGTAACATAAATGATTAATGTATACCGTATAACGGACTCAAACAGCATGCGATAATGTCCCTTATATTGCCGGAAAGGTCGAAATCATGGCAAAAGGAATACATATCGGGGTTAGGACAGGGACGAGTTTTGGTTCCAGGGTGTGAAAAACATGGAGAGTGAGGCTTTATTCTACGAGCTAATGTCACGCCTGCCCGAGGATGAAAAAAGTACTAGCAGGAATGTCCCAGGGGAGTCATCAGGCATGGGAAATAGTCCATCGAGCTCAATCGTTATTGACGACTCAGAGTAGCTAGCACTTTGAAGTAATTAACTGTTTTTAACCCCATTAACCCCAGTTATTTCGCGGTTAATTCAAATCAAGATGCACCAGTTATAACCTATTCAGTTATAACCCGGGTTAATAACAACACTGCCACCACCTGTCCGACCACCTATGAAAAGAGATATCGCAATAAACGACTCGGATGACGAGACCAGTGAGGGACAGTGGCCTTATGATGGTGATGACGTGAGCTTCGATGGAGAAAAAAGTGACAGGTTTGATGTTGGTGATCACATCAACTTATCATCAGGATTCCTTCTCGATATTCTCTCAGACCAGCCTGTGCAGCTTGAGCCAACCGCTTCCGCGAGTCACGGACCTCCATCCAAGCTGACGTCTGACACTGCAACTTCATCGACGACACCAATGGATGACGAGTGGGAGACATGGGAGTCTGTAGAGTAAATTACAGTCAATTAGGTGAAATTCACCTGCAAATTAACGCTAATTAGCGTCAAAAAGCTGGAGCTTTCGGGGGCTCTGCCCCCGAACCCCCGTCAGTAAATTTGTGTGAATTTCGTGTCATTCACACCTGTAAATTTGGCCCTCTGCGAGGGTCATGCTAATTAGCCTGTCAACCAGACGCCATACCCTAATTCCCGGGACCCTAGCCCGGGCCGTCCGGTGAAGATCCTAACTTGAGCTATTATGATGTACAAATATTGATTTCAAATTTCAGGGCAGTGGCGGTTACAGTGGAGGTCAGGCTTGCTTCATGCAACAATCACAATAGTTTATGTCGTAGTTGCTGATTGGCGCTTGCTTTTGCGAAAGACGCATGTAAGTCTTGACACGAGAACTTTTCCATAAGCTCTCACGCTGATATGATTTGATACGGCGTAAGGCGCTCTCGAAAGATTGGTATAACTAAAAGCCACGGACTGCATACATACACTGGTCTATATTTTGGGCACACGTGGGTGCGGTATATCAGGGAGGTTATATTGAACATAGATAAACCACGGGTAAGACAAGAAGGAGTAAAGTGGAAAGTGGAAATTACTGACGATATCTAGCGCGATGTCGTATATTTCCACATGGATTGCATCAGTATCGTTCCAATATTGACGATGTACGTAATAAACCAGAACGCAGTGGCTACACGGCAGATCATGCTCTGGGAACAAAGGCCTGTTATTAAATCGCTGGGGTGAAATACATGAGAAACCAGGGAGAGCATCAAATGATGGAACAACTTACCGAATATAAAACAATGTAGGGACCATGTGACAAAGAGTATGGGGGAGACTATTGACAACAAGTAAGACAGGACAAAGTAGCCGCCTGGCTTGAGTTGCTGATCATATTCAGGTCAGCCAGTGTAATCGGTATGGTGAGAAAAAAACTTACTTCTTGAGTCCACTGCCGATCAGTGTGTAGCCAGCGTATCATGCTCGAGCCGGATGTCAATATCGTGATCATGGCAAACATGAGTGATATAAAGAGTAGACAATGAGGAGCGGGTGATGTATAGTCAAGGTATGGGACAGGAGAGCCCGTACTGACGAAAACAACGCTTGTAGCGAGGAGGACGCTTGCCTTTTTTGGAGTGTGTCTGTGTCAGCGTCGGCTTGAGCTCCCGCGGACTTGGACAGCTTACTGTGGTAATAGTGCTGGCAAGGATAGAGCATGACCTGCTCCTAACGGTCTCGAAGGCTTGCTCTGATTGCAGCGACTTCCAGTGATCTTCGAGACTTGGGCGTCCGAGCGCCAAAAAACATAGCACCCTCGTTAAAAGGGACGTGCGACGAAGGGTCTCGGGGAGGGGTGTTCTTCGGCGAGTGCTCTTTTCATATAAAGCTGTAAAGGCCAGGTTCAGGTTCAGTCATATGGAAAGGATTGCCAAGTTGTAAAAGTGCACCTCAGTGGAATAGAATGAGGTCATGGCGTTGCAGAGAGTACAAATGGACTGATGCACTTCCCATACTGACAAGGAGATGCAACATATGTTATATACAATGGAAGGGAACAATTACTTCTGATTGATTGATCGGCACTGCTACACGGTAGCAGTTCCGAGCCACAATCGACTTCCAATTATGGAAAGCAGGATGGCCGTGCTCGTTTTTGACGTCATGGCATCCCTATTAGGCAGTAGGACTTCGAACACCCCATGGATGTCCAGTATTAATAATAAACGGTAGTACCCAACAGGACAGTTCCAGCGGGTATTGTTGACATTGTCCATATAACAATAAGACCAAGATCGTATATCAAAAAATCTATCTTTGATCCATGCACTATTTGTCCTTCTCTAAGCTGAGAAACAGGCTGCAAACCAAAATCCTGACCACCTGCAGTAATGATTGCAAGAATGCTTGTGCTTGAACTCGTCTACCATGCCCTCGAGTTTCCGTCTCCAAAGACATCACCTCCTTCGCTCACGGACCTGGTGGGGACAAAAATCATCGAAACGAATGAATGACATATGAAATACATATGGATGAGTCAAGATTTGAGGGTCTGTGAGAAGTGGTAAAACTCCCTAAAGTCATATGTCAGTCCTTGTCCAAAACCAAAATGATGATGAATACCTTGATGTCAGAAATAAATGCTAAGCCTTCAGTCTGCACATATTCCAGATGTTACGTGAACGCAAGGAAAACAGCTAGATCGTAACCATATTCATCTTCATCAAGAGAGGGCACACAGTCCATGTTGTGAATGAACTTGGTAAACACCACCTCGTTATCATCAATAAAATGTGCTCTTTGAGAAGATAACAGCCGAAACTGTTCCTGCCTTTGTGTCTCCTGTTTCCAGCCGGTATTGTGCTGGCTATACCCCAAGGCAACACCGGCATCAACAAAACGCACACGGGGGATCTCAAGGGTGGAGGTGTCGATGACGTGCTGATATGGTGGTCAATGTAATCATAAGTGTAGTCAAGGAGTGACTTTGCCCAATACATGACTTTACTTTTCTTTCCAAGACATGTTTCAGCTCGGTCTGTGGATGAATAACGCACGATCTTGAGTGAAGTGTGTGGCAGCAGCCTGAGTCAGTGGGACCCTAAAAAACAGTTGCTTAAACTACTACATCATGCTGAGTGTGTGATCCGAGGCTGCTAGAACAACAGGTGAGAGTGAATGTTGGCAATGCTGAGAAGGAGTGGATGTGCAACACACGGATCACCCATCAATGCAGTGATACATGTCTTGTCCGATGACAAAATAGTACCAAGGAGTGTTGCGCCATGAGGTAGTGCCGACTTCAAACAATATAAGGCAATGACTTTGTATAAGATGAATCACATACCTGCATTTCCCAAGCATGGTCAGCTGTCATCCATTCGGTATACACCCGAGACAGTTTCTGCGCTGTAGTATAAACCTTGTGAGACGTAAAGTCCATTACGGTTGTGAAATAAAGGGTGATTGAATAAATTGGAAATGCACTCGATCAGATCCCGCAGTAGAGAATAACCGGCGACTGTGTAGCGTGAGATGTACGAATAACTTGGATTTCCAACGCGGACCAGTCAGTAGTGATTCAGCTCGACCTCAAAGCTCTCTTGCTGAGTGGAATGATAGATGTCAATCCTGAATCTAAGTATGTGCCATTAACGCAATGATCGCGATAACATTGAAAATAAAGCATGGACCATCTCCATGCTAGAAAAGAATTGATTTCTCCATGCTTAGGCCCGAATGCCAAGAAGCCATACCGCAACTTGCCATTCTCTCCTACTTGAAAACGGATAGTAAAGGTTGGTTTTGTGGTGGCGCTATTCTTGTCAGATTTGAACAGACTTAGAACGTGTAGCCATGTTCAAAGGCAAGTGGGGGCTCGGGAAAGAAGTCAGTTACTTCCGCATCCCTATCCTGAGTTCTACCTCCAGATTCTCGCTCAAATAGTCTCTCCTTTGTTACCTAAGTCATACGCATTCATATCCTCTCCTGTTTCATAGGAGGAAGTATAAAGTTCGCAAGGGTCATCTGTGACCATAGGATCATCTTTGCTGGGTGGGAGAATCGAGTTGAGCTGGATCAAATCTTCTAGCCAAGTATTACACCCGGACCGAGGTTGGCTCATATGACGAGCAACAGAGTATGGTCCTTGAACTCTTTCCCACAAGAAGGACAGCGAGCTGGCATAATGGGGATTGCGGACTGAGAAAAGACAAGGTCGAATTGACCGGCATTTTCCGGAATCTACATGTTACATTCTCTCCTCATGTTTCCTGAGTCACTAAAATTTGATATTACCACTCTGCAATCATTTCAGCAAGCGCTTCCTCAAGCTGCTCTTCAGCTTCCACCCATTTTGGCTCTGACAATGAATGCAGTGATGGACCGTTCGCCGGTATTGGTGACCTATACAATGTCCTTGAAGCAGTCAGTTCTATGGTAAGTCGATCGTCCATCAGTTCTCAATACTACACCTCACATTTCAATAGTCCGTCCATGAACCATCAGACTCTGAGGCAAACTTGGTTATGGATGTTGTAAGAGCGAAATGCAATGTTTTCCTCACTCAGAAGACGCTCGTGGATTGTATACTACGGGAAAATGAGGTGTTCGCTAGCCTACTCAAATTCCGAGCAGAAGCCGCTGAAAGAAAGTAGATGATACGGACCTTGGGCTGGGATGTATGAGGATCATCTTCAAGAAGCACGGCTGGTCTCATCTCCCTCCGAGTCATGTGTTATTGCGGCGACAGGATCAAATAAATTTGTTCAATAGGTGCAATATAATCTTTTGCAATGTCATCATTATAATATCATAATGGGACATCAGATGTGAAAATCCCGCAGAGCCAGAAACCCACAATAGTTCTTGATTGACCGCTTTCGTTTCTACTCATCTTATAGCTGTAGTATGCCTGTCCTTGTTACATTTATGGACCATATAGATACATAGTTTTGCATGTAGTATGCTTATATGTTGCCTGTTGTCAAGTATGAAATTCGTTTTGCGCTTGAAACATTCCCGAACGGTGTTGAATTTAAGTTTAACTAGTACTACATAGTGTCATGTCTTTGGGAGGTACTCCACTTGATTCGAAATCAAGTCACTTACACTGTGTGAACTGTCCATGCTTTGAGCAACTGCAATTACTGTGAAGTCTGGCAAGGTATGAGGCTTAACATCCTGTGAGCTCTGTCAGCACTGTGCACTACTGTGAGAAAATATCGAAAATGTCGATCTCTGTGGAGAAATTGGTGATTTACTGATGATGAGACACATGAATGGTAGATGTCATAGCAGCGATGGTGTATTATTGATTTATCTTGCACTACACAGTACCGCGAATTCTCGATCATGTGTTGCGTGAACTGTGCACCAGAATATACCATACATTATTCAAACGAAGCTCTTGCGGTGCACGGAGTCCCAATCTTGCACTTACTTATTATGGGAATTGTCACAGTGACAAAACGAGCACGGCCCATCCTGCTTTCCATAACCAATCACAAACAAAGTCAGTTTCATTCGGCTTCTTAGAACGAACGGCGCCGTAGAAGAAGCTTAAGCTGACTAACACGATGACATGCAGTAGCACTAGTACACAGGAATTCACATTCATATGGATCAGTGTCGGCGACTGTGTATCTCACCTGCCAGGGCAAACATGCTCGTTGATATCTGAGTTAAACACTGGGTTACTAAGCGAGTTAGCTTTCTCTGCGCCGTGCGGAATCCAAACTGCGGGCATTGCGAGCAGAAGGCTCTTTGTAGATCTTGAATCAGATCGCATGTTCAGCGTCAGTTCCCAAAATAGTAGTTTTGGTGTTTCGGTTCAGGGGTAGTGAATGTGCGAATCACATGGATGTGGACTCGGATAGACTCGGATGCCTTCGAATACGTGCGTCCCTCATCTTCACCTTAATTATAGGATAAGCTCGCGTTTCGGACACTCGCGCCCCTCATCATACTTTCAAAGCAGCTGTACTAGCTATATAGCAGGTTATTAATATTCACGCATCTCTTTCGAAGGACCGAAACAGACCGAAACCGTGACTAGGTTAACTCTTTTACCCACTCGGTTTGACATATGCAGCGATAGTAGGAGTAAACTATGGCGAATGATTACATATGAACTTCGCATCCATGTCTATCCATGTCTCAGTTCTAGCGTCCGAGTCTATCGACTATGTATCTCACCTGCCAGGCCTGCCAGTGTATCTCCAGGCTCAACGTTGAGCTAAGCGAGGTAGCTTTTAGTATCTGCATCATGTTAAGATCCAAACTGTGAGCATTGCGAGTCCAGAAAGGTCTCTGTGTGGGTCGAACCAGATGGACTTTGCATTGATTCAGTACTGTCAGTTCCAATATTTCAAAGCTAGAAGTGCAGAGTAGTGAATGTGCGAATAGGAACCGACGAATGTGTATGCAGCAGCTGTGTCCTGGCTGCTGTAATTACATACACCATCGTACTCCTTATAGTATACACTTTCATCCAACCTCTTCTCCCGCCTATGTATTCCTCTTGCTCTCGCATTCGTGCGTTGTCATTGTCAGAAGTTGGTTTTGGCGCAGGAGCAGGAGATGGTGGTTTGGCAGCGCCCGTGCAATTATTAATGCCACCCGATCTCGAACTTTTACTAAGTCACCTCAAGACGGATGAATCGAGGGAGCGGTTCGTTCGGTGCCTCCCTACTTACTCCCTTACATTGAAATTCATGACCACCTACAGTGTATTCGTAGGCGCCCTTATCGTCTGTTGTTTCCAGCGTGACTGGGAGGGATAGATGAGGGGATATGTCTCAGGCGTCTTAGCACGCGCGGCTCTTGCAGAAGGCTACGTCCTAGTTTCTGTTAGCGCAGCTCTACTCCCCAAGGACGGAACTCGTATTCATGGTACTGTCTCTCACTTCCAAGAACCACTCACAGCCTAACTTAACTTAAACAGTGGCACGACAATGTCCAATTTACACGCCAAGCGCTCCTTCCTTCTCTCAATCCTTACCCAGGACCACCCAGCATGTCCCTCGCCCCAGCTCTCGCACACCTCGAGCGTTCTATCCCCTGCGCCCATCTGTTGAAATACACACGTGCGGCTGTCATGCGCAATCCTGAACTGCGCGAAACGCGCAGCAAGGTGGTGGACAAGGAAGAAGAGGGAAGGAGATGCTTGGGAGAGAAGATGAGGCGGTGCAGAGGGCAGTGCTAGGGATGAGGCTTCGGATTGCTGATGCTGAGGTTGGTGAGGAGGGGAAGTTGAGGATGAGCGCGAGGATGGCGATAGAGGTCTTTTGAAGGGGTTGTTTGTTACCCCTGTGGGTCCTTGAGTGTCACCATCGTGTTTGATGCACAGTAATTTGTGTGGTTTGTGCTGTTGGTGAGTCTCCTTTCTGTAGTATTTTTTTCAGCTGAAAACAGTGATTCCAGGTAGATTAGCTACATCATTAACGTCCATGATACGTGACTGCAACGTTCCTCCATCCCCATCTTAATATCAGGCAAGGTATTGATCTTAGCGACTCGAATAAGGTTTCGTCGATTGCATTATGGGACGCCCCAGAACATGTGAATGATCGAGGATACCCGGTGCCCCAATATCAGTTTCAATTCCCCATGATGTAAACAGATGTGCGCAGAGCAGTATCGTGCTGTTCCGTTAGACTTCGAGGAACAAGGTAGGCACAACAGGGTACATTTTGTACCAGATGCTTGCAAAGTCACGACAACTCCCGGAATTGGCCAGAATGGGAGAGCTGGGAGAACTCTCAAAATGCGCTCCAACTTCTCGGAGCCTCCGTTGGTGTTCGACGACGTGAATACTTTAATCCCCCTGGACTTTTATCATATGCTCTTGGTAAGTTTTCATCTGGGTTCCGCATTCGTTTTCGAGCCTGGCTTAGGGTTCTGCACGCGTAACACCGTGGGTCGGAAAGCTGACATTGTACCCGCACCCGTTAACACCGCGGTTTCTCTGAACACTGTGGGCACATTGCCAAGAAGAGTGTATTAAAAACAGAAGCTATAGATAGGTGAGTGCCAAGTCTTCTGGAGAGCCTCTGTATCATCGTCTAATCAGATATCTGCGAAAATCAATGGAAAGAAACACATTAAGATCTGCAGCAGGATCAGGATTGGATGCACCTGCCGTTACTTTGTCGTCGTCACTGCCAGTGAATCAGTACTTGACTCATCGTGTGAGATCAACGGTATCTGGGTTTCGATCGAGCACACCGAGACACAAATGACTGCTTCACCTTCTTTAAGGGGCGGGCCAGAGCTTTAGCACCCTTTGCGACGGCCTTTTTGAGCGACTTGGTCTTCTCTGAGATGGACAACGAGGTACACTTAGATGATGGGTGTGACTGGGTAGGCGAGGGCTCAGATACCTTCTTTGTGAGCTTGGTTTTCATGGAGAGACGATTTTGTGGACTTACTGGTCTCGAGTTTTTGCTTTAGCTTGATGGTAGCGATTTGAGCTTCTCTGTAGCAAAGTGTTAGCTCAATAAATCGCAAGAACGATTCACAGGGACGTGAAAGACATGACAGAAATCAGTATAGTGATCCTCAAGCACTCAGAGCTTAAGGCGACACGGATAATTAGTTCAGTGGCTCTGTCAAGGTTCTCGATTCATTAAGTCATACCTGCCCAAACACCGCCAACCCGCGGGGTATGCTCAAGATGACTATCCTACACTGTACCCGTACCCGCCAAACCCATCAGCAAAGAACCGCAGTGTTACCCGTACCCGTTTTCCTAGCCTAGCTTGACGTCGGACTTGCATTTGAAGCTGATATATCACGGTACCAAGGCACCCGCAGAGGAGCTGGGGCTCATCTATATGGTGTGACCGTGGATAATGCCCACGAAAAGCAGGCGAAGGTGACGATGGATGGTGATGTGAAGGCAGTTTGCAATGAATCGATTGGGGAGTAGTTGGGAGGCTAGCGGTTGGTGAACTGACTTGGTGTGAGAGTGCCACACAGACTTGGGGGCTTTTTTTCGTATCTTTCAAACAGGGGGTATCGGCATCCCGAGTCGCCGTTTGGTTATGTAAGTTCGCTAAAGTGGTGGCAACCACTCGGCGCTGAAATCCATCTTAAGGTCGTCTATGGTAAGACGCTGCACACGTTTATTAGAAGGAAATGCTATCTTCCTTTTTCTATAAAGGGCTGTCTAGGGCGGAGAGCACTCTAGTATTAGTAAATACGTGAGATTGCAGACCATAATTAAACAAAAGTGGTCCTGTAAGTCATACCACACCGGTACTGTATCAGCAAGTTTGGTTTCGGCCGTACGTGCGGCATCATGTACTCATCGGCCGTATCATCTACTTACCCTATACGATACGGTGAACAGCCCAAAGCTGTGAGGCAGCGCGGTGGAAGTTTCTATGCAGAATTTCTGATCTTAAGGCACAAATTGGGGGGCGCTCATCCAGCCAAGAATACATGTGTTGAATAGATATACAACACGTATATCACATGTGAAGCCATTTAACTGATCTTCGACAAGCTGTAGGATGATGGATGTCTAATTTACATACCTTTGTGCACAGTCCGACCATAAACATAAGTGGTCTCAGTATTAGTTCCTGTCAAGTTCCAACGGATCATTCTTGATAAAAACTGTCGAATCAGAAGTATGTACTATGAGGTGTTGTTGGTCAACTCAGATCTAAAATTCACGGCATGACCGCTGAGATTGATGCTGGCTTACTAAGCGAGGTAGGACGCAAAAGCCTTCCAGAACGGCGCCCTGTGTTGGCACAGACTCCAGAATTAAGGTCAATGATAACGGCTAGGATTCAACGTTCAACTTGAACGGCTCCAGGGCCTGGACTCGGAGTTTCGCTATTTCCAGTGCAGACACGCTCAAGCTTGGATGAGTCAAACGGTGACTAAGCGGGGTAGCTTTCCCGTTTAAGGTCTAAACTTTGAGCCTCATCATGACTGCGAGCAGAACTTCAATGAGCTATCTTCAAATATTGATTTTAAATTCTAGGTGGCGGCCACCAGTGCACTAGTGAAGGTCAGGCTTTGTTCATGCAACAATCAATAGTTTATGCCGTAGTTTCTGATTGCCGCTTGCTTTTGCGAACGACGTGTGTAAGTCCCGACGCGAGAACTTTTCCATAAGCTTTCACACTGACATAATTTTATACGGCGTAAGGCGCTCTTGAAAGAATAGTACAACTGAAAGCCAGACTGCATGCATACATTAATTACACTAGCGTGATGTAGCATACTTCCACATGGATTGCATCAGTATCGTTCCAATATTGACGACGTACGCAACAAGCCAGAGCGCAGTGGCTACACGGCAGATCGTGCTCTGGGAACAAAGCCTGTTATTAAAATCGCTGGGGTGAAATACATGAGAAACCAGAGAGAGCAACAAATGATGGAACAACTCACCAAATATAAAACAATGTAGGGACCAGGCGACGAATAATATGGGGGTGACTATCGACAACAAGTAAGACAGGACGAAGTAGCCGCCCGGCTTGAGTTGCTGATCATATTCAGGTCAGCCAGTGTAATCAGCATGGCGAGAATAAAACTTACTTCTTGAGTCCACTGCCGATCAGCGTGTAGCCAACGTACCATGCTCGAGCCAGATGTCAATATTGTGATCATGGCGAACATGAGTGAGATAAATAGTAGACAATGAGGAGCGGGTGATGTATAGTCGAGGTATGGGACAGGAGAGCCCGTACTGACGAAAACAACGCTTGTAGCGAGGAGGACACTTGCCTTTTTAAGTATGTCAGCGTTGGCTTGAGCTCGCGTGGAGTTGGACAGCTTACTGTGGTGATAGTGCTGGCCAGGATAGAGCATGACCTGCTCCTAACGGTTTCGAAGGCTTTCTCTGATTGCAGCGACTTCCAGTGATCTTCGAGATTTGGACGTCCAAGCGCCAAAAAACAGAGTACCCTTGTTAAGAGGGACGTGCGACGAAGGGTCTCGGGGAGGGGTTGTTCTTCGGCGAGTGCTCTTTTCATATAAAGCTGTAAAGGCCAGGTTCAGTCATACGGAAAGGATTGCCAAGCTGTGAAAGTGCACCTCAGTAGAATAGAATGAGGTCATGACGTCGTAGAGAGTAGTCACCAAATGGACTAATGCACTTCCCATACTGACAAAAAGATGCGACTCATGTTATATACAATGGAAGGGAACACAGCACTATCAAATCAGCCGGAGAACGGAGTGCTTGATATCCGCCATTTATTACTCAAACGATAAATAAACTGAAGCGCTCAACCACTCCCTTGGCAGAACAAACGCATCATTTCTTAATATAGTAAAACCTCGTGTTTACGCTCCTAATATTACATCTACAGCTAGAGCACAGCATCCACATCCGTCGGTTCGAACCCATTCGCACACTCACTATGTACTCCTGAAATCCTAGCTGAAAGTACTATTTTGGAACTGACGCAACGTTGAACACGCGGAATGTCTATCCAATTCAAGACCCATAAAGAGCTTTCTGCTTGCAATGTCCGCAATTTGGACTACGCACGACGCAGAGAAAGCTACCTCGCTCAGCAACTCAGCGTTTAACTTAGATATCAACCTTGAGCATGTTTGCCCTGGCAGGTGAGATACACAGTCGACAGACTCGCTGACACTGATCCACAATTATTCCTGTGTACTAGTACTACTGCATGCCAGCGTGTCAGTCCAAGTGAGGGAAATTTAGATGAACCTGGTGACTCACAGTTTCGACCCGGCCGAGACTCCAGGGAAAGGGTGACAAGTGACTAACAAAAAGTGTGACAGGGTTCCAGGCGTGTTCACCGAGTCACCGACATAGGGAAACAACTCTTATCAACCCCACATTCCAACAATAATGATTCACGCATCTCTTCCGAAGAACCGAAACCGTGACTAGTAGGTTGTTCCTCTTGTCTTCACTCGATTTGACACATGCAGTGATAGTAGTGGTACACATGGTAAATGAACTTCACATCGATGTGGATCAGTACTAGCGTCGGAGTCTGTCGACTATGTATCTCACCTGCCAGGCCTGTATGAGTCGTGGCGCCTCATCTGCGGGCTCAACGTTCAACGTTGATATCTGAGTCAAACGCTGGGTTGCTAAGCGAGGTAGCTTTTACCTGCATCGTGCGGTTAAGATCCAAACTGCGGACATTGCGAACAGAAAACTCTTTGTAGGTCTCGAATCAGATAGACTTTGCGTTGATTCGGTACTGCCAGTTCCAATATTTTCAAAGCTAGGATTTCAAGGAAGTAGCTTGCTGTGAACGTGCAAATAGGAACCGACGAATGTGGATGCTGTCACCTGTGCTCGTAATTACCTCCTCGGCTGCGGCTTAATTACATACATAATCTCACCGTCATCGTACTCGCTCTAATCCAACATCCACCAAACCTCTTCTCCTGCCTACGCAACCCTCTCGCTCTTCCCGTCGACCGTATTCGACCGTTGTTATTATCGGAACCTGGTTTTGGAGCAGGAGATGGTGGACTTGCAGTGCCCGTGCAAATGCCACCTATTCTCGAACTTTTACTAAGTTGCCCCAAGACGGATGGTGGTTCGTTCGGTGTGTCCCTAATTACTCCCTTGCATTGCAAATTCATGACCACCTACGGTGTATTCGCAGGTGCCCTTATCGCCTATGTCCGTACTGCTGCAGTCTTGTTGTTGCTTCTAGAGTGAATGGGAGGGATAGATGGAGGGGCTATGTTTTAGGCGCCTTAGTATGCGCAGCTCCTGCAGAAGGCTACGTCCTAGTTTCCGTTAGCGCAACCCCACTCCCCAAAGACAGAACCCGAGTCTTTATGGTACTGTCTCTCACTTTCAAGCGCCACTCACAGTCTAACTTAACTTAAATAGTGGCACGACAATATCCAATTCACACGTCAAGCGCTCTTCCCCCTCCTACCAATTGTCACCTAGGACCACCCAGCATGTCCCTCGCCCCAGCTCTTGCACACCTCGAGCGTTCCATCCCCCGCGCTCATCTGTTGAAATACACACGTGCGACTGTCATGCGAACGCGCGGTAAGGTGGTGGGCAAGGAGGAAGAGGGAAGGAGATATTGGGAGAGAAGATAAGGCGGTGCGGAGAGCGGCACTAAATATGAAGCTTGGGTATGTTGATGCTGAGGGAGAGGAGGGAAGTTGAGGATGAGCGCGAGGATGGCGGGTAGAGTCTTCGAAGGGGTCATTTGTTGCCCCTGCGAGTCCTTGAGTGTGGTGTTTAATGCACAGGCGTTCGTGTGTTTCGTGGTAAGTTTCGATTCTGTGGTATTTTATGTAGCTGATGTGATGATTCCAGGTAAATTAGCTACATCACTAACGTGTATGATACGTACCTGCAACGTTCCTTCAACCCCATTTTGCTATCAGGCAAGGTATTGATATTGCTTCTTCTTAGTGGGTTGAATAAGGTTTCATTATGGGACTCCTCAGAACATGTGTATGATCGAGGATACCCAGTGCCCCAGTGTCAGTTTCGATCTCCCATGATGTAAACAGGTGTCAGCTGAGACGACCAAGAATCTAGTTTTGACTGTATCGACATGGTGATGGTGATGCTTCTTTGCAGTGATGCACTTGTTTTCAGTAGCCAAAGCCCCTTACCCTAGAAGCGGCGTTTCGTGCTCGCGGTGCATCACGCGTTCCGAATGAGGGTTGTATGGAGGCGTTGATAGAAAATTCCTTGTATGGTTACTAGCCTTATCCTTTTGTGCATGCTGGATTTGCGAATTGCGAATTGAATAACTGAGGATCTGAATCCGTGGTTATCCCACCAGTACCGTAATTAAGCGCCCATACACTAATATTATCGAACGCAACGCACGTGTTTCCTTCTCTCATTGAACACCACCGTGACATTTCTCTCGAGTCTCCAGCCACACAACGCAATTTCGCATATTTCCTTTTCTTTTCCTTTTTTTTCCTTTCCCTCTCATCCTCTCTTGTCACCCACAACGCATAATCACAACGATCAAGATCAAGGAGATCATTCTCAACAATGGCAGACGAAGCAATCATCAAGATACCCTCCGGCGAAGTCCTAGAAGAAGAAGACGATGAAGCCCCAGGCCCAACCATCTCCCTCCCTGACTCAGGCGACGCAGGCGAAGGCGGCAAACTAGGCATGATCGTTCAGCTTGTCAAGAAGTGTTTGGGGGTCAAGGATATCGCTGCCATGTCCGTTTCTCTCCCTCTCCTGCGTGAAACGTGCCGCTGATGCTGAATTCTCAATCCTCGGTTAGGCGCCTATCATTACCCGCAAGTCTGCTAGAACCGCTTCCTAATCTCGAGTATTGGCATTATCTCGATAGACCTGATTTGTTTGCTGCGTGAGTACTACTTCTTTCCCTTTGTGGGTGCCTGTGGGGGTTCGCTATACTGATGGGTGTGCTAAAATAGAATCAACGATTCAAGTGATCCCTTCGAGCGCATCTTAGCAGTCGTGCGTTTCATATTCACGAAGGATCTTAAATTCGTCGTACGTCCAAATCAATCATTACTTCTCACTCTCCAACCCCAACCCCACCTCCAACCCAACGCCCTACTTATTCCTTACACAGCACGGCAAAGTCTGCAAACCCTATAACAGCGTCCTAGGCGAGCACTTCCGCGGGCACTGGGACGTCCCACCGGTCTCCTACAGTTCCGATCCGACTCAACCCCCGATCCTCCGCGTCCATACGACTGTCCCCCCTACCCCGGTCGCACAGGGAAGCGAGACAGTGAGCGTGAAGAGTAATCGCAGCGGCAAGAGCTCAAAGAGCACGCTTAGCGGCCTCAGCCTCATTTCTACCTCCAAAGGCAAGACATCTCCCACCCTAAGCTCAGCTCCTACATCCCTCACCGGCGATGCTGGTCTTTCTAAACTCTCGTTGTCTCCTCTTAATGGAAGCGGAAGGAACGAAGACAAGGACAAGGACAAAGACAAGGACCACATCCGGGTCGTGTACGTAACAGAACAAGTATCGCACCACCCTCCCGTAAGCGCATACTACGCCTCATGTCCTGGGCGCGGTGTGGAAATGGCAGGGATCGACCAGATCAGCGCAAAAGTGAGCGGTACGACTGTGCGCGTCGCCCCAGGGTCTTTCAACAAGGGGATCTACATCAATATTACATCGGGCCCAGGCTTAGGCGAGAAGTACCACATCACCCACCCGGTGGCTAATGTGAATGGGATCTTGAGGGGGAGCTTTTATATCACCGTTGGGGATAGTACGATCGTTACTTGTGTGGGCGCAAAGGGGGTGTCGTATCGGGCTGTGATTGAGTATAAAGAAGAGGTGCGTTTCTCTCTCCCCAGTAACAGGGGGACGGGCGCTGACGATGGGACAAGTCATGGCTAGGCCGCGCACACTTTTTAGTCGAGGGGGTGATACACACATACGACGAAAGTTCCACAGAACACGAGGAATGGACGAAAGTGAAACACGTCCCCACAGCTCGGGTCGTAGCTGTTTTTGATGGATGTTGGCGGAATCATATACGATGGCGGCGGACTGCTGCATCGCCTCCTGGTCCATCCACATCCACATCTGTAGCATCATCCCCATCGACGCCAAGTTTTTCGGCCCCTTCGTTATCAGAAACGGAATATGCCACGCTTGTAGATCTCTCGACGTTATTTGTCATTCCGAAGAAGGTTCGTCCGCTAGAACGGCAACTTCCAAATGAGAGCCGAAAGTTGTGGGATGCTGTGACGACGAGGCTGCTTGCGAAGGAGTATGGGGAGGCTACGAAGGCAAAACTTGCTATTGAGCAGAAGCAGAGGGATGAGGCGGGTGAGAGGAAGAGGAAGGGCGTTCAGTGGGTGTTATTTTTTTTCTTTCTCTCAGTTTTTTTTGGTACTGGAATGACCACTAACGGACCCAAATGCAGGTTTATACCCCAGTATTTTGAACAAGATATCAGTTCTGGAATTCCAATTCTTACAGCTGCAGGCCGGAAAGCTGTGGAAGAGGAGCTTAAGGAGCGTTCTGATACTTGGCCGTCGTCCTCATAGAATCGAGTCGACGCTGCTTGACCAATATGCGGTTTGGAGTACCCACGTGTCATGTATAGAAGCTTTGGATAGGGACCGATCTGGGCTTTGAACGTTGTAGAGGGTTAGGTGCGGGCCACGATATCATGCAATGAATGGTTAATGTTTTTGGAGCGTTTTATGCTTTTTTTGCTTTTGCTTTCTTCTTAGTACCTGATGATTTTTGTTCATTAATATTTTTTTTGTTTTCTGACGCAATTCATGGACTTCTATGATGAGTGCTGCGAGGGTAGCCGTCTATGCTCGATTTTCTCGGTGTGGTGGCCGGCATTTTATTGATCCAGTGAGCATCGGCACCCTCGACTCATGGGAGAAACCGTCTCGCACGCGTTCACTCAAAGCTGCAACTTGAACGCCACTGAGCATAACTTTACATTGAGCTCGGAACTTGTCGTACATCCACGTGCCATCCACCATCTCTGTTTCAAACTATGATACAACTGTTCCCTTGTTCCCTCTCTTACAGCATGGTCACCAGTACTCCTGTGGATCTCATTAATCACCCGGGTTTTGGCGGCAGTGATAAATGCCATTCTGCCATGGAGGTGAGTGATGTTATCAAATTCAGGAAAACTACTGATGCTCACGCAAAACGGGTCAAAGCACTGCTTGCATGCTGATTGAGTATAGCACCACGTAGGTCATTTTTTAGTCGGGTCGATCTGGGGCGTGGCAGAGATTGGTGATGCTAACTTGACAGCAACGACAGCGAGTGCAATTGCAGAGACTCGTGAGATAGGATCAGATAATGCTGAAGAAGATAGTACGAACACAGCTGGCTTTTGTATGCTGAATATTGTTTGTTGGGCATATGGTTGTGCCGTTCTATTGGCAGGAACTGATCACCCTGAAACTATGGGTTGGGGCCGCGGCAGTTTTCGGAATATTCGCGTTTCTAACTGAATCAGCTGTCGACGAGTCGCTGCTGAATCATGCACTCAACATCTCGAATCATCTCCCTACATGAGTTGAAATCTTCATTACATGGTTACACAACGGTGGCAGCTATACATGAACGTTATAACCATTGGTATGCTGAGCAAAATGCGGAATTCCTGTAGGCAGCTGTTAACTAAACCCCTATAATTTCACATGGCATTTATGAAGCCCATACAGGATAAAGCTTTGTGCATGGGCTTCTTACCGGCTCTGCATCATACCATACTACGGAAGCGGGTACAAAAAAAATAACCCGGCAGAGCGTGCGGTACGCTTCATTCATCTACTTATTGCTCTGCTAGCGATTTATGTAATCCGAGTCTGAGATGTTCGGGATAAAGTTAATTTACTCGGACAATATTAGCCAGCTTTTTAGCCAGGTAGGCCTGTGGTGAATTCTAGTCGACACAAATACGACGGAGTATACGAAAACGAGATACTAAACTGGAGCGCAAGAATATATCAGGGTCGTTGTTACTATGGTATAACAGTTCCTCGAGATCGCTCTCCTGCTCCATCTCTTACAGCATGGTATTAAGTACTTCTTCACCACTCCTGTGACTCAATCACTTACTTCATCCGACCAAGTTACGCCAGAAAAAAAATCACGACCGACTCCAATGACTGCTGCGTCATCGTGCTATACGAATGCCGCAGCTCCAGTGATTTGTACAGGTATAATGTATAAATCAGAATCACTCCTTGGTCCGTCAACTCAACGAGCTCTCAGGTCTGTTCACGCATACTAGTATGAATTTGTATATTCAAAATATTCTCCACGACCGAGCTCTTGCACTTGACCCTCAAGCTGTTGACAGTACCATTCGATGCATGATACCACTGGTTCCCTGATGCAATTTTTGCGGTCAATTCACAATGATGACGCGGATACAATATATCATTAACGCCGGCCTATGCGATCGCGACAACTTGCTGTAGACCGAAAACACGGACATTTGATATACAAAGCCTTCGGAGCAGTCTGATGAGGTGGTCAAGTACCTGCATATTAGACTTTTGATGCTCTTGCCTTAATAATAACGCGAAACCTTGGCCGCGCGTGGCGAAGCTCACTACATCATCGAAGTCAATGATCTTTGACTAGTCTGATCTACTAGTAGTACGGCGTCTTGAGACTACATAGACAAATCGACTAATCACTGCCAAGAACCACATCATACCATACTAGAGACAGCGGAGGAAGATCCAGGTGTCTAAGCGGACAGCAAAAGACCACGCAAGTTGTACTTGGAAATGGGACACATGCACATGCCTGCCGAGTCCGTTGTTCTTTGAACGAAATGTCGTGGTTGACGATAGGCCCATCGCCATCACCGTAGGTGCTCTCTTGCGTATTCTGGAAGTGCTTGTGTTCCAGTGAAGTTTGCGAATGGGCCTAGATAGATGTAGATGGATCTCTCTCAATGACAATGAGCCAAATGATTAATAGCACAACGTGCAAATGCATGCAACGGTGTTGCATCAATGAATTTCTAAGTCGTCGCCTACGGCACTTCAGGTTTGAACTTAAGCCGTATCTGGTTGGAATTCTCGAAATGATGGCACCTTTCCAATGAATGCAGATGATAATATGAATTCCAAAGATTTCGACGTCTTGGCTTTGGGGGATATACCGTCATGAAATGCTGCATAGTGAAGGACAGACATGAGGACGTGTGTCGCTAAGGATGGCCATAAACGTACCCTCCACGGATCCTCCAAAACAGCAATCATCAATCAAACAAAAACCCAGTGAGGCGTCGCCACCCGGACTCCAAAGCGCAGGAAATCCTCATCAACATCCTCATCCGTAGGCACATTCCCCTCCGAGTCAGGGACATCCATCACCTCACCAAGCGGAACGACCGCTTCTGCCCATGCTGGGACATTTTCGGGGTGCTTGGGGCGTGCCTGGAGCTCCTCGAAGTCATCCACGACAGGAGGCGCGTCGCGGGGCAGTCCTCTCATAATAAGGCGATTGTATGCTTTCTCCATGATGTAACATAGTCCAGCCATGATAGCGTATTGAAGTGCCTCGTCTGTGTCGGTGGCGGAGCCTGTCTTGGGTTTATTATTAGGGTATGGATCAGGGAGGGCTGAAAGCGCCCAATCAGGTTGAGACCGCGTCCAGAAGTATTCGAGCTCATTGCGGAACTGGACCGTCCAGTCTATGACAAAGAATTGATAAAGACGATAGAAAGACGCGGATGGTGTGTCACTAGATGAAGGAGAAAGGAGTGGAAAAAGTCGGTGGAGGAGAGGTCGAGGAATGAGGGAATGTCGCCATGACATGGGTCTTCGAAGTGGATACTTCTGGATGACTGCGGTACGATTTGCAAGGAGTGTTGAAGGGGTTGGAGGGATAGGTTCGCTCAGACTGATCGGAAAGTCAATAATAGAAGAGAAGAATCGAGTTGTTTGGGAGCTGGAATTAACTCACCTCTGGGCCCGTCCGTCTGACATGGATGAAGTTGAAACTGACCAACCTGGTGATATTTGAGGCGAACTACTGGTGTAGAAGCTTCTTGATTGAAACAAGGTGAGGCTTGACCACCATCATAATAAACTACTCACTCAGTTAAGTACCGCAAAGCAACATACGTTGTATATCGAACGGGAAGAGAAGAGACAGAGGTGTGAAAATTAACCGGTCATTTAAATACACTTACTAACTTATTAGCCTGACGTCGCAGGTTGATTATACGCGCGCGTAGAAAATACAAAGACGGAATGTTTTCGAAGGGGGAGGCTTTCTGCTTGCGACGCGCAAAGATTGAATCTCGCTAATCGAAGAAAAGGATTATTAGTCAGGTACGAGAGACCAAAGAACTTAAGACGATGCACTTGCCAGCTGTACTATATATGAAGCGGTTCAAGTTCAAGCTAGCTTCAAAGCCGGCGGCACTTGATATCTCGCTTACTAAGCCAGCGTTTGATATTCTCCTTCAAAATGCATCGGTCGTTTTCAGGCGAGCATGTCTGGCCTGGATGCAATCATTAATCGCAAGGCTCCTAGCCCATGGGAGCTTTTCAAGTCGAATCCTAGTCTTTATCTAGCCTCGAAGCTATATAGTCATCTCAGCCGACAACTACCGCGTCGTTCGTTTTCTCCCGTCCGCACCATATGCATATCAGACACTCACAACACCGACGTATCTGCCCTGATACCACCCGGTGATATTCTCATTCACGCCGGTGATCTCACCCATTCCGGCACTCCTCGTGAGCTTCAAGTTACCTTCGACTGGCTAGTCTCCCTTCCGCATGAACACAAAATCGTTATAGCTGGCAATCACGATACGTACCTTCAGACAAATGAGGGTCGTTCATGGGTCCACACATGGCGAGAGCGTGGCATAATTTATCTGGAGGATGAGGCTCACACTATTCAAGTGCGCGGTCGCGCATTCAAAATCTTTGGCAGCCCATTCACTCCGCAGCATGGCAATGGCGCCTTCCAGTACCCACGTATGGGTGGCACTGACACTCCCAGCCGTTGGGCTATCATTCCCGACGGCACAGATATCCTCATTACTCACGGTCCTCCTCATGGTCATCTCGACCTCACCGGACTTGGTTGCAGGGCCCTACTTGCACGTATGTGGGAACTCTGTAGGACACACCCGCCTGTACTTCATGTGTTCGGACACATTCATGGCGGCCGTGGAATCGAGAATATACCCTGGAACTCTGCTCAGTCAATATGGGAGGATATTGTACGCAAGAAAGGGGGTTGGCTTTACACTATGCGTTTGCTATGGGCGATGCTTTGGAGTGGCCGGGATAACAGTATAAGAACGGTTGCTGTCAATGCCTCTGTTGTAGGAGGTCCGCGAGACCGCGATGTACGGCCTCCTGTAGTCGTTGATATATAAGAAGTCTCGACGTATTGCGCGAATCCACTAGTGCATTCACCTACTGACTAGAAACATTCATACTACTAGCTCTCTACCCACTTACAAGTTTAGGTCAATACGTCATACTCATATCCTTGTACTATCATACACTTGTACTACAGGAAACTGTGCTCGTCGCTGAACTGACTTACCCCTCCATATACCCTACACATAAAGCCTTTAACTGCGTAATCTGCGCCTCCTGGATGTTGACCCCGTACGCTTTCGCTTTCGCCTCAATGTCTGCGACCTTGATTTTTGCCCTCCTCCTCTTGGATTCTTGGATGAGGTATTGCGCCGCATCGGACATATCATAGGACTTCGCATTCCCTCTCTTTCCAGCCTTCTCCAGTTTGGCTACTAGACAGTACATCCAGGGCGCAGCCACCACCTTAAGCCCAGGCTTATCGAAGATGACTACGCCATCGCGAATCGCTTCGTTATAGAGATCGGTTTTAGTGTTGGAAGCGATGAAAAGTGCAGTGTGATTGTTCATCCAGCCATCACCAAGCTGCATGGTCTTGGCGGCGCTTCTGATACCATCTCGCAAGACGGGATTGTTTACAGTGTCAACGCTGAAGAAATCTACATCCGCTGTAGAGGCACGGGAGCCTGGATGAGATTATCAGTGACGTCATGAGAGATCGTTGAACGAATACGCACGAAGAAGAATCGTGTTTATAGCGCCACCGACAGCAACGACAGTGATCTGCTTTTTCTTGCCATTGAGGTGCTTGGCCGTTAAGTCTAAGCCACGGTTAATATCCTGAGCGGTGAGCTGCTTGTCTTCGACACCTAAAGAGTACCATTTAATCGCTCGTGAGATGCATCATGGAATGGATTTCTGACCTGGCTTGTTGACGAAATCGGTGAGGCTAGCTGTATCACTGAAACACTGGCCCATCGTGATTCGTGATTTGACGCGGCGAGTGAAAGTTAGATGTGTTTAACGCTCGAACTCTTCAGGGCGTTGAAGTTTCCACATTCGTCACATGCGTCCAGCTGCGGTTCTCGCCTTCACCATATACGGTCCTCCAGGCTCCACTCGTGACCTGTCTCCCCACCGGTCTTTACTCTAACACCCGTAATATGGACCGGAATAGGCTTGCAGATACTGTGACAGGGGTGACAGACTCGTATTTGGTTCCTGTAACATCAGACGCGCACACATTGGCAAAAGGCGGAAAGTTTCCGTTGCACTCATTAGATAGTAAGCCGTATTTTTGACCTAGATTTAATTTTTGTGTGATCTTAGAGGGTATATCTTATCATCGCACTGTGATAAATTGCATAAACACCGATTTATCATTGTACAAAAAACAGACGAAGCGTCAATTACAGTGGACATCATCATCACGATCCGGGACTAGGAAGGAATAAAGCGGAAACTACTGTCGATAACTAGCGTGATTCGAAGCCTGTCGCATAGTACTTCAACATAAATTCCATCAATATCGTCCCAAAGTTAGCAATGTATGTGACCAGCCAGAGCGCAGTGACGGCGCGGCAGACTGTGCTTTGGGAGTAAAAGCCTGCTATCAAGATCGCTGGGGGGTGAAATGCATGAGAGCCCAGAGGGGTCCCCAAATGATGGAACAACTCACCGAATATGAAACAATGCAGGGACCAGGCGACCAAGACAATAGGGGTGACTATTGACAACAGGTAGCACACAACGAAGTAGTCGCCTAGCTTGAGTTGCTGATCATATTTAGGTCAGCCGGTGGAATCAGTAAAGCGAGAATAAAACATACTTTTTGAGTCCACTGCCGCTCGGCATGGATCCAGCGTAACATGCTCAGGCCGGATATCAACATCGCAATCATGGCGAGCATGAGCGATACATAAAGCAGACAATATGGAGCTGATGATGTATAGTCAAAGTATGGCACAGGAGTGCCCGTGGTAAGGAAAATACCACTTGTAGCGAGGAGGACGCCCGCCTGTTGGGGAATATATTAGCGCCGGCTTCAGCTCGTAGGTAGTTGGATAGTTTACGGTGGTAAGAGAATTGACCAGGATAGAGCACAACCTACCCCTGACGACTTCGAAGGCTTGCTCTGATTGCAGCGACTTTCAATGGTATTGAATATCGGGACGCCCTAGTGCAAAAAAACATAGTACCCTCATTAAGAGGGACATGTCACGAAGGACTTCTGGGAGGGGTTCCTCTTCGACGAGTGCCCTTCGATCAGTAGTCACATATGACTTGAAACCACAGCGTAGTTCAGTCATATAGCACACCATTCTACGTCTATAAAGCGCACCTCGGTGGAATAGAGCGAGGCCATGAAGAGATGGGTACAGACGGACTAGTGCACTTCCAATACTGACCTGGGAACAGGAAGATGCGACATTAAGTATAAGATATCAACTATGATAAGCGCTTGCTGGAAGCCGATGATCGGATAGCTTACTAGTAATGTATGGAGTTGACCAAACATTGTTCCACAGGTTAGGCACTGATCATTGTCAGATCCTAGATCTGAGATCTGCAATATGTATCCCGACTGCTGGCGAAATGGAAGTCGGGGAATTCTAGTAGCGTTCGGAAAATTGATAAAGTTAAACGTCAGCTCGCACCAAGTTCGTACTCCGGAGTTGGTTGTCTCGCCTTGCCACGCTCGGGCGTTCAAACGTAATTTCAAACTCCGCGAGCACATTGCCAATTTGCGCACCTTATCGTCTCGGTACCTACCAAATATTATATTCTTCAGTGATTATGCCTTGAATCACATTTTCTTGGGTAGCGTAGTTGTCAATGCTCCTGCGCGGCTCATCCTGTCAATAGGTTTCTATGCGTACTGGCAAGCGACCCCCGAGTACCCACCGTTGATTTTAATCGTTATCGAGTCGAAAATAGGATCTATAAGGAGTCCCTGTGAGAACGGTCCTGTCAAGTGTGAGAGATTACTAGAGTGTACTGCTGCCATCAGTCTGAAATGAGCGCAACCATGATGTTGTCCAGACTCCAAACCATCGGCAGTGTGTTATGAGTCTACATCCGAGTGCCGCCACACAAACCAAATACGAACAACAAATAATTCAAACACCGCAACTTTGGACTCTAACACACTTGGCCGACTGGCACAAGTTGTAGTGGCGCAAACGTTGCAACTGTTTGTCCCTCCAAAAAAAACATTCCAAGTAGTCGCCAGTTCCCCAAGCGTGACACGGGAGTATTTAAATAAACATAATATAATTATTGAAATATGTTTATTATTATATAAATAAACTATTAGCAGGAATGGTGTGCGGAGAACATGAGGCATAGTAGTCAACGAGTTCGTGATAAAATGAGCACTGTCGTGCTTGAAATGCTGTTGTACCATGAATCTTGCAAGCAGACTGTCAAAAGTGATACAGTGCCTACAAGATAATGGCCTGTCCACGTCAACCTTCATGAGTGGCATTCTCGAAAGCAGCCATGTCGAACACCAGGACGCAAAACTCTCGCTGAGATCTAATGCGAGTCAGATGTGCACGCTGCTGAACGCTAATGAAGACTCACATTCATCCGTCCTCTCCTGGGCAATTGCCCTTGTACACACAGAATTGTGTCGAGAAGTTGCCGAACTCAGTCTCCAACAGCACGGCCTTCATTTTCGAGCAACGTCGGTGACTGTGGAACAACTCGAGACGCTACTCATCGATCAACTTGCAATGAAAATGAAAACTGTTGCCCCACACCTTTGGAATTTAATGATGGCCCTTCTTGACAGCAGGGACAGCTGCTGGCGCAAAATGCCAAGTCCCTCAGCTGTGGGGTCACATATGGCAGACGCTGTTGAACAACGAGAGATGGATTTGGGCGAATTCAGTGGAGATAGTATTGGGTCGATGGGGCCAGGCAATGATGACAGCGATGATGAAAGTGAAGAAGCCTTTGAGAGGCGCCCAAAAAAGCGCCAGCGTCGTGCTGCTGAAAGGAATGAGGCGCTACTCGTTATTGTAAGTCCCAAAGTGTAGCAGCAGGTACAGTACTGACAGTATTTATTAGAAGGCTGTAGTGGCAATCAGCATATGTTTGCAAAGCTCGAACGAAAAGTGCAACTACTTACAGGGTTGGATGGGATTCTTCATGAAGTCAACTTGTGTGCCGGAGAAAGTAGTCGAGGTTTTGGCTCATGCAGGTCTTTCGATCAGCCTGTCGTCGATCCATAATGCAGTAACGTCCGTCTCGAAAGAGATTAGCAGCAAAATCAGGAGTGAAGTATGCACACTTTGAGCAGCCTTCGCATACGATAACTTCGACATTGCTTTCAAGACATCTCAACCTACCCTAGAGAACCGGTCCTCATTTGTGAGCGCCACATCTGCCACAGTTGTCCCGCTTTTCGGTATTGATGAGAGCAATGCCGTTGCTTTGAAATGTTCTGCTCAATTATGGGCATCAGACCACAGGAATCCATTGCCGTCAGTCACACCGCTGATGAACAAGATGAGAGCCATGATGGACCTGCACAAAAAGGATACATACAGTCACCAAATCAATCCAACAAAGCCCAGTCCACAAACTGCAGCGTTTGCCTGGCATGTGCGAGCAATTCTCATCAATCAGCATCAGAAGTTCAAACATTTCTTGAAGGACCTTGGTGAACCGGAGACCATAAAGAGGATACCTGTTCATACAACCTATCAGATCCCTTGTCGTGCGATGGATATCAAACAATCGACTACAGATGGCAACATTGAGGTCTTAGAGGACCTATTTCGACAGGGTGGGATTGGCGACAAGCGTGACAGCAGTTTCAATGCTGATCATGATGTTGACATGACCAAACACGTCATTATTGTCCATGGTGACCTTTTGACAAAAGAAAGATTAGACACTGTCCGCAATAGCCAACGGGTCGAGCACACACCAAAAAACCGCCTTCAATATGTCATCTTCTTGCTGGGGTTATTCCACTATAAGATGGCGTGCACCGATGCCCTTTGGCGTACACATATCCAGCCGAAAGAAGGACGTGATGATGAGAATAGCCTGTATCAGCACATAGGCATTCTACGGCCTGATGAAACGGGGAAGATTGTTAGCAAGCCAGGATTCAGGCGTGTACACAATGTCCTTCATCATGATGTCTGGGCCTCGATGCTTGATTGTTTGCGGATCGAGGCACAACACCAAAACGCGATGTATACAACACTGGAAAAATTTGCCGAATCAGAGCCAACCTGGGACGTCATTGTCATGATGTCACATACCATTGTGCAGAAATACGTGGCAACAACAGATGGCCTGGATACTGCACGGTCAAAACCAGTGGGACAACGAGATAAGCGGTTCGAAAACCAAACCTTGCGTAACCGAGACGAGCTGCTGTATATTGACCTGTGTCAGGCCATGAATACTGGAGACATTGGAAGGGTAGAGGCGTCCTTCCTCCCATAGATATACATTTTCAAAGCTGCCGGAAAGCATAAGTACTCGTCACAGATATCCAGATTTCTGAACAACTTACAGTTTAACTGGCCGGAATCATTGAGGTACAAGTCAGTTTGATTGGATGTCAGTGCACCTGCTAAGCTTGAGTCTTGACAGTGACATTATACGAATGAACTTACTGTGCAATCTAACTGGGAAGAGTGCAGCATTCTGCACTGTTGACTGGCTTGTTGAACGAAACAACCTGTACACCAAGGTGAGTAATCGCTAACCATTACCCGTTAAGCTCAAGTTTCATTCAAATCAAGGTAATTTTCCCAGGTGGTGGCCCAAACGGCACTCTTGAGCACATTATAAAGGAATCTCTGCTCATTGAAATATACCGTAGCTGTCATGTTACTATGGAGAACGTGTTTCACTTACAGCACCGAACCATTCGGCACTCAGCACCGGATATGACGAAGACAATAAAAAAACTATCTGGGCATATGAAAGACAAGAATGTACATCTGTCAAAGGACGGCTGGAAGGCCCTGCGAGTAGTACCGGACCAGGTTTCAGCAGGAATGACACTGATGCAGGAACAAAAGGTTGTTAATGAAGAGGATAGTAGTAGTTTTGACATTGAGGCAGACGATTTCCTCGACTAACCTGTCAGGATAATGATGGACCAGCCACCGCTGGAGGATTGTTCTCGGTGTTTGCCTTTGCTTTTGATCGTCGTGGTCTGGGAACATATTTTGGACATAGTTTGTTTGATGCTAGAAACTCTTCATGTCAGACACAGTCATTGAGCTGAATAAACACTTACCAATATGACCATAGTTCCCGCATGCACTACACTTCCTCAGTCACTTCGCGGAAAGACCGTCTACAGAACCAGCAGCTTCAATCGGCTGTGGGTTTGGCGCAAGAGAATGTTGGTTTGTGATAGAGGAGGAACCAAGAACAGGGACAGATACCGAAGCCACTGGCTTGGGAGATGGTGGTTGTGGTAACGGGATGCATGTATTGATAATTTTGAGGATTTCAGGGCCGTATAAATCTGTATAGCACCAATGCGTCTGCTCAAAGAGGGCAGTTACGGTGACAATTTTCGAGTAGTGAGCAAGGTCAATGATTCGATCCAAGATTTTATTTGACATAATGATTTGAGGGCTGAAGAAGTCATCACCATCAAGATCCTCCTCAAGCACCTTAAAGCTTCTCCACTGGAGGAGCTCCCAGCGAAGATTGTGTCCCCCGGTTGTCATCTTGTATGGTTTGATAGTGAATTTGCGTTTTGCCCGAGTGGATGGTAGTGGAAGTGATGGGAACAGACGAGATTGTAACGCTGTGGGGTTACAAATGTCACAGCAGTAACACGATGACTTAACACTGCATCTCGCACAACAAGGGCTGCTGGAACTGGCGTCCCTCACCGCCTGATCTTTATAACCAGGTAAGTCTATGATCTATTTGAACAATGCAGGCGCTCACCGATACTAGGATTGTTGAAATATTCATCTGCTACCCTTCGATGACACAAGCCACGAAGGTGAGCATTTATAAATGCATACATCGCTGATTGCTCGACTGCGTCGTTGTCAAGCCCACTTGGCAAAATCTTTGCTACAGCCCCGGCGAAGCCAGGAGGATCTTGTGGATGTGTGGACATCCCCAGTGATACTTCATGAGCTGGCATGCTCGCGGCCTCTGCAATATTGTCTCTCCCCATGTCCCCGTCAACATTTTCTTCTGCGTCACTGACAATACCACCATGGTCCTCTAGCTCACTATCCTCCCTGTCCAACCGGCTGCCGTTGGCCTTATTTGTCTCAGAGTGCTTTGCCCTCTTCCTAGTAGGAACACTTATGTGTCCCTGTGGCGAGGGGCGCTTCTGCTTTCCATGGTAAGTATCAAAATACATTGGCTCGACAAAGTATACTGCAAGTGCTGTTAGTAACGGGTCTCGCGCTGCACGTCCAAGTCTCTGCATTAATGTGCATAGCGATGGCGTATATCCCCATTGAATGACGAGGGTGATATCACGCAAGTCAAGACCCTGAATACTGTGAGCTTGAGTACCAATCAGTCCACAAACAACAACTCACCATTCCTGCAGCATCCGTACAGCAGACACCCCAAATGTCCCCTCTACGAAGCTTATCCATTGCATCAACGCGAAAATCCATAGACATGCCGGAGTGAAACCAAACGACCTTATCTCGTGATCGCGGTGGCATATGCAGATGGATGCAGCTACAAGCACTCTCAGCTTTGTCGTGCGAGTTGGTAAAGAGCATGAATTTTTCATGTGGCGTGTTCCCATTGAAAGAGAATATCCGGGTAAGATCATGCATGGAGCTGCGGGAATATTTCATCTCCTCCACCATGAGGTGAATGTTGGGACGGTCATTAGAGCGTATAATCTTTGTAGTATTGTATGATCGAATATGAAGTTTTGACTGAACGTCATGGAGGATGTGTGGTGGCATTGTCGCTGACACTGTATGAAAAGAGACATGGTCTGGAAGGAACCATCGAAGGTTCCCCAATTCACTATACAAAGGTCGAAAATCTTTGCCCCATTCACTAATACAATGGCCTTCGTCAAATGTAACATTGAAAAGAGCGTTCGTAAACCTTTTGGACTTCCATAAATTCTTAAATCGTGTGTCCCCAAGTACTCGCTCTGGACTGACCGTAATGACATGGTACTTGAGCTTTACAATGTCCTATCGTGTATAACAAGCATTAGCACAGCTAGATACAAACGACATGCACCCACATTGAAAGCTTCATCAGTAGAATTTTCTGCAGAAAGGTTGTAGGCTGAGAAGCCCAGCATTTTTGCTTCATTGTGAGTTTTCTCGCCAAGAATATTCAGAGGTGTCACTATGAGGATAATTCCATTGTCGTTGAATAAAAGGGGGATCCAGAACATGAATGTTTTGCCTGAGCCAGTCGGAGAAATAGTAAAGACATTCTTCTTCTCAAGCTGATGCAAAGCCGACTGAAGTTGCCAAGTACAGGGGGTGATACCAAATTTATTGCGAACGATCATCTTCATATCGGTAAAACTGGGTACTTTGAATTGGCGGGCCGACATCGTAATAATGGCAAACGCTCGAGGTTAACTCAAAAAATCAAAATGGGTTATCTGTTATGTCACACTAGGTCACACTATTAACTAATACACTGGCGACTACTTGGAATGTTTTTTTTGGAGGGACAAACAGTTGCAACGTTTGCGCCACTACAACTTGTGCCAGTCGGCCAAGTGTGTTAGAGTCCAAAGTTGCGGTGTTTGAATTATTTGTTGTTCGTATTTGGTTTGTGTGGCGGCACTCGGATGTAGACTCATAACACACTGCCGATGGTTTGGAGTCTGGATGTTGTCCAATTGTGCTCCGGAAGACTCGGAAGAAGATGCCAAATCATGCATGCATGAACGAGTAATTATAATACCTGTCCCTGACGCGGAACGCATAGTGTCAATATGGTTACGGAGTTCCTTCGTAGGTTCTCGCTGTCCAACGGTTCGAACTTTAGTTTATTGTGCAGTACTAGTATGCACGTATTTGCTAGCCTGATGGGTCACTTGATTGTCAACAAGTTGGCGAGACACTCCATCGAGCTTCATCGAGTTGCACTGGACTCCCTTCCCCCGACCATTTTAGATGACATTGTCCGGGGTCTTGAAGCCAGATTCGAGCAGCGGGGCACCCTGTTAGACAGACTCAGAGGGAAGGCAAAGTATGTGTTGCTCCTGAGCTAGCCGTCGTCGCTCGGCACATTGTACCCATCGTATCCTTCACATTGCTTGGGGACAGCCATGCAACCTAGTACAGGAAGGCTGAAGCATTCGATGCATTGAGTCATGGCATGCAGCCGAATTCAGATGAACCATTCGAATCTTCCTTCGCATTACGCGACGGGCCTTAGACTAACGTTTTGCATCCACACAGATCGAATAAGGCAATCCATCCCGTCGCACGCCCGATCGTGTCCAATGGTCAGGGAGACAGGACCGTACACGTGCTGCAGTAGCGCTCCACAAGTTTACACAAGGCAGTGAACAGTACTGTGCAATCGCTGCGCAAGAAGATTCTAATGGAGCAGCAAATCGTATTTGTTCATATTAATCGGATTCGCCATCAATTTTCATTTCTGGAATCCCGGCTGCTGTTATCACCTTACCAGTATGTATCCGCCAGACTGTCGTACACCCTCTGTGTTTCAGATGAGGGAGAATTATGATATTTTAACATAAACAAGCCCTAATCAATGTTAAAACAAGATCAAGGGATCACCTTTATAAATATCTACCCATCATAATCTGTGCCCGGAAACTTTCTTCTGATAAAGCACACAAGACACAGTGCTGTCAAAACAAGAAAGCAAAGTAGAAATTACGCACTGGCGATATCTAGCGTGATTCGAAGCTTGTTACATATTTCCGCATAAATTCCATTGATATCGTCCCAGTGTTAGCAACGTACGTGACCAACCAGAGCACAGTAAGGGCGCGGCAGAATAGGCTTTGGGAACAAAGCCTGCTATCAACATCGTTGGAAGTGAAATACATGAGAGGCCAGAGGGAGCACCAAATGACGGAACAACTCACCAAATACGAAACAATGCAGGGACCAGGCTACGAAGAACATGGGAATGACTATTGACAACAGGTAGGACACGACAAAGTAGCCACCTAACTTGAGTTGCTGATACTCCGTCAGTTGGTGTAAGTACTTGGTAGAGTGAGGATAAAACTTACTTTTTGAGTCTGCTGGTCGGTATGGATCTAGCGCAACATGCTCGAGACAGATGTTAAGATCGCAATCATGGCGAGCATGAACAACATAAAGAGCAGACAATAGGGAGCGGGTGATGAATAGTCAAAATAGGTTATAGGAGTCCGTAGTGCGAATACACCACTTGTAGCGAGGAGGACGCCCGCCTTTGGGGGAGTATGTTAGCGCAGGCTTCAGCTCGCGGAGAGTCAGATAACTTACTGTGGTGATAACGTTGTCCAACATAGAGGACATCCTGGTCCTAACGATTTCGAATGCTTTCTCGGATTGCAGCGACTTCTCATGATCTTCAAGATCGGGCCGCCTCAGTGCACAAAAACAGAGTACCGAGTGCCCTCATTAGAAGGGGCATGTCATCATGACGAAGGGCTTCGGGAAGAGGTTCCTCTTCAAAAGGTGTTCTTTGACTAATCGTCACGGTAATTTGAAAACCAAGCTGGTTCGATCGTACATCGAGTCTTCTACATTTTCAAAACGCACCTCAGTAGAATAGCCCGTTGAAATAAAGAAGCACAGATGGATTGGTGCACGCTCCGTATTTACTGAGCTAAAAGAACGTTATATACCCACTACTGTCACGACCCAGCAGTAGAGTAGGTCGACTGTACTGGAGATGAAATCGGGGAACGTTTTCGAGTGGTGCAGTTTAGTCCTAATCGAACTCGGATAAGGTTCAAGCATGATTATCTCATGCCATTAATTGCCTACACAGTAACATCCATTTTTGTATGGTTCGATGGTCTAATGGTTATGATTTCTGTCTCACATTAGTTTGTTCACAGAAGGTTCCCAGTTCGATCCTGGGTCGAGCCACTTTTTTTTTCTTTTCTTCAGCGAACCCCGGCCTGCGGTTGTATTACTCTTCACTCGATTGTTGTCACGAAATGAAGCATGAGCCTCTCGCCATTGCGTATGTGTTCTGTATAGAGCGAAACATGTTCTAAATGCTATACTATTCAGGATGATATCCGATTTCTTCCACCCGAACGTGGGAGGAGTGGAAAACCACATATTCATGCTCAGTGCAAATCTCATCCGTCGTGGTCACAAGGTATGATTTTTCACACTTCCTTTGACGTTCTCTGCAATGTCGTTTATCTTGCATCCAACATTCGCAGGTGATCGTAATCACACACAGTCATCCTCCAGACAGAGTAGGCGTCCGTTGGCTTCTGCCAGGCTTGAAGGTATACTACATACCATTTCCTACCATCGCCTCCTCCGCCACTCTTCCGAATTATTTTACATTTTTGCCGTATTTCCGCGTCATCATTGCACGCGAGCATATTCACCTAATTCATGCGCACGCGAGTTTATCGTCTCTGGGCCAGGAGGCTATTCTACACGCGCACCATCTTGGCGTCCGCACGGTGTTCACCGATCACAGTCTTTTCGGGTTTGAAGATGCAGCGAGCATATTAACCAACAAACTCCTTGCGGCTGCTCTCAAAAATGTCGACGCTGTGATTTGTGTCTCACATACTGGGTAAGTGGTCAACTTTTACAATCGATACTGTCCTTATTTTCTCGTGACCGTGAATCAGAAGGGAAAATACAGTCCTGCGTGGACAGTTATTTGAGAAGTCTGAAGATTCCTCTGCACTTGTCGTCCGGCCAAATGTTTATGTGATTCCAAACGCTTTGGTTGCGGAGCAGTTTACTCCAGCTACCGAGCCGGTGTCGTCAGAAACTAGTCAGTACTTCCATGTCGTTTTAGTCGAAGGAGACAACTGATTTTTCTCCAGTCTATATCGTGGTTTTGTCTCGTCTGGCGTATCGTAAAGGCATTGACTTACTGGTCGCCACTGCCCCCCGAATATGCTCTGCCTTTCCTAACGTCAATTTCATCGTAGGTAAGTCGCTCCATCCCCAGTATCATCTAACCCTAATTCGCTGGCCTAGGGGGAGACGGACCCAAGCTGAATGACCTGTTACAAGTAAGAGAACGACATCTCCTTCAAGACCGCATAGAACTCCTCGGTCCAGTTCGACATCGCGACGTGCGAGACGTGAGTAGACATGAGCGAATTCGATTCTCCTGATCATGATTCATACACGTCTGCAGGTTCTCGTGCGAGGATCTATATTTCTGAACACATCATTGACGGAAGCGTTTGGGATCGCCATATTGGAAGCTGCATGCGCAGGTCTTTATGTGGTCTCGACACGAGTAGGCGGAGTCCCGGAGATTCTCCCTCATGACATGATCTCGTTTGCGAAGCCGGAGGAGGATGGTACGTGTGGGACGCTGCACAAGTCGCACATATCATTCTGGACCGCCTTTTCACGGTGATTTTTTTTTCAGATTTGATCCGTGCGCTGTCCGAGGCGGTCGCAATTGTTTCGAAAGGCCAGCATGACCCCATAGAAGCTCATCAAAGGGTAAAAAATTTCTACAACTGGGGAGAAGTCGCAGAACGAACCGAGATTGTGTACGATGCTGTCGTCAAGTCTGAGCAGAAGGATCTCTGGACTCGGATGCAAAGGTAACTTTGCGCACATCGTGCTGATAGACCCTGGCTAAGATGTCATAGAACTATGGAACTAGGGCCATTTGCAGGACCGATCTACACAATCATCCTTGTGGTGGATTGCTTATTCTTCCTATTTCTGGAATGGTTGATGCCACGACAAGATCTAGACTATGTTCAAATGCACTGGGAACACGACAATTTTAGACAGGTACGGTAGCTTCGTATCAACCAACTAACACGCATCTCATCTCTAAACGATAGCTTGCAAAGGATGCCGAACCAAAAGACGATTAATCATAATGACTAGACATAACAAGATGAGATTGTAATGCTAATACTTTGTCCAATGGAAATGCATCACCGAAAGCAGACCAAAAGGTTGAACAAAAAGAACAAAATTGAATACTAGGATATCATGCCGCGCGCCTCGGCTTCTTGAGCTTTCCCCCTCGTCTCCTGCTCCGCTTCGAGCCTTCGTGGCCATCATCTACATCCATTAACGCGTCATATACGGTAAGGTCATCCGAAGGCCGCTTCATAGGGACCTTCACGCGATCTCTCAATGAAAAAGACGATTGTCCGCCATCAACACCCAACCGATCAATTAAAGAGCTTCCGTGGTTGTTAGACGGTCGATCGAAGCGATCTCCAGGGAAGGAAGTCTCCTCAAAGTGCTGATTGAAACGTGAACCGGAGGATGCCCAAGGCGCAGAGTCACGACGGGGACGAGTTGAACGAGGACGTCTTGGTTCTGTGTCGGGGCGAGGAGGGTAGAGAGTGGGGAAGGTTATTATGCAGGAGTCGTGCACGCTCTGGATGCATAGCAAGCGGAAGAGATTGGTGCGACCCTTCGTCGTTTGCGGCATGCTGGCCGGAGGGCAAGGACTCTACATTGGCGTGGTGTGAGGACTCGTGTGGAGGTAAATCTCGTGATCTAGACCACTTCGAATTTTTTGAGTCATCTACACGCCATTCCTTAGTATGATCCAGTGAAGGGGGACTGTGATCATGACGACCATTGCGACCGCTGCTACGTGGGTATTCAGGAAGATCTTTTGCCTCCTTTCTCTCAGGGGCATGGGACCGCGGTTCAGGCAGCTGGTGACCGCGAAGAGAAACATCCCCGTCATGCCTGGATTGTTGTGACGGATGAGCGGTATCACGTGCCGACGTCATGGAAGAGTCCCTGGAAAGCGGAGGAGGGGTAGCGTGATCATCATAATGATGGGAATGAGGACTCTCAGGCGTATGATCACGTCTGCTGTTGAGATGTGGTTTCCCCTCAGGTTCTGGAACTGGAGGTCCAAAACGAGTCTACAGTGCTACAGTCAGTAAAGCTCCAACGACTATGCTCAAAAGACCCACTCTTGCTGCACGTGCACCTAATCGTGATGGCGACTCTATATTGATAGGCGCATTCGCAAGTGGATCAGGCACAGAGACAGGCTTGCGCGGAAGGAGCTGTAACATAGACTTGTAAGGCCTCAATTTATTTCCACACAAAAGAGAACGTACAGGTGACACTACGCGCTCTGTTTGCCGACGTTGATCAGCGGAAATCTTGGTTGAACGCTCTCTGTCGTAGACAATATCCAGATGGGGCTATGGGTGCAAGTAAGGAACAGTGGTCACAATGACATGCATGTAAAACATACTGGTCGATCGTGGTTGTCAGTCGCAACAGTAGGTGGACGAACAGGGTGAGAAACAACAGGCTGCGCATTACTTCCAGACACATGGGCACCTCGCCGTGAAGCGGAACTCGCTGGAGGCAGGAAAGGCGCAGACGATAGCGGTGGATGCGGTGAAATTGACGCAGAACCACCAAAGCGGTTGCCTCTACCACCAATTGGCATGCTGTTTGTTCCAGAAAGCTTTGGCGTTGGAGCACTAGGAGGCGGCCTTGACATATCAACATGACGACGAGAGGTATCGCGCTGTAAATCCAAATTTAAAAACTCAACAGAAGACATCAAAAAGATACCAACCGAAGTCCGAGTCGATGATTCAACAGGCGCACGCCTTTCATCCCGCGAGGGCGCAGCTCGAGAGACATCTTCGTGTATTGTGCGACGAGGCTCTTTCCATTCAGAACGCGACAGTTTGGGAGAGCGATCTATATCCACTTTATTTCACGTAAATGAAGGAAGTGGTACAAGTGCCTACCTGGAGATCTCCGTCGTGCAGGCATCTCAACATCATCCATCATTGCCCGAGGACGTTTAGGAGCGGAGCCGTCGCGATCCTCTCGATAGCGCTGACTGTTCACAAGCTGTCGAGAAGGTTCGGTAGACTTGACGACACTGGAGGGAGAAGGATCATCAACATCCATATGATCTTTGCCTCGTTTATCCCTAGACTCATTATGAGCATAGGTCTCTGTCTGAGAATTCGAATGAGGCGCAGATCTAGAATGTGCTTGCCGAGAGCCTCTGGCGTCGGAGGATTTGAGGTCTCTTGAGGTCTCCAAAGGAGACAGGCGCGGGCCCGAAGGAATGCGTGCATCATTGGTGATCAACCGAGAAGCCGGGGCACTATCACGAGTGGCAGACGGTGGCGAGCGGTACCCGACATCCGCTCTGCCACGCGAGCCTTCCTGGAAACTGTCACGTTGCGGTGGCAAAGGCACCCGTTTTCGAGAGCCTGAACAAGCGAGAGATGCACGCGAATGGCAGACGACGTTGGCATGAGGAAGGAAGAGTGGATGGGTGAAGAATACGTACGTTCGATTGGGGGTGATGGGGTGGGGGGGTACCAACTGCTCCTGCGGAGCTTGGGGCAACGTCTGAGGCGCAATGTCCGGGCTTTCGTGAGCTCTTGCATCAGCTTTATGGCGATCACTTGTTCGATGACGAGACCGAGTCCCATCTGCGCTAAGTGACCTGGCTTGATGGCGCGGTTCTCGCGAGGGCTTGTCAGGTAGATCTAGAATTCGTTGGTCCATGTGGGCAGAAGGCACTTGAATGAAGCGACTGTTCTGCCTCGCTGCGGACGACAACTCATTGCGCGAGATGTCGGGATCGTTCGAGGGCGGCAATGTGGGCGGATATCGAATTTCACGACTGTGACTGACAGGCGATCTGGGTCCTAGAGAATAACAAAGGAGAAAACAAAAAAAAGAGGAGGATAGATATAAGGATAGGGGGAAAAGGAGGAAGAAGATAGGGATCCATGATGAGCGTCCGTGTGTCCATGCGAGGAAGAAGTCGAATACAAAAGAACGAAATATGGTACTGCGCAGCTCAACTCTCGAGGTTGTGCGGGACGCAGCAAAGGCATTGCGCCCTGTACCCCAGGAGGAGCAGATACACCGACGAGGGATGAGGTTAGGGGATGATGTAGATAACGTACTTGTTGTCGACATTCTGTCGGCGTCGCGAGGAGTCTCGCGACGCTCGCGTTCTTTGTGAGAAGGTTGCTCGGCTTCACGGTGTTTCCCTTCGCGTGACTCTGGCCGATCGACAGGCGACGGAACTCGAGGTGCTACCCAAACGCGGTCTACATCTGCTATAGGTGAGCCGGGACGTACAGCGTCCTTTGTGGATGCTCTGCCCCTATTCTGGTCCCCGTTGGCTGAAGGCGACCGCTGGCGACGAGAAGACAGAACGCGGTCATCTGCATGGTGGCGTGGAGGCGGCGAAAGGGACCGTTCTCCATTGGCTCTGTTGGATGCCAAGAAAGAATCATTTTGACTACCATAGGATTGTACTGGCAGTCGCTCATCCCGCCGAGTACTTTCTCCTGGGCGGTAATGGCGATCATCATAGGATAAAATGGTACTAGCATTTGACCGGCCTATACGGGAGGTCAAAGAATCATCAGTCTTGCTGATAACAACGATATCCCGGGGTTCGTCAACAACGCGCCGATCACGAGCAGGCGGTGAGCTGCCAGGACGCGTCCAGGTCGATTCCTTGGTGCGAGAATTATAATAATAGACACCTGGGCCATTTCTCGGGTGTCTAACCTCCCAATCTGGGGGAAGTATATCCCCTGATTCAAATGTCGTAGACTTGGAGACGACGACAATGCCATTTTTCTTGTCCCGGTCGACGCGAGCCGCCATGGCTGTAGCTTCAATGATGGATGGATCGGAAGGATGCATAAATGGAACTGAAGACACTATTGGTTTGGGAGGAAGAGCATGAGTAAGTTTTCCAAACGATAGCTGGCGTTTGAGGGCTGGAGATGGTTCAGGAACCGTCTGTGTTTCCTGAGGAGTCCTTGCTGGCGTCTTGGGCCTATCATGCTCAGGAGCCTTGCCCCGAGCGTTGACGCCAAAAACTGATATCTCCTGATTTTTTTCAGGGTGATTAACAGCCTTTGAAGGAGACTGTGTGCGCTGAGGAGCGCCCTGTGAAACGCGAGGCTGGTAGGTCAGAAATTCGTCGTCCTCGTCACCTCCAAGCGACACAGCATCTTCTGCGTCCTCGGCGGCGAGACTTGGATCCTGCTCCGAAGTTCCCCGGTCTTCCTCCTCGTTTCCCCAGTCTAGAACTTCAGTTTCATCTTCCACCATGGCACGGACGAGAAGAGTAATGAACTGACGACAGAAATGTGTTCCCAAGTTGGCCGAGGAGAACCTCCCAGCTCCGACCTAAATTTCGATTCCCGCCCGCTCCCCGCCGAGGTTGAGAGTCGAGACCCGTCTTGCACAAAGTTGTCCATATACATCACTGATTCCGCGGTGAACAAGTTAATCATTGCATCATAGTCTCAGGTGTCGTGGCACATGAGTATTATTGTCCGAGCACCTGGAGAGGTGGCAGAGACTACCTTTCATTGACATTGTTGATGTTAAGACTCGACGATAACGATTCTGACATATGTGGTATATAACTGGTATGATTTCGTTTGGATCTGATGGCTCTCATACATATATAGAGTCGGTTCACCTTGTCCAGGTCTGGGGTGTGCACAATTTACCACGTCCTTGGACATTCCTCATGGAATAGTCAAACTGCAGTGTTTCATGACATCGCGCACTGGAAGTTGGATGACTATGACTGCTTTTGACTCTGCTTCCGCAGCAGAATTATTAGTGCAATGCAACTCATCAGAGCTGTGCCGCACCCCCGATCAATATATGGCTCTGGAGGACTCGCAATGTCCTGGAACAATAAATGTCATCATCTTGCCCATACAAGACGCGGATACAATCACTTTTGGATGCTCGTTACCATCAAAGAACTTGGTTGCAATCTTGTGGTCTGCGCTTGGCGAGGCTTCTTGGCAGCCGAATACTGAGGACCGGAGAGGGCCGGTAGCTAGCCATTCCTGAAAGGCGTGGTTCTGTTCCAGGAGCCTCCTTTTTGTTCGACTGCTCGAAAGGCTTAATTCAGCTCAAGGTGTTCTGCCCTTCCATTCAGCGTTTTGCTGTCAAATCAACATCTGGACGTGTCGATTCCATCAGACTAGAAACAACTAAAATAACGTCCTCTTAAAGGGACCCCTTCCCATACGCCACATCTATTCCTGCAACGCCCCCGCATTCTGTCACGCCGATCCCAACTATGTACCTAGGTGTCGGCCTCGGTGGAGACATCGAACACTGATATCTATGTCAAGCAGGTAGCAGCACAGTTCAATTCGCTGTCTTGGAATAGATGCAAGACAACAGTTTTATTTTGTTGCTAGATACGCCAGTATATTGAAAAACATTGTAAATATTGCATGACCCTTGCCTCAGCGCAAATATTGCAGCGTGCACTTGAAACGCGCTTACAAATCATCAACAAGTATTCCGAACCCGATTCCGATCAGCCCTTCTACTTTGTCATCGCCTCAGTCGCCCATTTATCAAATTTCTATCCAAAGTGTCTTCATCTCGCACTCGTTTCCGACGCCCCCGAGTTGGTACAGACATGCCAATACTTCCTTTAACATCTCCATCATATCCTAATCACAATTTATCTGGCACTCCCATGTCTGTCTCCAATCGTGTGCCATTGATGTTTCGACGGTTGCATAGGTTCCAGCAAATGGTGTGAAGTGCATGCTGTTAGGCTTTGGGTAGACGTGCTGAGATGGATTGGATCTGCAGGACTTTGAGCTGGCCTTTTGGCAGCTGTCTTATCTCTGTCTGGCACCCAAGAGAGTGTGAGCCAACTCCTGAAATATTAACACAATTATGGCCCGTTGACATCTGACTATTAGTTATCGAAACGTGTACTACCACAAGCGTACGTCAATAGATCTTGGTCTGAAGCCAATGTTTATGTGTTTACTGTAGAGACCAAGAACACCTGGGCAAGAGATGACCCGGCAATCTTAATTCTGCTATTTGCAAGCCTCTTCGGTGAGATTCGTCCATGCAATCTATATTCAGAAGTTATTCACAATGTATTCGATGTCGTTCAGTTGCTGCAGTAGCATGGTCTATTGTGTATTCGTATTCCCCACTGCAGGCGGTGCGATTAGCATTTGTGATGATACTGCGAGATTACCTCCTTGTCGGTGTACTGAGTGCGACTTTTCTTTGGTTCGTCACCCTCCTCTTCTAAGGTGTGATGCTAACACATCATTTTCCTTCATAGGTTCTTCTCCAACCGGGTGTTGGTATCACCTTCCTCTCATTCATCACCTACAGACTCTTCAGTCGAATGGGCATATGCTTTCGACGTTCATACGAATGCATTTTTCCCCTTGTATCTGACACTTTATTTAGCGCAACTGTTCCTCCTTCCCGTAGTGTTAAAGGATAACTGGGTTTGCCTCCTTGTTGGCAATACCTTGTATCTTGCAGGGCAAGTCTTGGAATTCACGCCACCTAAATTGTCCTTTCAACATTGATTTCACCAACAGGTTTGCTCAGTATATCTACGGAGTGTACCTTGGACTAAGTGGTATGCAAGTCTTCTCTTCCATTTTGCCGCTGATTTCTTTCTTCACATTCAGCTCTACCATTCTTGATACGCTCCGAAATATTGCTGGCCCCATTATTACCGCTATTTGCGAGCTATGTTGTGTCGTTATTAGGTTTCCACGTTGCAAAACATGTTCTGAGCGTGTACTTCGGTTCATGATACACTACATTGTACAGGAGATGGACGATAGGCGTGGCCCCCATTAGCTATTTCCGCAGTAGTGTGTGCTGTAGCTTGACCACAATAATAATAGACACTTCCGAGTCTTCGTGTTAAAACTTTGAAGCTGTGGGCCCAGGGGTATTTTCTCTCCAGTCACCGCCACTGAGCGTCTCACTTGCACTCCCTTCTATCCGTGTGCGACCGATATCTTCCTCAATTCTTGTCATCATGCACATCGCACAAGCTCATGTCGACCGTGCAATTGAGCAGATCCAGCACAAGAAGCCGCCGCCAGATATCGACTTCACTCAGCACGTACTGGAAGATGGCAACACAATCAGTACACAAGAGCGGGTCGTCAAAGATGTGCGCTCGCGTCATCAGTTCCTCATTTTAACCGCCCGCTGAGGCTCTCATTGCAGGTGCAAGCACCAGCTATGGGCGTCCCGACAGATGCCCAGTTTTTCTCCAGACAAGATCCCACCAAACCTGACGTAGCGTTCCTCAAGAACCACTTTTACCGCGAAGGTCGTGTCACCGAGGATCAGGCGATATGGATTTTAGACAAGGCAACTGCACTCCTTCGTGCGGAGCCTAATGTCCTGCAGGTCGACGCGCCAATCACAGGTGAGTGTGCTTGTCGTCTGCCAGTGGTCACTCCATGCCAACCGACCTTCTCACTTAGTTTGTGGCGATATCCATGGTCAATATGTATGCGCTCTCAATTGTTCGTCAAGCTGATGCATTGCTGATGCTGATCATCTTTCCAGTATGACCTCATGAAACTGTTCGAAGTTGGCGGCAGTCCAGCGGACACACGGTACCTTTTCCTCGGGGATTACGTTGATCGGGGATACTTCAGTATAGAGGTGTGTCCCGCATTCATACTCGACCTTCTCCAACTCATCCCACCATACAGTGCGTTCTATATCTATGGTCCCTCAAGATCTGGTATCCCGATACCCTCTTCCTTCTCCGTGGCAATCATGAATGTCGGCATCTTACAGATTATTTCACTTTCAAACTTGAATGTATGTTTCAGTCACTCCATCTCTAAATGATTCCGCCATAGCTAACGTCATTTAGGTAAACACAAGTACTCAGAGCGCATCTATGACGCTTGCATGGATTCCTTTTGTGCACTTCCCCTTGCTGCCGTCATGAACAAGCAATTCCTATGCATCCACGGCGGTCTTTCACCAGAGCTGAACACTTTGGATGACATCAGAGCGGTACGTCCATTCGCGGATCTCCCATGACGCCATGTTCATTTATATCGCGTTTAGATTGACCGGTTCCGCGAGCCTCCGACACACGGGCTGATGTGCGACATTCTGTGGTCGGATCCTGTCGAAGACTTTGGGCAAGAGAAGATGAACGAAAGCTTCGTTCATAATCACGTCCGGGGTTGTTCCTACTTCTTCACGTGAGTCATCTCGAGTGCTCGATGTACAGCGATTAATCTTCGGCATGCAGTTACCAAGCTGCCTGTCAGTTCTTAGAGCGAAATAATCTTCTTTCGATCATTCGCGCACACGAAGCGCAAGACGCCGGGTATGTTTTGAATGTACGGCCGTTCATTTTACTCATGTAGTCTCTCAAAAGATATCGCATGTACCGGAAGACAAAAACCACAGGTTTTCCTTCTGTCATGACGATCTTTTCTGCTCCCAACTACCTCGACGTGTACAACAACAAAGCCGCCGTCTTGAAGTACGAGAGCAACGTGATGAACATTCGGCAGTTTAACTGCACGCCTCATCCGTACTGGCTACCTAACTTCATGGATGTGTTTACATGGAGTTTGCCCTTTGTGGGAGAGAAAAGTACGTTCACGGAGCTTATTAGAGCATCCACCCAGAACTGAGCGGCACATATAGTCACGGATATGCTTGTTGCTGTGCTAAACACTTGCAGCAAAGAAGAACTCGAGGAGTCTGACGAGGAAAATATTGTTTCACAAGTAACCCACCACGAAGAAGAAGCGAGAAGAAAGATCATCAAAAATAAGATCCTTGCAGTTGGACGGATGGCGCGCGTGTTTGCTCTGCTCCGGTATGGGATCCTTGTCTACACGTCGCGCTAGTCTGACAAATCTGGTGCAGAGAGGAGTCGGAGAAAGTTTCGGAGCTCAAGAGTATATCTGGTTCTAGCAAGTTGCCATACGGCACGCTAGCGTTGGGCACAGAGGGCATTAAGGATGCGATTTCCGGCTTCGAGGACGCGTACGTACAACTTCTTTCCCTGCACACGCTCTCGGTGTTCATCGCGTCTTTCTACAGGCGGAAGTCAGACATCGAGAATGAACGCCTTCCTCCAGAACTTTTTGATGCCGAAGAGGCAAAGGCTTTCCTGGCTCAATCTGGGTCGCTACCGACGACCCCAGCAGACACCGTCGACTCCCCTGTGTCTCCGGGTGGAGCCAGCCCTGGATTGGATACTTCCATGTCGTCTGGATCACTGACGTCCTTAACCAGTCCCCTGAGCAGTGGACAGATTGGTTCTCCGCGGACCCCATTCAACACGCCATTCAAGGGCAGGCATGGTCGGCAGGCTTCGCTTGGGACGACGATGACAAGTCCCTCGACGAGGCGCCGGAGTTTGGAGAGCACGATTTCGATGATCCAGGAAGCACTCGATGGGAAAGACCTGGAGACTCGTGGGCTTCCTGGAAATGGTTCATCTTATGGGGGTAGTTGATTGAGATCGAAGCTCGATACTGTATATCCATAATTTTTTTAGTCGCTTTGATGGATCGCAACCTTGTGATGAAAAGAACAAGTATGAGTATGATTATTAATGGACAACTTTATTGATAACTAGCAGCCTGGAAGCCTCTCTCATCCGCCGACCTACTGCAGTGCTCTCTTGAGTCTCACGATTGATTAGGCTTAGAGGCAATCATAGCAGTGTACAACAGGTTCGAAGTCCACCGTTGGCGTCAGGCCTGATTATATTCGATCCTCAATCCGGACCAGCGTTCAGCAAACCTTTGTAGTCGTGCAATCTCATGATAGAGGACCACCGGTGATCCTATATTCTCAAGACCCCTGTAAGACATTTGGAAGGTAAGAATGAATACAAATGCATGGATTAGATTATAATAAAAAGCTTTCACATCCATTTTATTGCTGACGTGCTGCCTGTATTCAAGGCATGGCCTCGATATCTGCTACGGTTCGAATCCTTAAGAACATAGTGGCTGGCTTGGATAAGCGAAGCCCAAGCCAGAGCGTCCAGCAGACCATCGGGAGGCAGACCACGTTTTCGCACCCGCTGCAGGCACTTGTCTCCCAGGATAAGGGTCTGTTAGCTAGGGCAAGAGGAACGCTAGGATAGCGGGGATTGTAGCGGTTTCGAACCTGCGACAGTTCTCGTCAGGGGGTTACCGCTACCCCAACCGCGCTGACCTTCTTGGTTTGTTTATGATTATACTGCTGAGCCTATATACCGCTCGAGTGGGAGTAAATGTTCCATTGCACGACTGCAACTGCGTCTGAGGACCGGCCAGCTTCATACGGTAACCGTGACCCACCGGCAGGGTAGTTTACGGTTGGGAGAACCTACTCACCGAGACTCCTTCGTTCCGAACCGATTGATATGGCGTCTCTGAGCAGAAACATTAATGCTGGACATTAATAAATCGGAACAGTCCGAAAGTCCCGGACTAAAAACAAACGTTATCTAATAACGGGCAGGTAAGTGCTATTAATGACAGAGGTCGGGACTTACGGTTTCGCATGGATTAATATTGGCGTCCAATCCAGTGCGTTATTAATGTTCACATCATGATCGAGCAACGTATCACACAGCATGCATGGATTTTCCTCCGAAGGTGAGTACAACTATCAGTGGCGCAGGATCATGATGTGATTCTGTGACTCATACTACTACTACTACGGCAGCACCATGCGCCCAAGGCCAAGATCAACCGACCAGCCGCATCTGGTAACGCAATAAGGGTCCAGGATAAACTTGCACACGAGACGGCGGATCTGTGGCTGTGGGGCCACAAAATCATCATCAGAGTCGGGCTCGTCGTCTGCTTCAGTCCCAGAGTTGTCTAGACGCAGACTCCGAGTCGGATATATTGGAATCCGTGTCCGTGTCACTGCTGGAATCGAGCCCGGACACGCTAGAGTCTCATGCTGGATGAATCCGAGCAAGACTGCGGCGCACTACTAGTACTGCCAATGGCCAAGAGGAATAAACAGATATATTTCTGTGCGGTGTTAAGTTAGCGAAGTTGTAACTATTTAGTAATGCATAACACGGAGATCTAATCCCACTTGAAAGCTTGGCACACCCTGGGGTGTTACATGTACATCAACGTTCAGATTTCAGAGTTGGCAGCAATTTTCACGCGATTTCGAAAGTTTGAATCTTCTTTCTAGAAATCATCGTGAGCGCACAAAACAATTGGGATGAAGCTCGCTGATGCGACGTGACAATGGACATTACTTTGTGCGCGCGACGTGATTGGTCGTATAAAAATTGTCTGCCAACAATTCAATTATGTTCCATACTAACGAATTCAGACACGTGTTCGCCAATTGGGGGGAAGGGTGATAAGGGTTGTGGTGACCGCCGCCACCACTTTATCCGCCTTGGTAGTCTGCGGTTGTTCGCTAGGAAGGTGCATCGCGAAGGTTTGCGTGGAGGACTTGCGAGCCGCAGATAGGCTCCGAGCTCGTCATATATGCCGATGCTATGACCATATATAGGAAATATACGAATGCGCCATAACTCTATCCAAGTTAGGTTACTACACACTCGATGCCTCGTGAGCGTGAGCCTTCATTCGCTTATAAAATCTGTTCTCAGTATGAGCAGTAATTCATCTTCACTATCTCATTTGACTCCATGGCCTCACTCTATTCCACTGAGGTGCACTTTCAAAACTTTGGAATCCTTGCTGTATCGCTGAACTATGCTTGCTTTTCAAGTTATATGCCATAACCGCTGATGCAAGAGCACTTGCTGAAGAACAACCCCTTCCCGAAGCCCTTCATCGCACGTCCCTCTTAATGAGGGTACTCTGTTTTTTGGCGTTTGGGCGCCAAGATCTTGAAGATCATTGGAAGTCCCTACAATCAAAGCAAGGGTTCGAAACCGTTAGGGGCCGGTCATGCTCTATCCTGACCAGCACTATTACCACAGTAAGCTATCTAACTCCGGGCGCGCTACGAGCTCTAGCCGACGCTGACATGCCCCCACATTGAAGGCAAGCGTCATCCTCGCCACAAGTGTTGTTTTCGTCAGTACGGGCTCTCCTGTACCGTACTTTGACTATACAACACCCGCTCCTTACTGTCTACTCATTTTATCGCTCATGCTCGCCGTGATCGCGATGTTGACATCTGGCTCAGGCATGATACGCTGGCTGCACACCGATCGGCACTGGACTCAACAGGTGAGGATCATTCTCGTCATACCGCTTGCGCCGACTGACCTAAATGTGATCAGCAACTTAAGCTAGGCGGTTACTTCGTGTTGTCCTACCTGTTGTCAATAGTCGCCCCCATGTTCTTCGTCGCCTGCTCCCTACATGGTTTCATATTTGGTGAGTTATTTCATCATTTGAGGCTCTCTTCTGGTCCCTGATACATTTCGCCCCCAGCGATGTTGATAGCAGGCTTTTCCTCTCCAAGCGTGATCTGCCGCGTCGTCACTGCGCTCTGGCTGGTCACATACATCGTCAACATTGGGATGATATTGACGGAAACTATGTGGAGGTATGCTCAATCACGCTAGATATCGCCGGTCGTTCAATCCACCTTCTACTTTGCTCCTTGTTTCCCACGGTTTGTTCATGCTATGTATAACTTCCCTGATGCAGCACACAAGTGGGCTCAATGTAGACGAATTTATGTATGCAATCTGTGGCTTTCAGTCATGCCAATTTTTCAAGAACGTTTTGCGCATCGAATCGTGTCAGTGTGAAAGTTTATCGGAAAAAAACCTCGAGTGGAGATGTACGCACGCCTTTCACAAAAGCAGGCGGCGATCAGAAAGTCTGAAAGCACGACGCAATAGTTTAATTGGCGCCATGAAAATACCTGGGCGTGTCGAGCTCGGGGTATGAGTTCTTCCTCGGCCTAGAAGTCTAGTGTACTTCAAGAGCTTTATTGGATAAGTTGCAGGCGTAATCGTCGGTCCCAGAGAAGGAAACACGGTTGTATGGTGGTTCATCTAAGGCCTTCCAGAACACAATCCGCCAGTTCAGAGCGTGAATGGAAGTTGTCCAACGGTATGGACACAACGTTTTATCATCGGTGTTCAAGCGTTCAAGCCTCAATCTGTGAGAGGCGACCCCACAATCCAAGACCCTATGCAATGCCAAGATATCCATTGCTCCCAGTGAGTTTGGAGGAGTTGTGTTCGGTAGGACACGTTAGCCACGAGTCGAGCTCGTCCTCGTACTTGCCCATGATGCCTTCTCAGACAATGCAACGGATGTAAGGGTCGTAAATGGTGCCCCAAAGGTGGCTTTCAACTTCGGGATGCAGTCAGGGCGGCAGAGGGCGGATATAATCATACTAGTAGTATGTGGCGATATCCATGGGCAATATGTATGCGCTCTCGATCGATCGTCAGGTTGATGCATTACTGATCATTTTAAGATCTAGATAATGTGATCTGACCTCAGTCTCGTAGAACGGACTATATTGGTGTACCTAGACCTAGTGTGATCAAGCTAAGTTATAATCACGTTAGCGTAAACGTGGGCAGGAAGGGACGTACTCTCAGTCTCAGAAAACGGACTGAGAGAAGACTCGGAAGAGGTGAGTCAATATTTGGCATTCCCACATTCATACCCCGCGGTTATAAGCGTCGCACACGGTACCTTTGCCTCGGGGACTCGGCCGATCGGGGGGTGTCCCGCATTTATACTCGATCGACCTTCTCCAACTCATTAGAGTGTTTTTGCTAAGGAAAATTTGAGATTTCCTAAATGTAAAATGATACTCCACTTGATGCAAAATGTCGAGTCGGAAATACCAAATTAAATTACAACTGACTGTTCCGTCCGAATCTTATGTTACGCTGACCACTAGTACTGCATCCGCCGAGTCCTCGTCGAACATGAACAACCAACAACAACAGCCTGTTCAACCATTCCTGGCCCTTCAAACTTTTTCCACCAAATTTATCCACACTGTTGCTGTCACGGCAATATCACAGAACAGCTCGGATCCAGTGTCCTTGACTCGCCTGGCGTTGAGAGTCAAGAGACAGCATGAAGAAGATGCCGAAGACAAAGGACGGCCACGCCCCCATCAGGGGGGTGAGCGCATATCCGAAACTTACTTGAGGTCCATGCGAGATCGAGAATCATTGTGGCAATTTCAGTGAGCATTACTGCATCAGATCCAGCGAGTCGCAGTTAATGTGTGATACTATGCCATCAAGGATGACTGCATCAGAATTGCTTGAACTCGCTCAAGCTTTGCGCCTCCCTGACGAGATCAGAACGGACATGGGACACAAGTTCACCGCAATCGAAGCTTTGTGCCTCACTTGTGCTCGCTTACGCTCAGCTGGTGACCTGTATGAGCTCGTATCTAAATTTGACCGTTCTGCTGCTGGAATATCTGAAATAGTCAACTGGGTCATCATTTTCATTGACGAAAAATGGGGGCACCTCCTGGATTTTGATCAAGAGCATCTGCTCTCCCGACCTAACTTGGAGAAGTATGCGAGGGCAGTCCATGAAAGTGGTGCACCTTTGACTGGAATTTGGGGTTTTATTGACTGCACCATACGGCGCATCTGTCGGCCGTCTCACTGGCAACGGCAGGCATATAATGGTCATAAAAAATACCATGCACTCAAGTTTCAGGCTGTGATGTTGCCGAATGGGATGTTTGGTCATCTATATGGGCCTGTTGAAGGACAACGCAATGATGCCTTTCTGCTATCGGAAAGTGGGCTCATGACTAGTTGCAAGGAATATGCTGTGCGTGATGGCACTGATGAGCATACTCCTATGGAGGATCATTATTTGCAGCTCTTCGGAGATGCTGCGTATGGTGTCAGTCCACAAATGATAAGCCCATTTTCAGGTCCCGGAAATCGCACGGAAGAGGAACAGCGGTTCAATGCAGCCATGGGGGCTGTGCGGATAGAAGTCGAGCATGGATTTGGTATTGTTGCGAACATGTGGCCAGTACTCAATGCACACTGGAAGATGCACATTTTTTCTTCTCCCATTGGAACCCAGTATCGCACCACTGTCATTCTTACAAACGCAGTCAACTGTTTACGGTTTAACCAAGTTTCGCAGTTTTTCAATTGTCAGCCACCAGAATTGCATGAATACTTTCATCCTTGATTATGTGCAGTCTACACGGGTATATACCAATGCTACATGATGTACATAAGTTATGATAGTGGGAATGGGGAGTTGACAGTCAACAACAAAGTCACAAGCATCTACTGCTTCACATGTGTTACTGCCTCCAAGTAGCGCTTGGAAGTTCTCTCGAGAACAGCAGTACAAGCCTTCATTTCCTCGATGACAGCATCATTTTGCTTGCTTCGTATCTCCTCACCATGCTTGATAACATCAAGGACCGATTGCCATTCAGTGCCCATTTTCTCGCGACGGATGCGCTTAGTAGTGGGAGCACCAGGTGGAGACAGCTGTACGGGCACACAATAAGGAGAGATATTCTCCTTGTCAGAGTTGTTGTCAGAGTCAATATTGACATCAGCAAGCTTCTGCTTGCGAGCGTTGCGAGTAGCTTGTGTTCGTATCACCTCGCCACCTACTCGATCGGCTTCAGCTTTCTAATAGGATCTTGTAAGTGCTGCAAAGTAATACATTGGCTGATAACACTTGCCTTCCTCTTGGTGTCCTTCTGTTCATCATTCTGCATAGCGGCAGATCTCTGATTTTCGGAGATCCTATCTAAAAGTGCCGCAAGGACAGTCTTCTGTGACTGGGACAGTGTGCTATTAATGCTGGGAACCGAGTCTGGGTCCTTGATATTGACATTTGTGTGAGCATGCTATAATTGAAAGCTTCACATACTTACATCTTGATACTTGAGAAGCTGTGTCATCTTGTTGCGGACACCTGCATACGAAGTGTTTCGGAAGTAACCTTGCTTTTTCATAGCTTCATGGATGTCTTTCCAGGCCTTCGTCTTGTGGGTGTGTTTTGCAGCATATGGGTTGCGCTCGCTAACGACTCTCGCGAGGTGCTCGAGTGCAGCACCTCCGTATTTCGCACGAGATGGATATGACTTCTTCTCCTCATTGCCGGCAGTCAATGGAGGTGGTGATTCAGATGCACGTAATGCATCAGTACTGAGCTTGGTAGGAGTGGGAGATGGAGGTGTTGGGCACTGTCCAGACGGAGGCGGAAGCGACAGTGCAGGGAAGACAAAAGGGTCTGTCGTGTATGACGAATCAGGTTCCCAGAATACAGAGACATCATCCCCAGTCCCAGATGTAGAGAATTCTGAAACTCGATCAGGTTCGACGTGGGCCATCATGTCGTTGACCCAAGATGGCTGAGTACTGGTTGTATGAGGATGTGTGTTATGGGGCATGGTAGCAAGTTGCTGGTACAAGTGGAACAAAGCCCACTCGTTCTTATCATTGTGAGCCAGCTGGTGACGTAGTAGAGCTGAGCACACACACTGCACGTCATATTCAATAGAAAAGTGGTGCGCTGCATACATGCATCGTCACTGTTGTGCGGGGAGCAACGACTGACGGCTTGGTGAGCTAACATAGGTCTAAAACGGCTTAGTGGCAAAAAATAAGGTTCTCAAAAGTAACTTAACATCTGACGACTCCAACGATTAAGGTTTGGTGTAAAATGGACGGGTCTTAAGTTAGTGAAATTCTTCAAAAAATCCTTAGCAAAAACACTCTATTCCATCATGCAGGATCTACGTTTCCTCAAGCTCAAGATCTGGTATCCCAATACCTCTTCATTCTCCGTGGCAATCATAAATATTGCCGGCATCTAGATCTCACAGATTATCTCACTTTCAAGCTTGAATGTCACTCGGAGCCGAATCTCTTTGAAATGTTGCACAAGTACTCAGAGCGCATCTATGGCGCTTTCATAAAATCCTTTTGTGCACTTCCACTTGCTGCGGTCATCATGCATCATGCATCATGAACAGGCAATTCATATGCATCCACAGGGTAGACTCGTAACCAGTCTGGACTACATCTTTGAGATGTTAAGTGTTCTTCGCCACTCGACTTGTCCGTGGTATTAGTAAGCCAGGCTGGCCACGAGCCTATGGTTCAAAACTTCGAAACTTTAAGAATGTGTTAATAAAGTATAGCAAGTATGTAATCACATTCTTCGACAAGCTGACACTAGTTAGAGTTCGAGTTCGTACCTTGGCAAGGTTTAGTTTACTTATGGCGAGAATCTGAGCTCGTGACATGTGCGCCGACAACGTTATTCATGAGCCGTCCGTAGGATATATAGGATAAATAACTAAGTTGGGAGATGCCACAGCATATATACAACTGCAAAGCACACGTATCGAAATCATGACGAAGGGAGGAGTTTGAAATTTGGTGGATGCCGGTCGTGCCGGACGTAGTATGATACGCATCTTCTGTCGCTCAAAATACAAACTTAGGTATACCCAGGCTCATTCCCACCTTGCTGGAGAGGTAAGGGGGCGGTCTCTGAGCACGGTAGTGTAAAGCTTAGTAAACCGGAAACATGCGCAAATCTTTCAAACCCAGCACAACCTTATCCCCCAACCTCTCCCGGTTTACTAAGCTTTACACTACCGTGCTCAGAGACCGCCCCCTTACCTCTCCAGCAAGGTGGGAACGAGCCTGGGTATACACTCGCTCGTGCATAGTCACCAATGCATCGAGTGTTATTACGTTAGGTTGGAACTTCCGTATTTGGCTTTATTTTGGTCGTTTTGATCGCTCTGATTTTGCTTCTCCGTATTTTGCTTTGTTTCACCCAGTCCTTGCTTCAAGCCTTGATCGCGTTCGGCGTCTCAAGTGATCGCACACCTTCCGCTTCTTAAGTGGTCGCACACCTTCCGCCCCTTAAGTGGTCGCACACCTTCCGCCTCTTGGGTAAGTGTTACTAGGACATGTCATAGCTTCATCCGTCGTTCCCTTATAGCGGTTTGAATCTTCTTGTTCTCAGTATAGGCCTTCAATAGTCCATCTTCACTCTTTCATTTAACTCCATGGCCTCTTTCTATTCTACTGAGGTACATTTTCGAAACTTAGCAATCCTTGCCGTATGACTGATCTACGCTTGCCTTTCAAGTTATATGTGACTGCTGACCCAAGAACACTTGCTGAAGAACAACCCCTCCCCGAAGCCTGTCGTCCCACGTCCTTATCAATGAGGGTAGTTTGCTTTTCGGCACTGGGACACCCAGATCTTGTCGCTCATTGGAAGTCGCTCCAATCCGAGGAAGCGTTCGAAACTGTTAGGAGCAGGTTGTGCTCTATCCTGGCCTGCACTATGACCACAGTAAGCTATCTAACTCCTCGCGTGTCGCGAGCTCTAGCCGACGCTGACATACTCCCACAAAGGCAGGCGTCATCCTCGCTCTAACTGGCGTTTTCGTCACTACAGGGTCTCCTGTGTCATACCTCGACTATACAACACCCGCTCCTCATTGCCTGCTGGTCACGTCGCTCATGCTCGCTATGATCGCGCTGTTGACATCTGGCTCGAGCATGATGCGTTGGGTAAACACCAATCGGCACTGGGCTCAACAGGTAGGGGTCATTCTCGCCATACCGATTGCACCGGCTGATAAATATGATCAGCAACTTAAGTCAGGCGGCTACTTCCTGTTGTCAATAGTCACCCCCCGTGTTCTTCGTCGCCTGGTCTCTACATTGTTTCATGTTTGGTAAGTTGTTCCATCATTTGAGGCTCTCTCTAGTCCCTCATGTATTTTACCCCCAGCGATGTTGATAGTAGGTTTTTCCTCTCAAAGCATGATTTGCCGCGCCATCACTGCGTTCTGGCTGGTCACATACGTCATCAACATTGGTCCGATGTTCCATCAACATCGGACCAATGTTGATGGAAACTATGTGGAAATATACGACAAGCCTCGATCACGCTAGATATCGCCGGTAGTATCCACTTTCCACTTTGCTTTTTGTTTCACATGCGGTTTGTTTATGTTATACAGGCACTCCCCTTCGGTTGGCTCTACGACAATAGTGTTTGCAGTAGGAAATATTATATTAGCATCGTCTCATAGACCTAGTGTCTCTTCAATATCAGTTGTGACGCTTACGAAAATCGCCCGAAAATTTGTCTAGAATTTTATCGTTGAAAATCCATCAACATAGAAGTTGAGAGGGGAAAGGAATGCACGATCAAGACAGCTTTCAGCGTCTTCGAGAATCGGTGGGAAGGGCAGTCTTGTCCTTCGTTCACCTCTGCAAATAGACAGTGTTTCTTCGCGTTCTCGACTCCAGTGAGTTTGGAGGAGATGAACGGAGGGTTCTGCGGGACACGAAAGGCACGAGTCGAGCTCGTCTTCGAACTTGCCCATGATGCCTTCCCGGACGACACGACAGATGTAAGGGTTATAAATGGTGCTCCGAAGGTGGCTTTCAATGGCAGAGGGCGGGTATAAGTGGCGATATCCATGGGCAATATGTATGTGCTCTCGATTGTTCGTAAGGCTGATGCATTACTGATCATTTTGAAGATCTACACAGGGTACACGTTTATAGCGTGAACGCGGGCAGAAAGGAAACAAAACGACATGGCGGTTATAAACATCGGCGTCATTACGGCCTTATGAAGCTGTTCACGTTCACACACGGGATTTGGTTGATCGGGGGGGTCGCATTTATACTCGATCGACCTTATACTCATTCCATCATACAATGCGTTCTGTATCTACGTTCCCTCAAACTCAAGATCCGGTATCCCGATATCTCTTCCTTCTCCGTGGCAATCATGAATATTGCCGGCATCGCACAGATTATCTTACTTTCAAGCTTGAATGTCATACCGAATCTCTTTGAATCCGTCACTGAAGCCATTCAGGCAATATTCTGCACAAGTAATCAGAGCGCAGCTATAACGCTTGCAGGAATAATTTTGTGCACCTCCCCCTGGTCCCATTCATGATACACTGCATTGTACAGGATGATGGACAATAGGCGTCGCCCCCATTAGGTATTTCCGCAGTAGTGTGCTGTAGCTTGACCACAATAATAACTCACTTCTTCGTGTTAAAACTTTGAAGCTGTGGTCCCAGGGGTATTCTCTCCAGTCACTGTCACTGAGCGTCTTGCTTGCACTCCCTTCTATCCGTGTGCGACCGATATCTTCTCCAATTCTTGTCATCATGCTCATCGCACAAGCTCATGTCGACCGTGCAATTGAGCAGATCCAGCACAAGATGCCGCTGCCAGATATCAACTTGACTCAGCACGTACTGGAAGATGGCAACACAATCAGCACACAAGAGCGGGTCGTCAAAGATGTGCGCTCGCGTCATCAGTTCCTCATTTTAACCGCCCACTGAGGCTCACATTGCAGGTGCAAGCACCAGCTATGGGCGTCCCGACAGATGCCCAGTTTTTCTCTAGACAAGATCCCACCAAACCTGACGTAGCGTTCCTCCAGAACCACTTTTACCGCGAAGGCCGTGTCACCGAGGATCAGGCGATATGGATTTTGGAAAAGGCAACCGCACTCCTTCATGCGGAGCCTAATGTCCTGCAGGTCGACGCGCCCATTACAGGTGAGTGTGCTTGTCGTCTGCCGTGGTCACCCCATGCCAACCGACCTTCTCACTTAGTTTGTGGCGATATCCATGGCCAATATGTATGCGCTCTCAATTGTTCGTCAAGCTGATGCATTGCTGATCATTTCTCCAGTACGACCTCATGAAACTGTTCGAAATTGGCGGCAGTCCAGCAGACACACGGTACCTTTTCCTTGGGGATTACGTTGATCGGGGATACTTCAGTATAGAGGTGTGTCCCGCATTTATACTCGACCTTCTCCAACTCATCCCATCATACAGTGCGTTCTATATCTATGGTCCCTCAAGATCTGGTATCCCGATACCCTCTTCCTTCTCCGTGGCAATCATGAATGCCGGAATCTCACAAATTATTTCACTTTCAAGCTTGAATGTATGTTTCAGTCACTCCATCTCTAAATGAATCCGCCACTAACGTCATTTAAGGCAAACGCAAGTACTCAGAGCGCATCTATAACGCTTGCATGGATTCCTTTTGTGCACTTCCTCTTGCTGCCGTCATGAACAAGCAATTCTTGTGCATCCACGGCGGTCTTTCACCAGAGCTGAACACTTTGGATGATATTGGAGCGGTATGTCCATTCGCGGATCTTCCATGACGCCATGTTCATTTATATCACATTTAGATAGACCGGTTCCGCGAGCCTCCGACACACGGGCTGATGTGCGACATTCTGTGGTCGGATCCTGTCGAAGACTTTGGGCAAGAGAAGATGAACGAAAGCTTCGTTCATAATCAAGTTCGGGGTTGTTCCTACTTCTTCACGTGAGTCATCTCGAGTGCTCGATGTACAGCGATTAATCTTCGGCATGCAGTTACCAAGCTGCCTGTCAGTTCTTAGAGCGAAATAATCTTCTTTCGATCATTCGCGCACACGAAGCGCAAGAAGCCGGGTATGTTTTGATTGTACGGCCGTTCATTTTACTCATGTAGTCGCTCAAAAGATATCGCATGTACCGGAAGACACAAACCACAGGTTTTCCTTCTGTCATAACGATCTTTTCTGCTCCCAACTACCTGGACATGTACGACAACAAAGCCGCCGTCTTGAAGTACGAGAGCAATACGATGTACATTCGGCAGTTTAACTGCACGCCTCATCCGTACTGGCTACCTAACTTCATGGGTGTGTTTACATGGAGTTTACCCTTTGTGGGAGAGAAAAGTACGTTCACAGAGCTTATTAGAGCATCCATCTAGAACTGAGCGGCACATATAGTCACGGATATGCTTGTTGCTGTGCTAAACACTTGCAGCAAAGAAGAACTCGAGGAGTCTGACGAGGAAAATATTGTTTCACAAGTAACCCACCACGAAGAAGCGAGAAGAAAGATCATCAAAAATAAGATCCTTGCAGTCGGACGTTGGGCGCGTGTGTTTGCTCTGCTCCGGTATGGAATCCTTGTCTACACGTCGCGCTAGTCTGACAAATCTGGTGCAGAGAGGAGTCGGAGAAAGTTTCGGAGCTCAAGAATATATCTGGTTCTAGCAAGTTGCCATACGGCACGTTAGCGTTGGGTACAGAGGGCATTAAGGATGCGATTTCCGGCTTCGAGGACGCGTACGTACAACTTCTGTCCCTGCACACGTTCTCGGCGTTTATCGCGACTTTCTACAGGCGAAAGTCAGACATCGAAAATGAACGGCTCCCTCCAGAACTTTTTGATGCCGAAGAGGCAAAGGCTTTCCTGGCTCAATCACAATCTGGCTCGCTACCGACGACCCCAGCAGACATTGTCGAGTCCCCTGTGTCTCCGGGTGGAGCCAGCGCTGGATTGGACACTTCGATGTCGCCTGGATCGCTGACGTTCTTACCCAGTCCCCTGAGCAGCGGACAGATGGGTTCTCCGCGGACCACATTCAACACGCCATTCAAGGGCAGGCATGGTCGGCAGGCTTCGCTTGGGACGACGATGACAAGTCCCTCGACGAGGCGCCGGAGTTTGGAGAGCACGATGTCGATGATCCAGGAAGCACTCGATGGGGAAGACCTGGAGACTCGTGGACTTCCTGGAAATGGTTCGTCTTATTGGGGTGGGAGTGGTAGTTCTTCCCATAGTTGATTGAGATCGAAGCTCGATACTGTATATTCATAGTCTTTTTTTTCTGGTCGCTTTGATGGATCGCAACCTTGTGATGAGTATGAGCATTGAGTATCATTAATAATTAATGGGCAACTTTATTGATGACTAACAGACTGAACTCACCTCAGAGGCGATCGTAGCAGCGTATAACAGGTTCGAAGCCCATTAACATCAGGCTTGGTTATATTCGATCTTCATGGGCCTTTCGGACCAGCGTCCAGCAAAGCTTTGTAGCTGTGTAACCTCATGACAGCCGCATCGGTGATCAATATTCTCAAAACCCCTGTAAATCAAAGGTGCAAGTATTAATGTATGGATTAGATCATGACATCCCTAGCATGCTGCCTGGATTCAAAGCTATCTCTGCTATGGTTCGAATCTTTAATAACATTCTCATCAAAGCTGAATAAACAGTCACTTGCTGATGCCCGAACCAAAAACAAATGTTCGTTGCGCAAACAAATTCAAATTCATCTATCGAACAGCTTGAGGTAAGTAGCATTACTATATGATACTGATAGAGGTCCTGGACTTACGATTTCGCAGGGATATCATATGGGGCCGGTCAAATGTAAGAGGATATCACCTGTGAACTTTGGGCGACCTCGATGGCTTGCGAATACAAAAGGCGTTGGACGGACTGAAATGAACAGGACTGAATGGATGGTGTTGACGGGAAGGCCGTTCCTGTGTATGTCTGAAGGGACCTGGCTGTTCTAGGTTGCTGTGTCGAACATGACTCTGGGAAACACCCGCACACCAGAAACGAGTAGAGACATGTGTATTGCACAGATCGTAGAACATTAATGTGTATAAGCCTTCGCGGGAAGGAATCAAATAAAGGAATTGACCTGTCAAGGGGGTCAGGGAAGCACTGGCTCGGGCGGCTCAGGCTCGCCACCGCTACGATAGCGCATCAGTACATTCATAAATAACTCGAGAAGGCTGCTAGTAGAAGCACGGAGATTAAAGTTCAGGCGCTGGTCTGCCATCGGTCTCAATCAGGCTGCGGACCTTGAGTGTAGGGGCAGATAGGAATTGGCCCGGGCCTCGTCGGCAAAACGTGTGAGCATATCTGGCTCTTCTCGACTATGCTTGTACAGGTCAAAGATAGTTTCGACCACTATCATATTGAGGCTACGTACGCCTTCTGACGTCAAAAGTGCATCAATATTCCACCCAATTATGCACGTGGCACTCTCTGAGCCTCGATTGAGATCTCTTCGACGAAGCCAGTTGGCATGATACCTTTGTCAACCCTCTCTAGCTCACTCCAGTCAATGATGCTGCCGTCCCAAATGTCCGGTACATCATCTGCAATCAAACTACCACCTGCCCCGTCGTTTTCTTGCAATTGGTTAGCTTCCCTCCTCAATTTGGGTAGGAGCTATCTCACTGTCCATGATTGTGCTTGATAGGAGGGACGTGTTTCAACATGAACCTGTGTCCGTGTAATCGATATGTGAATAGTTGCTCCACATTACAAAATTTACACAAAGTAGTTACTCACTAAGTAGCTTGAAATTTGCTTGATTGGTTTGCTTAGGTGTGACAAGGAGTCTATTACATACCCAAGAAGATTCTTTCCTTTTCAACCAGTCTGACCCTGAGAAGCTTCTGCTTCCGCGATAGGCGGGGATAGAAGGTCTTCATTGCCTTTCTTTCAACTGTTTTAAAGCGTGGTCCAGCATATATAAGTGCGGTGAAGACGATGGCAAAGCTTCGTGGAGCACGGATAAGGGTTCTGCTGAGTGTTTAGAGACTGCGATTAACTGACTTTTCTTGTGTGGCCGCGAGTTCGAGTCTACTGAATGGCGGACAGCACTTGGCTCCACGAAAATTTTGTCTTTACATATTGCGATGATATTATTCATGGTAAGTTGCGCCAGAGAATCATCGAGTTCCATATAGACATCGAGAAACATTCAGGATTGAAATCGTTTGTTATCTAATGACATTTGTTTATATTTGGTTAGTCTATCAGTCGCCGGCACGTCGGACGATGACGACGCTCTGCAGTGTAGCCTAACATACTTTGTGTTGTACGTCCTGTCCATTATAGTGCATTTCCTTAACCTTCATTAATGCCATTGACTGCCAGAGATTCCAGATCCGACCCTGCACCGCAAGCACTCTCCAATACCTAAATAATAATAAAGCTCGGCCAATTGCCTCGAGGTCTTAGTGTGGCAAGGCATCTTTGCGTAAAATCCGTCTATCATCTAACGCAAACGTCACCTTCGTAAACGCACGTCCCGAGTACTCCTGTATGTAGCGTGCGGTCACTGAAGATACACAATCAAGACCATTCAAAGTGTCAAATAAAATAAGGATACCAAACTTCCATTAGGCTTACGAATACACCCTGCAACGTGGATGCATATGACCTTGCAAGCAAGGTGATTACCAACAACACTATTTGCGGTCTCTTGCTCAAAGGTTCGACAGTACTTGCCCCATGTGTTGGCCGGCCGGCCGTCAAAAATCTGCTACCTATGGACAAACCTCGGGCCAGCTTGGTCTCAAAAAAAATCGGCTATCTTTTGACAGACATTTGGCTCTAAAATCTGCTTCTTTCTGGACAGACATGTGTGGAAGCTTCTGGCGGACCGTCTGAAGTCTAATGAAAAGGAGGCACGCCCCGGGGGCGTGCAAGCTGCCGCTGTCTCCAGGTACCGACCCCAAAAGTGAATAACAGAGGCTGTGAAAGTAGCGTTACATTCAGTACATTCCCGGGGAAATTCAGTGAATAGCCTGTGAAATAATATCACTGGAGCTCGAGGTCAGGACTTACGTTTTCGCAGGGATTGGCGTCCAATCCAGTGCGTTATTAATACTCACACCATGATCGAGCGACGTATCACAGCAAGTACGGATTTCCGAAGGTAAGTACAACCATTATTGGTTCACCCTAGGCTCGTGACCAGCATGGCTTATACACCCGGCGTAGTCCAGACTGATTACGAATCTAGGTTCTCCGAGTCTTGAACATGGCGGAGATGAAAGGGTGGGTGGAAGAGAAGGAAGCTTGGCCTGAACCAGTAGTGCAAGCGGGACATTGCATGGTCGTCCGAGGAACGAGCACATGTTGGTTGCGAAAGAAGCTGGAGTCGGTAACGTATCGAATCTCGATCCGACAGAGACCCTCCACTAACATCGTGGGAGTCAGGATAGTAGGGGATATTTGAAGCTTGAGCGCTTGAACTGCGACACCCATTTGGATGCGGAACTGAAGCCATACATTCTCACCCAGTGATTTACATCCATTGTGTCGATCAGATCATTGAAAGGCACTAGATAAGCATGTGTACGGGAACTAATTAACTATAAAAGGCCACGGGAAGGTTGTTGTATTACATCTAGCCGGCGGCGCTACGTACTGACAACGTTTTTCCAAATAGCTGTAATATAATACAACTATCCATCAGATCACCGCCAGGCACTCGTGTGCATACATGGCGAGGCAGCATGTTAGCTCTCGCATGCGCACGGGTATGTGAGCTATGTAGTATGGGGCGTAGCACTCGCTATATTAGGTGAGTGGTAGATAAGTTTCCTTTATAATGGGTTGCCCTCTCCCTGCTCGAATGTCAGTATGGGAAGTGCATTAGTCCATTTGTACTCTTCTATTTCACTCCATGGCTTCACTCTATTCCACTGAGGTGCGCTTTGAAAACTGTGGAATCCTTGCTGTATGACTGAACTACGCTTGCCTTTCAAGTTATATGTGACGGCTGACCCAAGAACACTTACTGAAGAACAACCCCTTCCCGAAGCTCTTCGTCGCACGTCCCTCTTAATGAGGGTAGTCTGCTTTTTGGCACTGGGACAACCGGATTTTGATGGTCATTGGAAGTCATTGCAATCCGAGGAAGCATTCGAAACCGTTAGGGGCAGGTCGTGCTCTATCCTGACCAGCACTATCACCACAGTGAGTTATTCCACTCAGCGCGACTTCAAGCCGGCGCTGACATACTCCACAAAAGGCAAGTGTCCTCCTCGCTACAAGTGTTGTTTTCGTCACCACCGGCTCTCCTGTACCATACTTTGATTATACATCACCCGTTCCTCACTGTCTGCTCTTGATATCGCTCATGCTTGCTATGATCGCGCTGTTGACATCCGGCTCGAGCATGATACGTTGGGTACACACCGATCGGCATTGGACTCAAGAGGTGAGAGTTATTCTCGCCATCCCGCTTGCACCGACTGACCTAAATATGATCAGCAACTTAAGCCAGGCGGTTACTTCGTGTTCTCCTACCTGTTGTCAACAATCACTCCCGTGTTCTTCGTCGCCTGGTCCCTACATTGTTTCATATTTGGTGGGTTGTTCCATCATTTGAGGCACTCTTCTGGGCCCTGATACATGTCACCCTCAGCGATTTTGATGGCAGGCTTTTCCTCTCAAAGCATAATCTGCCGCGCTATCACTGTGGTCTGGATGGTCACATATGTTGTGAACATTGGAACAATATTGATGGAGACTATGTGGAAGTATGCGACAAGCCTCAATCACGCTAGATATCGTCAGTAGTTTCCATTTTACACTTTCCACTTTGCGTTTTGTTTAACCCGTAGTTTGTCTATGTTATATGTAACCTCCCTGATGTGGTGCAGACGAGTGTACTCAAAATGTAGATAAATATATGCATGCAATCTATGGCTTTCAGTTATGCCAAATTTTCAACGGACTATATTAGTGTACCTAGACAGTGTGATCAAACTAAGGTACATATTAGCGTAAACGCGAACGGGAAGGAAACTAAACGACGTACTCTCAGTCTCAGAGAACAGAAAGTGAGTCTATATTTGGTTCCCACATTCATACCCCGCGGTTATAAGCATCGGCGTTAGTACTACTACCTTATCTGTCATAGAAGCTGTTCGGCTGATCGGGGTGTCCCGCATCCAACTCATTCCATCATGCAGTGTGTTCTGCAAGCTCAAGATCTGGTATCCCCGATACCTCTTCCTTCTCCGTGGCAATCATGAATATTGCCGTCATCTCACAGATTATCTCACTTTCAAGCTTGAATGTCACTCCGAATCGGCCACTAACACCATTCAGGCAAACACAAGTACTCAGCGCGCAGCTATGACGCTTGCATAGAATCCTTTTGTGGACTTCCCCTTTCTGCCATCACGAACAAGCAATTCCTATGCATCCACGGCGGTCTTTCACCAGAGCTGAACACTTTCGATGATATCAGAGCGGTACGTCCATTCGCAGAACTTCCATGACGCAACATTCATTTATATCGCATTTAGATTGACCGGTTCCGCGAGCCTCCAACACATAGGCTGATGTGCGATTTTCTATGGTTGGATACTGTCGAAGACTTTAGGCGAGAGAAGATGAATGAAAGTTTCGTTCATAATCACGTTCCGGGTTGTTCCTACTTCTTACGTGAGTCATCTCAGGTGCTCGATATACAGCGATTAATCTTCGACATGCAGTTACCAAGCTGCCTGTCAGTTCTTAGAGCGAGATAATCTTCTTTCGATCATTCGCGCGTACGAAGCGCAGATGCCGGGTATGTTTCGATTGCACAGCCCTTCATTTTACTCATGTAGTCGCTCAACAGATATCGCATGTGCCGGAAGACAAAAACCACAAGTTTTCCTTCTGTCATGACAATCTTTTCAGCTACCTCGACGTGTACAACAAAGCCGCCGTCTGGGTGTAATATGAGAGCAACGCGATGAACATTCGGCGGTTTAACTGCACTCCTCATTTGTACTGGCTACCTAAGTTCATGGACGTGTTTACATAGAGTTTGCGCTTTGTGGGAGAGAAAAGTACGTTCACGGAACTTATTAGAGCGTCTATCCGGAACTGAGCGACGCATATAGTCACGGATGTACTTATCGCTGTGCTAAATACCTGCGGCAAAGAAGAACTCGAAGAGTCTGACGAGGAAAATGTTGTTTCACGAGTAACCCACCACGAAGAGGCAAGACGGAAGATCATAAAAAATAAGATCCTTGCAGTTGGACGGACGGCGCGTGTGTTTGCTCTGATCCGGTATAGGATCCTTGTCTACGCGTTCTGCTAGTCTGACGAATCTAGCGCAGAGAGGAGTCGGAGAAGTTTTCGGAGCTCAAGAGTATATCTAGCAAGTTGCCATATGGCACGCTAGCGTTGGGTACAGAGGGCATGAAAGATGCCATTTCCCGACTTCGAGGATGCGTACGTACAACTTTTTTCCCTGCATACGATCTCGGTATTCATGACATCTTACAGACGGAAGCCGGACATCGCAAATGAACGCCTCCCTCCAGAATCTTTCGATGCCGAAGAGGCAAAAGCTTTCCTGGCTCTGGCACAATCTAGGTCACTACCGACGACCCCACCAGACATCGAGTCTCCTGTGTCTCCAGGTAGAGCCAGTGCTGGAATGGACACTTCCATGTCACCTGGATCGCTGACATCCTTACCCCAGTCTCCCGAGCGGTAGACAGATGTGTTCTCTGTGGACCATATTCAACACGCTATTCAAGGGCAGGCATGGTCGGTAGGGCTTCACTTGGGACGACAATGACGAAGCGCCGGAGTTTGGAGAGCACGATGTAGATGATCCAAGAAGTGCTCCACGGGAAAGACTTGGAGACTCGCGGACTTCCTGGAAATGGTTCGTCTTATTGGGGTGCAGGCTATTCTTCCCATAGTTGATCGAAATCGAAACTCAATACTGTATATTCATAGTCCTTTTTTCTGGTCGCTTTGATGGCTTGCAACCCTGTGGTGAAGAGAACAAGTATGATTATGATTCTATAATGGACAACTTTATTGGTGACCAGTAGACTGAACACACCGCGTCCTGCAGAGGACTCTCTCAAGTCTCAACGACCGATTTCGATTAGGCAAGTGTAACAGCGGGTGGAAGTTACACTTCAACTTCGTGCATCATGTACTACTACAGCAGTACCTACGTACCGGTACGTACGAGATTTTTTCTACAAAGATCCGAAGATCCGTACACTTAAGTGCCACACTTTCTTCCGACGCCTCTTGCTATGTCCTAGCTAACTATGTTCCTCCACCTACCGCTGCCTTTCAATACTACACACCTGTTAGCATCCCCCGCATTCAACAACCCCTGTTGCAGGGTCACTCATATTCACGCATACGCACTCCCCTCATGCACCTGCGGGTCGCGGCTACCTCATGCATGTAAGTTTTCCCTTTTCTCTTTGTCTTCTAACTTTTAGTGGCCTTCCGCATACTCCCCATCATCTGAAAGCTTTCTCTGTAGGAGTATGTTTAATCATTCTTGAACCCTGTCGAGTGGATCGCTTCATAATAATGTGTGTAACTACTGCTAGCAGGTGAAGCTCGAGGGTGTCCGCGAAACAAATACATCATGCAAGTCCCGGACCCTCAAAGCTGAAAAAACTCGAGGTGTCCGGGGAGGAAAGTCTAAGTAGACGATGCTAACTACAGAAACGAGCTTGAAGGCGGACCCATGATGGTTGGTAGCGAAAGGTGCAGCAATAAGTAAGCTCGGTAGACTAGCAAGTCACCGAGGTAGGTAGAATTGAGCACGGCTAATCTGGAACGAATTTATCATTTCTCACTGTATAGTGCAGCTCTCTAATGAATTTGTTTATGGACAGTTGGAATTGGATGGAGTATCTACGCATCATGTACATATAGCACGGGAATAAAATGCGGAGCGAAAATACACGAGTCAAGGGTGGGTGCTTGCACCATTACCGATATATATGACAGCATACAACATAGACAAACCGCCGCCCGCGGGTGAAACAAGGAGCAAAGTGGAAAGTGAAGACTACCGGCGATATCTAGCGTGATCGAAAAAAAAGAGTGTGCTCTCATCAAGAGGAACGTGCAACGAAGGGCCTCGGGGAGGGGTTGTTCTTCAGCAAGTGCTCTTGGATCAGCAGTCACATGTAACTTGAAAGGCAAGCGTAGATCAGTCAGTGACAGCAAGGATTCCTAAGTTTTGAAAGCGCACCTGAGAGTAACGGAGTGAAGCCATGGAGTGAAGTAGAAGACTCGTACAGATGTCGGACTAATGCTCATACTGAGAACAGAGAGGTGCAACTTATTATGACCATGATGGATCGAAAAAGGCAAGTACTTTGCGTCGACGAGGTGATCATGAAGCTGTAATGGATCGAAAAAGCATGTACTTTGCGCCGACGACTCGAGGTAATCATGAAGTTGCAATGGATCGAAAAAGGCATGTACTTTGCGCCGACGACTCGTGAAGTTGCAATGGATCGAAAAAAGGCATGTACTTTGCGCCGACGAGTGGTCATGAAGCTGTTATGGATCGAAAAAGGCAAGTACTTTGCGTCCGAACACGTCGTCGCCTGTTGTTGTGTTCTATTATTGAATGACCCGTCAATTCAAAAATAATAGTGTACCTTAGCACAGCTTCAAGTGAATCCGCTTATAACGAGTTGCACCTCTGTTCTCAGTATGAGCATTACTCCGACATCTGTACGAGTCTTCTACTTCACGCCATGGCTTCACTCCGTTACACTCAGGTGCGCTTTCATAATTTAGCAATCCTTGCTGTACGACTGATCTACGCTTGCCTTTCAAGTCGTATGATGCGACTGCTGATCCAAGAGCTCTTGCTGAAGAACAACTCCCCGAAGCCCTTCGTCGCACGTCCCTCTTGACGAGGATACTCTGTTTTTTGGCGCTTGGACGCCCAGATCTTGAAGATCATTGGAAGTCCCTTCAGTCAGAGCAAGCATTCGAAACCATCAGAACTAGGTTATGGTCGATCCTGGCCAGCACTATCACCACGGTAACTTCGTCCCACTCTGCGTGAGCTGAATCCGTCGTTGACATACTTTGAAAAAGGCGGGCGTCCTCCTCGCTATAAGTGGTGTTTTCGTCACTACCGGCTCTCCTGTGTCATACTTTGACTATACATCACCCGCTCCTCATTGTCTGCTCTTTGTATCACTCATGCTTGCCATGATCGCGATGTTGACATCCGGCTCGAGCATGATACGTTGGGTGCACGCCGATCGGCACTGGACTCAAGAGGTAAGGATCATTCTCGCCGTACCCATTGCGCCGACTGACCTAAATATGATCAGCAACTTGAGCTAGGCGGCTACTTCGTGTTGTCCTACCTGTTGTCAATAGTCACCCCCATGTTCTTCGTCGCTTGGTCCCTACATTGTTTCGTATTTGGTGAGTTGTTCCATCATTCGAGGCTCTCTCTGGTCCCTCATGCATTTCACCCCAGCGATGTTGATTGCAGGGTTTTCCTCTCAAAGTATGGTCTGCCGCGTCGTCACCGCGGTCTGGCTGGTCACATACGTCGTCAACATTGGGACGATATTGATGGAAACTATGTGGAAGTATGCGACAAGCCTCAATCACACTAGATATCGTCAGTAGTTTCCATTTTCCATTTCCCACTTTCCATGTTGTTCTTTGTTTCACCCGCGGTTTGTCTATGTTACATATAACCTCCTTGATGTGGTGCACAGATGTACTTAAAATGTAGACGAATATATGTATGTAATCTGTGGCTTTCCTTTATGCCAATTTTTCAAGAATGTTTTACACATCGAATCGTATCAGTGTGAAGGCATATGGAAAAATCCTCAAGTGGCGATGTACTTTCACAAGAGCAGGCGGTAATCAGAAAGTCTCAGAGCACGACACAAAATAGTTTAATTGGCACCATGAAAATACTCGGACGTCTCGAGCTCGAGGTATGTGTTCTTCCTCGGCCTAGAAGTCCAATAGATTTCAAGACTTTCGTTGGTTGAATTCAGGCGTGATCATCGGTCCTAGAGAAGGAAAAAGCGGTTGTTTGGTAGTTCATCGATGATCTAAAGCCTTTGGGAACACGACCGAGCAGTTCAGAGCGTGAATGGGAGTTGCCCAATGGTATGGACACAACGTTTCATCATCGGTGCTCACCTCCGTTTGTGAGACGTGACCCATAATCCAATACCCTATGCAGCGCCCAAAAGTCCAAGATAGCCATTGCTCCCGGTGAGTTTGGAGGAATTGAACGGAGGGCTCTGCGGGACACGAAAGCCACGAGTCGAGCTCGTCCTCGAACTTGCCCATGATGCCTTTCCAGACGACACGAAAGATGTAAGGGTCGTAAATGGTGCCCCGAAGGTGACTTTCAACTTCGGGAAGTAGTGGCAGAGGGCGGATATAATCGTACCAGTAGTATGTGGCGATATCCATGGGCAATTGCAATTTACTACGTGTGCGCTCTCGATCGATCGTCAGGTTGATGCATTACTGATCATTTTAAGATCTAGATAATGTGATATGTGACCTGATCTCAGTCTCGGAGAACGGACGATATTAGTGTACCTAGACCTAGTGTGATCAAACTGAGTTATAACCACGTTAGCGTAAACGCGGGCGGGAAGGAAACAAAACGATGTACTCTCAGAACGGACTGAGGCAAGAGGTGAGTCCATATTTAGCATTCCCACATTCATACCCCGCGGTTATAACGGTACCTTTTCCCCGGGATTTGGTTGATCGGGTGGTGTCCCACATTTATACTCGATCGACCTTCTCCAACTCATTCCATCATACAGTGCGTTCTGTATCTATACGTTCCCTCAAGCTCAAGATCTGGTATCCCGATACCTCTTCCGTCTCCGTGACAATCATGAATATTGCCGGCATCTCACAGATTATCTCACTTTCAAGCTTGAAGCTTGAATGTCACTCCGAATCTCTTTGAATCCGCCACTGACGCCATTCAGGCAATGCTGCACAAGTACTCAGAGCGCATATATGGCGCTTTCATGAAATCCTTTTGTGCACTTCCCCTTGCTGCGGCCATCATGAACAGGCAATTCCTATGCATCCACAGGGTCTTTCACCAGAGTTGAACACTTTGGCTGATATCAGAGCGGTACGTCCATTCGCGGATCTTCCATGACGCAACATTCATTTATATCGCATTTAGATTGACCGGTTCTGCGAGCCTCCGACACACAGGCTGAGCGCTAATGTGCGATATTCTATGGTCGGATACTGTCAAAGACTTCAGGCAAGAGAAGATATACGAAGCTTCGTTCATAATCACGTTCTGGGTTGTTCCTACTTCTTAACGTGAGTCGTCTCAGGTGCCCGATGTACAACGATTGATCTCTGAGTTACCAAGCTGCCTGTCAGTTGCGCAGCCATTCGTTTTACTCATGTAGTCGCTCAAGATACATCACATGTACTGCAAGACAAAATCGACAGGTTCTCCTTGTGTCATGACGATATTTTCTGCTCCCAACTACCTCGATGCGTACAGCAACAAAGCCCCCGTCTTGAAGTACGAGAGCAACGTGATGAACATTCGGCAGTTTAACCACACGCTTCATCCGTACTGGCTACCTGACTTTATGAACTTGTTTACTTGGAGTTTTCCCTTTGTGGGAGAGAAAAATACGTTCACGGAGCTTATTTAGAGCGTCTATCCAGAATTGAGCGACACATATTGTCATGGACATGCTTGTCGCTGTACTAAACACATGCAACAAAGAAGAGCTCGAGGAGTCTGACGAGGAAAATGTTATTTCATGAGTAGCCCACCACGAAGAGGCGAGGCCAAAGATCATAAAAAATACGATCCTTGCAGTTGGATGGATGGCGCGTGTGTTTACTCTTCTCCGGTATGGGATCCTTGTCTACACGTTGCATTAGTCTGACGAATCTGGCGCAGGGAGGAGTTGGTGAAGATTTCAGAACTCAAGTGTATATCTGGTTCTAGCAAGTTGCCATATGGCACGCTAGCGTTGAGTACAGAGGGTATTCAAGATGCCATTTCTGACTTCGAGGATGCGTACGTACAACTTCTTTCCCTGCATACGATCTCGGTATTCATGACATCTTACAGACGGAAGTCAGACATCGAAATGAACGCCTCCCTCTAGAACTGTTTGATGCCGATGAGGCAAAGGTTTTCCTGGCCAAAGCACATTCTGGGTCACTACTGACGACCCCAGCAGACATCATTGAGTCCCCTGTGTCGTGCGGTGGAGCCAGTGCTGGAGTGGACACTTCGATGTCGTATGGATCGCTGACTTCCTTACCCAGTCCCTGAGCAGTGGGCAGATGTGTTCTCCGCTGACCCCATTCAACACGCCATTCAAGGGCAGGCATGGTCGGCAGGCTTCACTTGGGACTCCGATGACGAAGCGCCGGAGTTTGGTGAGCATGATTTCGATGATCCAGGAAGCGCTCGATGAGAAAGACTTGGAGACTCGTGGACTTCCTGGAAATGGTTCGTCTTATTGGGGTGGTAGCTATTCTTCCCATAGTTGATCGGAATCGAAACTCAATACTGTATATTCACAGTCTTTTTTTTCTGGTCGCTTTGATGACTTGCAACCCTGTGGTGAAGAGAACAAGTGTGATTATGATTCTTAATGGACAACTTTATTGATTACCAGTAGACTGAACGCCGCGCCCTGCGGAGGACTCTGAAGTCTCACGACCGATTTCGATTAGGCAAGTGTAACAGCGGGTGCCATACCTCTTCCAATGCCTCCTGCCATGTCCTAGCTAACGATGCTCCTCCACCTACTGCCGCCTTTCAATACTACACACCTGTTAGCATTCCCCGCATTCAACTCCATCTCGTGTCCTCCTTGGTAAGTCCATTCTTCCGTTTCTTTGATCCTAATAACCATATGTGCACCATAGTTCAACAACCTCTGTCACAGGGTCACTCATACTCATGTCATACGCACTCACCTCGTGCACCTGGGGGTCGCGGCTACCTGATGCATGTAATTTTTCTCTTTTCTCTTTGTCTTCTAACTTATGGTGGCCTTGTGCATACTCTCGCATCATCTGAAAGCTTTCTCTGTAGGAGTATGTTTAATCATTCTCGAGCCCTGTCGAGCGGATCCCTCCATAACAATGCGTGTAACTACTGCTAGCAGATGAAGCTCGAGGGTGTCCGCGAAAGAAATACATCATGCAAGTCCCAGACCCTCAGTGCTGAAGAAATTCGAGGTGTCCGCGGACGAAAGTCTAAGTAGATGCTGCTAACCACAGAAACGAAGGTGGGCCTGCTATGATTCATCAGCGGGTTTAATTGTGCTACGCAGCTACCGAGCGCTCTGTAGCGCTCTGTAACGGATTAGGTTTTCCTGATCAGTGGTGGGCAGCGACAAGTGCAGCAATAAGTAAGATGCAGTAGTAAGTCTGAACAGTACTCTTAAGGAATGTGTATAAGTAGTGTATGCCCACCTCAGTAGATTAGCAAGTCACTGAGGTACCAGCAGCTCTCTGTTTGTAGACAGTTGGAACTGGATGGGATGGAGTATCCACACATCATGTACATATAGCACGGGAATAGAACGTGGGGCGAAAATCCACGAGTCAGGGATGGGTGCTTGCACCGTCACCGATATATACAACAGTATCTAAGAACATCCACAAACCGCCGCCCGCGGGTGAAACAAGGAACAAAGTGGAAAGCGGAAATTACTGGTGATATCTAGCGTGATGGCATAACTGAAAGCCACAGATTTTGCATACATATACTATAGGCACACTCGTATGCGCCATATATATCAGGAGGTCATATACAACATAGGCAAACTGCCGCCCGCGGGTAAAACAAGGAACAAAGTAGAAAATGGACACTACCGGCGATATCTAGCGTGATTGAGGCTTGTCGCATACTTCCACATAGTTTCCATCAATATCGTCCCAATGTTGACGACGTATGTGACCAGCCAGACCGTGGTGACGACACGGCAGACCATGCTTTGAGAGGAAAACCCTGCAATCAACATCGCTGAGGTGAAATGCATGAGAGACCAGAGAGAGGCTCGAATGATGGAACGACTCACCAAATACGAAACAATGTAGGGACCAGGCGACGAAGAACATGGGGGTGACTATTGACAACAGGTAGGACAATACGAAGTAGAGGCCTAGTTCAAGTTGCTGATCATATTTATGTCAGTCGGTGCAAGCCGTACGGCGAGAATGATCCTTACCTGTCGAGTCCAGTGCCGATCGGTGTGCACCCAACGTATCATGCTTGAGCCGGAGGTCAACAGCGCGATCATAGCGAGCATGAGCGACATAAAGAGCAAACAATGAGGAACGGGTGACGTATAGTCAAAGTATGGCACAGGAGAGCCGGTAGTGATGAAAGCACCACTTATAGCGAGGAGGACGCCTGCCTTTTTGAAAGTACGTCAGCGTAGGATTCAGCTCGCGCGGAGTGGGACAGCTTACTGTGGTGATAGTGCTGGTCAGGATAGAGCATAACCTAGTTCTGACGGTTTCGAATGCTTGCTCTGATTGGAGGGACTTCCAATGATCTTCAAGATCTGGACGTCCAAACGCCAAAAAACAGAGTACCCTCGTCAAGTGCGATGTGCGACGAGGGGCCTCGGGGAGTTGTTCTTCAGCAGGAGCTCTTGGATCGGCAGTCACCCGTAACTTGAAAGGCAAGCGTAGTTCAGTGATACAGCAAGGATTCCTAAGATTTGAAAGCGCACCTCAGTGGAATAGGGTGAAGTCATGGAATGAAGTAGAAGAGTGCAGATGTCGGACTAATGCTCATACTGAGAATAGGGAGATGCAACACATTAATGTTATAGCGGATGAGGCTGTGTTGTCGAATAACCAAATGTCCACAAATACAACAGACGAACGCTTCGGAAGATTAAAACGATTGCCTCCAGAAAGTCCGTTGCAATGAGGCAAAGCGCAGGAGTTGTCGAATAACCAGACATCCAAAAACACAAATGCTTCAGAAGATTAAAACGATTGCCTCCAGAAAGTCCGTTGCAACGCGGCAAAGCGCAGGAGTTGTCGAATAATCAAACATCCAAAAACACAGATGCTTCAGAAGATTAAAACGATTGCCTCCAGAAAGTCCGTTGCAACGAGGCAAAGCGCAGGAGTTGTCGAATAACCAAACATACAAAAGCACAGAGGAGCGCTTCAGAAGATTAAAACGAGTGCCTCCAGAAAGTCCGTGGCAACGAGGTAAAGCGCAGGAGTTGTTAAATAATCAAACATCCAAACGCACAGACGAGCGCTTATCACCTTGCTTGCAAGGTCACATACCGAACTGATAATTCTGCGATTCGTCTATACAAATAGCGGGAAATGCTGAACAAACGGCAAATCCTGGTCAAGATCATGGCACTGTACTACGACAAGCCTTTCATATGGAACAGACCTTGTTCGGTGTACGACCGCTTGTTTATCCTGCCCCAAGTGCTCCTGACACTACAGCTTACTGTGATGAACCATTATTGTGCGGAGCACGGTCGACTACAACATTGTTGCGTGATGTGCAGATTCAAACTAACAACAAAGAAAGACCTATTATAGAAAGGTAGGCGACCTAACACAGTGAGGAAAAAGACGTCATAATGAGATCCGGAATGTACCGTTCTCACGGATAGCTAAAGAGTAAATAATAAACAACTCATCTGATACAGGATTCCAGACTTTCCAGTCGTGTCCGTGCGGACATTCACCTTCGCTTTCAGAGCCTGAATTTGTCATCAGATTACCCTGTAACTTGAATAGGAATGTAAGTACACCCAGTCTGTACGCAATGTTGCATGCCCAAATCTGTTAAACGTGTTCAACTATTTGTATTAGCCCTAATAAAAAATGACAATCGCTCCGCAGAGTCCGCACGGTCACCAGTCTAGGTGCCGACCCCTAGTGTAATAAGATTAAACGTTGAGCGATCACAAAAGCTGATGTAATGATGTAAATGATGACAAATTAAGCAAGGTCACCGCCGGTCACGGCGCCTAGTTAGTAAGTTACTATCATTCCCGGTTAAATGCAAAACTTTCAGTAAATCTTTTGTAACTCCTCAACCACATCACATTTTCTTTTGAAAATTTGCCCCATCATGTATTCGTATCTCCTCTACATAGATCTGATTTTTACTGATTTTTAGGATAATGTGGTGTGGTGTCGGAGCAAACCCGATAAAACTCAGGGTCCACCTCTAATCTGCAAAAGTATGGTCACGTCTTGTCACGCCTCGGCACAGTAGCGGCACAGGTGACTTTCACTCTCCGAGCGCAGGCTTGAAACTTTGAACTTCTTGAAGCGTTGTGGATCGCGAAAGGCTCGAAAATGGTGGATACGGCAAATCATTGAGTACCATGGTTCATCTACTACTGACTATGATTGTAGTACTGGTGTTGCTGATAGCCTTCTGGATAAAATTGATGCCCTGCATACCTGTGCTGAGTCTGCACCATATCACCAACTCGGAAATCTGCGCTACTGCGACTCGCCGGTGCAAAGTGAGGGTGCGAAATATGTTGAGGCTGAGGTGCAGGATGCTGCATTGGATAATGTAGGGGTGCATACCCAGGTGGGGGAAATTCGTTTCTCGACATCGAGGGTTGAGGTGCAGGCTGAGGTTGGTATCCGAACGGCTCGCGAACTGGATTTGATGGGGGAATCGCGTCCTGCGGTAATTCCGCAGTGTTATCACCGTTATCGAGACGGCGCCTGCGAGAACGGGTAGGGTTGAATAAACCCTCATACCGTGGATTTGTCTTGAGGTCAGTGTTGCCGTCAAAGTGCTGGAGAATCCGCTGGAACACCTCAGCCTTGAGTCCAGTCTCAGGTAACCGCAAGGCTGCGGCTAAGTCGCGTAGCTCCTCCAGCTTCTTGGTCTTGATTGTGCCGGTGAATGCAGCTTGAGAACGCTCCTGTTCTGCTCGCCGATCTCGCTTTGGAATTTGTGGGCCTTTAAATGAGGTTTCGTAAGGTTCTGTGCACGTCGACGAAGGGTATGGTATGGCACGTTGAACTGGCCAGCTGCAGCTGAGAGGTTTTTAGCCCTCTTCTCTCTAACAGCTTGGATAGCAGCTTTGATGTTGGCCTCGCGAATGGCATCTTTTTCGGCTTTTGTCTGGGCTGCTTGCCTGCGGTGTGGTGCCATTGGAGAGAATGATGCGACTCTGTGAGACTTGACTGCTGCAGAGGATAGATGCCGGATGTGCCGAGGAGGAGATTGAATTACTTACGCATCTCCCCTGTCTGGTGTCACGTTTTTGTACTCGTCGTTGATTCTACCACTGTAGCACCTCAACACAAGAGAGTAACCTTTATCGAGTTGGTGTTCTTACATCCCTATAAGGTGTTCATTATGCCCCGGGTAAAATTTTGCGAATACCTTAGCAGGATCTTTGGGATCTGGGTGATTTGTGTTGGACCAAGGTTGCAAATTATCACTATTTCATCTCTCGCAGCTGCAACATCCAAGAAATTTTTATTCTACTTGTACAAAACATCATTTCTAGGTACTCTGCATACACCTGAATTTTTTCGACACCAGTTGAGCACGATGTTGAAGTGTTATAAAGTTTTGCATATCAGCAACCGTGTACATATTACCGGGAATGATAGTAGTGGAAGGGATAGTATGAAGATTACAATATATCCTTTTGGATGTTTGGTTATTCGACAACTGCGCTGATCCTCTGTGTTTGTTTGGTTATTCGCGATTTGCCTCGTTGCAACGGACTTTCTGGAGGCAACCGCTTTAATCTTCTGAAGCGCTCCTCTGTGCTTTTGTATGTTTGGTTATTCGACAACTCCTGCGCGTTGCCGCGTTGCAACGGACTTTCTGGAGGCAATCGTTTTAATCTTCCGAAGTGTCTGTGCTTTTGTATGTTTGGTTATTCGACAACTCCTGCGCTTTGCCTCGTTGCAACGGACTTTCTGGATGCAATCGTTTTAATCTTCTGAAGCATCTGTGCTTTTGGATGTTTGATTATTCGACAACTCCTGCGCTTTGCCGCGTTGCAACGGACTTTCTGGAGGCAATCGTTTTAATCTTCTGAAGCATTTGTGTTTTTGGATGTCTGGTTATTCGACAACTCCTGCGCTTTGCCTCATTGCAACGGACTTTCTGGAGGCAATCGTTTTAATCTTCCGAAGCGTTCGTCTGTTGTATTTGTGGACATTTGGTTATTCGACAACACAGCCTCATCCGCTATAACATTAATGTGTTGCATCTCCCTATTCTCAGTATGAGCATTAGTCCGACATCTGCACTCTTCTACTTCATTCCATGACTTCACCCTATTCCACTGAGGTGCGCTTTCAAATCTTAGGAATCCTTGCTGTATCACTGAACTACGCTTGCCTTTCAAGTTACGGGTGACTGCCGATCCAAGAGCTCCTGCTGAAGAACAACTCCCCGAGGCCCCTCGTCGCACATCGCACTTGACGAGGGTACTCTGTTTTTTGGCGTTTGGACGTCCAGATCTTGAAGATCATTGGAAGTCCCTCCAATCAGAGCAAGCATTCGAAACCGTCAGAACTAGGTTATGCTCTATCCTGACCAGCACTATCACCACAGTAAGCTGTCCCACTCCGCGCGAGCTGAATCCTACGCTGACGTACTTTCAAAAAGGCAGGCGTCCTCCTCGCTATAAGTGGTGCTTTCGTCACTACCGGCTCTCCTGTGTCATACTTTGATTACACATCAGGCGCTCCTCAGTGCCTGATCCTTATGTCGCTCATGCTAGCTATGATCGCGCTGTTGACATCCGGTTCGAGCTTGATACGTTGGGTGCACACCGATCGGCACTGGATCCAAGAGGTAAGTTTTATTCCCACCATACCGATTACACCGGCTAAATATGATCAGCAACTTGAGCTAGGCGACTTCTTCGTGTTGTCCTACCTGTTGTCAATAGTCACCCCCATGTTCTTCGTCGCCTGGTCCCTACATTGTTTCATGTTTGGTAAGTTGTTCCATCATTTGAGGCTCTCTCTAGTCCCTCATGTATTTCACCCCCAGCGATGTTGATAGTAGGTTTTTCCTCTCAAAGCGTGATCTGCCGCGTCGTCACTGCAGTCTGGCTGGTCACATACGTCGTCAACATTGGGACGATATTGATGGAAACTATGTGGAGGTATGCGACAAGCCTCAATCACGCTGGATATCGCCAGTAGATTTCACTTTCCACTTTGCTCTTCGTTTCACCTAATTTGCCTATGTTGTATATAACCTCCTGATAAATATGGCGCACACGAGTGTGCCCAAAATGTAGATGAATGGGTGCAATCTGTGACCTTCGAAGTTCGGTCACGCCAATTTTTCAACAGGGTCTTACACCGCATCGAATCATGCCAGTGTGAAAGGCTATAGAAAACCTCATGCACCCACGCCTTTCACAAAAGTAAGACGCAATCAGAAAGCACGACACCATGTTTCAATTGGTTCTATGAAGTCAACCCAACATCATAGAAATTTTTGTCAAGTAACAATACAGAAAGTACTGGGTCAATAAATCAATGACGAAGTTACAAAGTGAGTGCCTAGAAAACGAAACGTCAGATAAGAGTTAACAACAATAAGATGCGTTCCCTCAGGAAGAACAGTTTGTCCATCATAAAAATCGGACATATGCTTGTATGTTATAGAACATCTCCGGGAAAAGGATGGATCATGGCAGAATACTCACCAGCACTACGTTATTACATTCATCACAAGACGATCTGTAAGAGAGAAAAGAAGAGTAAGTAAGTGATGCAGATAAAGAACATGAGACATGAATGAGAATCAGTTGGTGATGCATGTTACGAGTGATGGCTCATTGGAGACCGTCGCCGACTCGAGGATGGAAAGTATCGTCATTTGGAAAGATAGGTCTTGAGACTTACCTTGGCCAGTATACATGACACGCCGTGTGCACGATGGTGAAGGTTCATGAAAAATAATGCTCGCTTGCCGAGCTTGACCTTGAAGCGGAGTTTGGCGGAGACTCAAAAACGCCTATACAGTTTCTGCTCGCGATTTTCTTATTTTTGTGTGTTCATGGTTCGCTCTCGCTCTCCCGTCTCCAAGTCGTATGGATCAAATGGATCAAGGTGAGCAAAAATTTGTCTCGATGCTAGTGCTTCGGCGCACCTTTTTGTGATGATACAATCAGTTCTGCTTCCGAAAGAGACACAATCTCTTGTGGACAACCTTTTACCAATAACTCTCAATCCTGATCAGCTTTTCTCGTTTTTGCGGAGAGGACAACATGCTAACTACTGCTTTTACAGATGAACACACTGGCCCTTCGTTCGCAATGCGTTGGTTGTGAAAGGGTGAGTATTTGCTATAATCGCGTACATACCTTTTTTGTTGTAAGACGAAACCAAGTTCATCCATTCTTTGAGTCTCCCGTAGTTGCGCGTTCGTTCGGACCGCTCTTGCTCGCAAGAGATGCGTCTATGCCTCGTTTTGATTCATTTGCGTTGGTCCAGCGGGTGTTGCCTTGCGGGGGACAAGAAAACATCGGCTTTTCTGATTCATGTTGTGATGTTGTAAGGCCCTGTTGAACACCCTACTTACTGTTATGTTTTAGATTTGTAACTTCGGATCTCCTTCATGAGGGCTATGTACTTGAATACGAGACATGTTGTGCCAATGGAGTATATTATATTTTACATGACTGACTACAGCGGGGCATGTTCTATGTTAGGTAGTATACTTAAATTACAAGGTCCAAGTTCTGTTTGAAACAGCGGCGTCCTCCATATCTGCGAAGAGCCAATTGAGAACAGCGGCAAGCCTAATACCACCCTGAGACATCAACTTCTCAACAATCCACGCATCTTCGATTACCCCCGAATACTCGGGCGTGTCGAGCTCGAGGTATGGGTTCTTCCTCGGCTTAGTTGTCCAGTGGACTTCAAGACCCGTATTGGATGAGTTGCAGGCGTGATCGTCGGTCCCAGAGAAGGAAACACGGTTGTATGGTGGTTTATCTAAGGCCTTCGGGAACACAATCTGGCAGTTCAGAGCGTGAATGGGAGTTGCCCAATGGTATGGACACAACGTTTCATCATCGGTGTTCAAGCCTCCGCCTGTGAGATGCGACCCCACAAGCCAAGACCCTATGCGACGCCCAAAAGTCCAAGATAGCCATTGCTCCCAGTGAGTTTGGAGGGATTGGACGGGGGGTTCGGTGGGACACGTTAGCCACGAGTCGAGCTCGTCCTCGTACTTGCCCATGATGCCTTCCCAGACGACACGACGGATGTAAGGGTCGTAAATGGTGCCCCGAAGGTGAGTCTCAATTTCGGGAAGCGGGAGAGGGCGTGTATAATTGGAGGGTATTGTGCGGATTCTTTTGGCTATGAGGAGGCCATCCCATAGAGAGTGAAGGTCTATCGCAGACGGTAAGAACAAGAAAAGATAAGAGCGGGAACAACTGACTTGTTACACGACTGTCGAATGAGACTTTGATTCCGTTCCCTCCTTTGTCACGCCCTGTGAGGTGCAATGGCATATGCATATCCCCAACGAAGTGAATGAGAAACTTGAGTGCGACCTGGGCTGCATCATCATTGCTCTCAGTGGTCAGGCCTGCTTTACGCAGGTCCAAGTAATCCTCCAGAACACTTGTGGTATTCCTTATGGCGCTAAGCACGTTGATATTCCTTCTACCCTCCCAACCTTTCTCTCCCGGGAAAGCGCAAGTCTCGCTAGGATAGTCATCCGTTGCGCCGATGTAGTGTAGGGGAGCTGTCCACCTGTACTGTGGCAGACCGCGAACCTTGTCTGCCCAGGCAGCGACCGGAGCGAGATGGCAGTCGCCTTTATAATTCAAGATGTCACACAGGATAGGCATGACTGAAGGATGCAGATGCATTTGAGCAACTGTGGCGACGACTTCATGACCTACAAGAGGATTAGACTCCTCAAAAACGCGACACCTCACCATACTCACCTACTGCTCCCCATGCATTGACGTGTGGTATGAGAGTAGACCCTGCGGCAAGAATGAGCGATACCTGCGAAAAGCGCATCGTGGTAGTTTCAAGCAAATCGATACTGGATGCGACAGTTCTTATACCGCGGAAGACGGGACGCGTAGTCAGAGGGAAACCAAACGGGCCTCCACAGATAAGGTGACGTAGTCAAGACGTCCAGTGAGAAACAAGAGGTTCGAGGATAAGGAAATACAATAATAGTCGGTGACACAGCCACAAGCTACAGCTTATTTGCAATATTACAAGCAGTGACATTCGCACGTTCGTATCATGATGACTTTTCTAGCGAAAAGTCATCTTTCTCCTCATTCGCTCCTGAAAATAAGTACAGCGTATCTCGACGGCTTTTGACGCGCGCCAACGCAATATAGCGCTGATCGTGAGCGAAAGGATCCGTTCTGAGATCCAGAACTGTGCGAGAGAGCGTGAGACCTTGGCAGCCTTTGAAAGTAGTTGAGTCTCAAAGCAAACTGTTTTCGAATCACCGGCCAACTTGCAAGAGTGATAATCGATAAGGATGAAAGGAAAACGTGATGCGTGGAATACAGTGGTTTTCGAGGTTGTTGAGCAGTTGGACGAATTCGACGAATCGACGATGTAGAGCCGTTATTGGTACTCGTGCATGCCTCCCAATCCCTTCTCGATCGACTGAGAGGTTGCGTTGTATGTATATGCAATTTATTTTGAGATCCAGGATCTGAGCATGCGTCAGCGCCGCACAGCATGACGGGGTGGACACAATTGACACCAAGCCGGCGGCTATTTGTGCTTATATATGTTAGATCTTATTCATGATCTCATCGCAAAATGTTCAAGTTCAACTTCGACGTGGACGATACTGAACAAAGTACGAATGTAAATCACACAACACAAAACCAGGGGCCCACTTCTCTGCAGGCAGTCGTCCCAGACGCATTCACAGAGCTTTTTCTCGCAGACGCTGTACGTCTAATTACTGCCCATCTTCATTCTGTGAACACTAATGTGAGCGCAAGGATTAGTTAAACAGCCTACCATCCAAAATATCTTACTCTCCAATCACGATCTCACTTGCCAGCGGAGGTGAACTTTCACTTCCGCGTCGTGATCTGTTCGATGCAAGGTTTCAATTGATCTCACAAAATCCCGATGACCCGGATGCATTGGAGCAACAATCCATCAATACACAGTCCGCGCTACACTTCTTAGATGCACCCTCTGACCTTGTGCCTCTCGTCTATGAGGGCGGCTTGAAGACTTGGGAATGCAGTCTTGATCTTGCTAGATATCTGGACGGCATAAGCTCACAGTTTGATGTGAGCGGTAAGCGTGTGCTAGAGGTGAGCATCTATTTCCCTACTCTGATGGTAGTCTGAAGCTCATTAATCGCTTCACAGATTGGATGTGGCACATCGATACCGTCGTTGTACATTCTCCATCGAATATTTTCCTCCCCGCCTTCTCAAAATCAGACGCATATCCACCTCCAGGACTATAACGCTTCCGTGTTGGAATTGGTGACCATTCCCAATATTATTCTGACCTGGTGTTCGTAAACTTCCGTTCTTTTCTTTCTTCACGTCTCACTCGAGATACAGATCTGTCAGAGGCAGCAGAAACATACCGCAAGTCGGAGGAATGGGCAGACCCTCCTTTGGAGTTGAACATCTCGGAAAGTCTCAAAGACACATTCCTTCAGTCTTTGACGACTTACGGGGTCCATTTGCGCTTCTTCTCTGGCTCATGGGATACATTCGACCTTCAAACCTTGGGTGGGAACTACAACCTGGTGCTAACGTCCGAGACCATATACCGGATGGAGTCTCTTCCGAACCTTGCTGCTATTATGCGCGGTGCTTGCAACGCTGAAGGCTCCAAAGATGTGGACGATTACCTTTGTCTTGTAGCTGCAAAAGTGCTCTACTTTGGTGTGGGTGGCGGAGTAGCAGAGTTTGTGCGATGTGTACGAGATTTGGATAAAGGAGGGACGGTCGAGACTGTATGGGAGAAAACACAGGGCGTCGAAAGGAGAGTAATGAGTGTCAAATGGAATTGACGATGTTAATTGATCCTTACCCGCGAGACGAAACGAAACATGATCATGTCGATTTGAAGATAATACACCTGGGAAGACCCACGACGACAAAATATCAATATCAATGTCGCGATGAACAGCAAAAAATGTGGACAAATCCGGACTCGAACCGGAGACCCCCCGCAGTCAGCGCCATGCTAAGCGGATGTGATAACCAGCTACACCATATGCCCTACGAAAAGTTTGCCTATTACGGTGACCTAGATTAAACGTATAAACTAATTATTCCTTTCTAAATTCCGACCGTTGACAACTCAAAAGGAACTTGAACGATTGTCTTCATTCTATCACTAGTACAGGAGACCTACAGACTATAGTGCGTTCTTTATTGTTACGTGCAAAGGCTTACATCGTCCCCCCCCTTTCAGGATGGTATTCAAAATAGCCGGCTGGGTGTTCAGCTTCGAGCAAGTGCGAACATGGTTAGAGAAGCAAGGACACCAACACCAACACTTGCCTGACGAGTTCCTTGCCACCGATCTCAACTACTGGTTCAAAGAGAGAAATATCGATTATCTGTGGGCCGTCGGCACCGATTATCCTCGGAGCTTACAGCCAGTCATCGTATTAGTTCGAAGGTGCAGAGAAGATCCCAAGTCGACAGTGTTCCGTTTCTATCATGTCAGGGAGTTGGATGCGGACCGTGAGGTGAAGAAGCAGGTGTTGGAGGAGAGTGGGCTCAATGATGAAGATTTGCCTTGGGTCACTGATCAGAGTTTGCAAAGGACCGACCTTGGACCGACCCTGGACTTCAAGGAAACCTGTTTAAAGAACAATGCCCTCGGCTAGAAAATTTGAAGAAGCTCATCCGATATGATGATTATTGACCCTAATACCGTGACACGGTGGCAAGCACGTGACACTTATGTGGTTTGTTTAATAGGTCGCGGACTCGCGTTGTGGTCTCGCAGTGGTGGTGAGTCGCCACCTACTAACGTCACGATCTAAACCAAAGTCCCCCAACTTGATCTTATTTGTCCTTTCTGACAAGCCGTACGTTCATGCGATCCTTTATTATGCACGCATGGGCTTACATTACTTCCCCCTTCAGGATGGTGCTCAAAATAGCCGGCTGGGTGTTCAGCTTCGAGCAAGTGCGCGCATGGTTAAAGAAGCAAGACCACCCATACCAGCACTCGCCAGACGAGTTCCTTGCTACCGAGCTCAATTTCTGGTTCAAAGAGAGAAACATCGATTATCTGTGGGCCGTCGGCACGGACTATCCTCGAGGGAGCATGCAGCCAGTCATCGTATTGGCTCGAAGGCGCAGAGAAGATCCCAAGTCGACGGTGTCTCATTTCTACCGTGTCAGGGAGTTGGATGCAGACCGTGAGGTGAAGAAGCATGTGTTGGAAGAGAGTGGACTGAATGATGAGGATTTGCCTTGGGTCACTGTCGTGGATCCATTTTTCGAATACTGATTGTTGTCGTGGCTTGAATGCAATCGACGAAATGGCGAGGTTCATTTATCGTGTAAATAACAGTAAACTTAACGCCTTGGACTGTTACAATGACTTGACAAGCGGTTGTGAAGTTTCCTTTTGGTCTGACCGGGGGAGACTATGATATGATAGGCTAACTTGAACTTACGATGGCGCTGCACAGCGATGACTCGAGTACTTGATCATCCTGTAAATCTGTGAGGAAGGTGACAATTTGTTCAGGCCTGCATCAGTGCAATACAGCAAACAGTGTCAGTCGATGACCGGGCCGTGGACCCATAAGTGCCACACAGCCGCCTGGCACTCAACTTGAAGTATCAGATCTCAGACACAGGCGATGGCAGTGATAGCGCTCACAGCCTCTTCCCTGCCAGGTGCAACACCCACTTTCACTGCAACTACGTCTCTAGAAAAACGATTTAAACATCCCGGCATTCGAACTCGAGCATATCTTACTGTGGCCTCGAATCGTCATTCTATAGTTTTGTGAGTAGTCTCGTATCTATTACCATCTTCGTACGTTCGAGTCGTCCCTCGAGATGGCCATTGATCATTTAATTTCTAACCATACTGTCGAATCCAACTAGTACTTCCTCGACTTCTTCCATTCCCTCCCACAACTTCTGGGTCATCTGCTGTCAATTAGGGTACCGCACGGGTAACACCGAGGGTCGGAAAGTTGACACCGCACCCGCACCCGCCAACACCGTACCCTTCACGGGTACGGGTACACACCGACCCGTCAATGTCGCGGTTTATGGAAAACACCGCGGTGTCTCTGAACACCGCGGGTACATTACCAAGAAGAGTGTATTAAGTATTAACAACAATGAAATAAAATAGTACTACTTTTCCTTGTCATTCTCCTCTGCTTCGACTTCATTTCGCTTCCGTTTTTGAGTCCTGACAGCGGCTAAAAGGTCCTCCATCACCAGAAGATCACTTCCGCCCCACGCTCCGAGGCAGAGAAAGGCACGAATTGTTGATGGTGCGAGTCGGTTGCGAGTAAAATGAAGGAGCTGCCGGCCCTGCGAGAAGAACTTACGCGCACCACACGGGAAAAAATGACACAAGCGGCCATTGTGGTGTTGGACCACAACTTCGGATGAAAAGAAACTATAGATAGGTGACCGCCAAGTCTTCTTGAGAGCCTCTGTATCATTGTATAATCAGATATTTGCAAAAATCAATGGAAAGAAACATACCAAGATCTGCAGAAGGATCGGGATCAGGCTCGAATGCACCTGCCGTTGATTTGTTATCGTCAGTGGCAAGTGAATCAGTACTTGATCGCGTAAGATCAACGGTGTCTGTGGGGCTCGATCGAGAAGACCGAGACACAAATGACTGCTTGACCTTCTTCAAGGGGCGGGCCAGAGCCTTAGCACCCTTTGCAACAGCCTTTTTGAGTGACCTGGCCTTCTCGGAGATGGACGACGAGATAGACTTAGATGATGAGTGTGACTGGGTAGACGAAGCATCAGATGCCTTCTTTGTGAGCTTAGTTTTCATGGGGAGACGACTCAGTGGACTTACTGGTCTCGAGTTTTTGCCTTGGCTTTATGGTAGTGACTCGAGCTTCTCTGCAACGAAGTGTCAGCTCAATAAATTGCTAGAATGATTCACGGGGGTACAAAAGACATGACAGAAATCAGTATAGCATTCACTTGTGATCCTCAAGCTCTCAGAGGAAGGAAAAACAGAGAATCAAACACGGTGTTCAATGGCTGTCGCGCGCCTGGTTCCCGATTTGGTATATTATACCCGCCCAAACACCGTCAACCCGCGGTGAATGGCCACGGTATGCTCAAGGGTACGACTATCCTACTCCGTACCCGTACCCTCCAAACCCGTCAGCATAGAACCGCGGTGTTACCCGTACCCGTGCGTTTCCCTACTGTCAATGAGTGACTGGGATCAATGTCAGTATCTCCATCTCCTATCCCCCATCTCATTATCTGACCTCGAACAGTTCCTTCATCTGAAGGAACTTGGGAGAAGCTCTCCCGGGTCGCTGTCAAGGGTGCTGAATATGATTCTCCTGAGCGCCAACCTCATCCGAAATGTTTGGAGGGGACCCGGGTGGACCTGCTCAAGTACATTGACGGATTATTAGACAACCAAAAGGAGAGCCGCATCATTTGGTTGCATGGCACAGCAGGCGTCGGAAAGTCTGCTGTTGCGTTCACTATGGCTCAAAGAATGAGAGTTCTGAAAGTGACGGAACTGACTAACATCGAAACGCGCCTTGCTGGGACGTTCTTTTTCTCTCGCAAGCACCCAAAACGCAGCACATCTGGTTACTTCTTCGCGACGCTTGCCTACCAGCTTGCCAACAATTTTCCCAGCATCCAGAAGGACGTGAATATAGCTATCCGCGAGAATCCTGCTGTCCTAGACCCCGATAAGTCTCTTCATGACCAAATGAAGGCGTTGTTTCACCGACCTCTCTCGCACCTTCGATTCCGACTAAGCGGGTGCCTGCCTCCAGTGTTTGTCGTGGACGCCCTTGATGAATGCGAACCCAAGGTCGTTGCTGATCTGATATCCCTACTTGGGGAAGCTCTTCGTGATCCTGAGCTGCCTGTGATCCACATCCTGCTCACGAGTCGCTTGGAAGAGCATATCCGGAAAGCTATTCAAACAGAAGAGATGGGCCCGCTGGTGTGTGAGATACCAGTGAGCACTTCTGGGGATGGTGTTGCTCCCACCATCTCATTGGACGGCGCGGATGTCGACAATGACATTTATACTTTCCTGCAGCATTCCTTTCAAGAGCTGCAAAATCGCCATCCAGATTTCCCACAACCATCGATGGACCAGCTTGCGAGGCTGGCGAGCCGAGCGGGCAGACGTTTCATCGTTGCAACCACAATGATCAACTTCATTGACAATCGAGACGATGATCCCCGCGACCGACTTCAGCTGATGCTCGAGCTAACGAATGATCTGCTGCCAGGAACGGAGGTGTACGAGTTATACGACTGTATTCTCTCTACATGCACTGACCCCCAGCGGGCACACCTATACCTATCTGTTGTGTCTGCGCTTGCAGACCCTTTACCAATCTCACAAATCTCGAAGCTTCTTGGCCCAGGCAAGGGCAACGATGTCGAGAAAGTACTGTTACAGCTACGGTCTGTGATAGATATTCCCGCTGGTGGGAGTCTCCCCGTCAATATCTATCACTCGTCAGTTCGTGACTATGTCTCAGACCCCTCGAACTGCAAGGTAACTCAGGTACAATCCATCACATCAACACACTCCCTACTCGCTCATTCCTCTCTCCGCCTCATGGTCCACAACATGACAGCAAGCACGGCCTTCTTGGATGCACTTTTAGAGTTACAGGAGCACAATCAAGCTATGCGAGCTGATGATCCCCAGAGCTTACAACAATCATTGGCCTTCATCGTCGAGCCACCGGAGCCGCTTCGTGTTCTTCAAGGTCTGCTATGGCTTGAGGGATGTCGTGGTTCGGGTTTGCGGTCCTGGCTTGAGGCTCTGGACGGGCATGCATGGCTACATACGCCAGGAGGAAAAAAGTGGTTACATACCCAGGAAGGCGAGGGCTGGCTGACCACCCGCAGGGGAGAGGATTGGCTGCAGACACGAGGGGGACAGGCATGGTTGCAGACAAAGAGTGGGCGAGGTTGGCTGCAGAGTGGGCAAGGGTGGCTGTGGACTCACAGACCGCTACACGTGGTTGAAGACCCCGACCACGAAAAATGGGCGGAGATCCAGATGGAAGACTGGCTGAAAACTCAGAGCGGACAAGACTGGCTGAAGACCCAGAAAGGGCAAGATTGGCTGCAGACTGGGAGCGGAAAAGAGTGGCTGCAGTCCCAGAGCGGGGAAGACTGGCTGGAGACTCGCAGCGGGGAAGACTGGCTGAATACTAGACACGGGCAAGACTGGCTTGAGACTGGGAGCGGGCGATGGTGGCTGGAGACCCAGAGTGGGGAAGAATGGCTGGAGACTTGGAACGGGCGAGAGTGGGTCGAGACAAAGAATGGACAAGTGTGGTTGCGTACCGAAGGTGGACGACGGGTGTGGCCGCGAACCTCGAGTGGGAGAGAGTGGCTAGGGACTAGCAGGGGGCGAGAGTGGCTGCAGACCTTGGACGGACACAAGTGGCTGGATGCCTCGCACGGACACGAGTGGCTGCACACCTCGCATGGACAACAATGGCTGCGTACTTTGTCCGGACACATGTGGCTGTATACCCCACGCGGACAAGAGTGGCTGCAGACCTCGCACGGACAGGAGTGGCTGCAGACCTCGGACATACGAGCGAATCCGGACAGCCTAGAGCGGATGCGTACCTTGCACAGACGACAGTTGCTGCAGACCTCAGATGGACAAGAGTGGCTGCAGACCTCAGACGGGCATGAGTGGCTGAAAACCTCGGACGGACAAGGGTGGCTGCTGCACACCGGACATGGCTGGCTGGACACCCAGGTTGGCCGAGAGTGGCTACGCACCCAGTATGGTCAGGAGTGGCTGCAGACCGAGCAAGGGCAATCGTGGTTGCTGACCAGCGACTTGCGAGAGTGGTTACAGACACAGAGCGGGTGTGAGTGGCTGCCGACCCAGAGTGGGCGCAAGTGGCTGAAGACACAGAATGGGCGCGAGTGGCTGCAGACCAGCGGCGTACGCAAGTGGCTAGTGACCAGCGGTGGGCGAGAGTGGCTAGGGACCAACGGTGGGCAAGAGTGGCTTCAGACCAGCGGCGTATGTGAGTGGCTAGAGACCAGCGGCGGGAGAGAGTGGCTTCAGACCAGCGGAGGGCGAGAGTGGCCTCAGACCAGCGGAGGGCGAGAGTGGCTTCAGACCAGCGGCGGGCGAGAGTGGCTGCAAACCCAGAGCGGCAGAGAATGGCTGCGGACTCCCCATGGTCAAGCATGGCAGTTGACTCCTTCGGCGTCTGTCTGGGTCACGATGGAAGATTTTTCGAGCACCTTGAAAGCAATCAGTAACTATGCCATCATACCAGACTCGGCTCTAGTTCCAGCTTTCAAAGCAATCCAGGAGTTCAGGAGCTTGCCAGATTTCTTGATGTTTCCGGTGTTCCTTGCGTTAAGACCTCAGGCGCATTCCATCTCTACACTCCTGGAGGGCCATCTTCTACCTGACATGGAGATCATTCATGCCATGACCGTGTTTGTGATTTTCGCAGACGAAGCACGGGAACGAAGACGATCAGCTTCCGACGGTTTCAAGTACGCATGCCAAAACTGGGCCTTCCATCTCGCGCGAGCTCCAAACCAATGGGACAAGTCACTTCACCACATATTCAAGGTGTTCTGGAATCGTTATCTCCTCTCTTGGCTCGAAGCGCAATGGTGTCTGAAGGGTTTGCAGTCTTGTCTCGGAGTTTTATCTGAAGGACAGCAACTTGCAAAAGTGTGTTTTTCCAATTGTGCTTTCCGCGAATTCACACCTGACTTGCGTGTATAGGAACATCTCTTCCAAGCTCCAGAATCGCCTCAGGGAAGGATCTGAGGCTGTGTATTCGATGGCTGGAAGTTCTTGTGATCACACAACGATCTCCTTTTTGTGTATTTATTGTGCTTGCGACATTCATGCGACATAGTTATATCTTTGTCTGGTGGCGGACGCAACTGCGTCTTTCCGAGTCAAATTTTTGTTCAAGCTGCTTCAACACGCATTCTCTCGTCGAGTTTAGGTTAACCCGTCTGACTTCGTGAGTCAGGCCGCTAAAGCACTCGAGCCTCAAGCTTCTGAAAAGGCCCATCCGACGACACCCACGACCTCCGACGAGCGTCTATCCCACACCCCACCTTGAAGTGCATAAGTCAGTCGGTGCCATCGGTATGGCGAGAATGTCCTTACCTCTTGAGTCCAATGCCGATCGGTGTGTAGCAAAACGTATCATGCTCGAGTCGGATGTCAACATCGCGGTCATGGCGAGCATGAGTGACATAAAGACCAGCAATGAGGAGCGGGTGATGTATAGTCAAAGTAAGATACAGGAGACCACGTAGTGAAGAAAACACCGCCTAGAGCGAGGATGAGGCTTGCCTTCGTCTGAGTATGTCAGCGTCGGCTAGAGCTCGCAGTGCGCGAAGAGTTTGATAGCTTACTGTGGTGCATATTGCTAGCCAGGATAGAGCACAACCTGCTCCTAACGGTTTTCGAACAGAAGTTCCTCTGATTGCAGCGACTTCCAATGATCATCAAGACCTGGGTGTTCCGGTGCCGAGAAGCAGAGTACCTTCCTTAAGAGAGACATGCGACAAAGGGCTTCGGGAAGGGTTGTTCGTCGGCAAGTACTCTTGGATCAGCAGTCACATAGCTTGAAAGGCAAGCGTAGTTCAGTAACACAGCAAGTTTTCAACGCGCACCTCAGTGGAATAGAGTGGGGTCATGGAGTGAAATAGAAGAGTACAAATGGAATAATGCACTTCCCATACTGGCATTCGAACAGGGAGATGCAACCCATTATAAAGGAACTGTGACACACTAGTCAACGCTGAATTCTCCTAACGCTTTGATTCCTGTGTATGTTATGTTGCACGTAGCAGAGTTTGAAGACCGTTAGCAAGCACTGAACGTATTAGGTTAAGGAATATGACGGATGTGCATCGAGGCACACCTCCACATACTTCTTAACTTGATACAGAATGTCCGTTTCGCGGCATAGAGGTTCCGGAGACGAGGCAAGGGCGAGCCGAATCAACGACGTGCAACTCTTTGCACAGTCGTCCTTCTTGCTCCTCTCCTTCACGCAAGAATATTTCCTCAGGAGCCAGCGTGCAGAACGCTTGCGTTCACCCGCGTGCTTTCTCCCTCGAACTCTTGGTTCTCCTTCCTGCTCTCTCCCGTATTGGGGAAAACAAGGTTAAGAAAAGGAGGAATGTCATTGATATGGATGTGCGTCGACAATATTTATTCATGTTTGTTTGCCTCGTTCAACCAACGCCGTGGGCCTATGTGGTGCGGTGACCTAAACCTATCTTCGTATTAAATCCCAGGCTCATTCCATTCATTTTCCTTCTTTGCTTTCACACTGCCCTATCTCTTATATAGCCAGACATTCTTCCTGAGCTAAGCTCGTCGGACATTATCTACCTTTCAGTGGCGCACTGCTGTGGCACTGCGATGCAAACGTGGGTAGATAGTATACAGTGCCACTCCAAGGCTTTTCCTTATCTTAGGTTTCCCCAAGTAGTACGTCCCTTTTTATCTGAGTATCAGAGGTTAACGTCCCTCCCATTAGCCACATGGTGTTCAAAAGTAGCTGGATAATTAGCCTCGAGCAAGCATGTACTTGATTTAACAGGCAGGGATACGAACACGACCATTTTGGCGACGATCTCGTCGGTATCACACTCAATCGGTGGTTCAAAGAGAGGAACATCGATTATCTGTGGGCTATTGTCACCGACTACCCGCGAGGGAGCCTGCAGCCAGTCATTGTGGCGCAGGGAAGATCCCAAGTCGACGGTGTCCTACTACTATCGTATCAGAGAGTTGGATGTAGACTGTGAAGTGAAGAAGCAGGTGAGTGACCTTGCAAAGTATATATAATAAACAGGGTAAAGACAAGCTTAGAACACAGCATGCACACTCGTAGGTTCCTATTCGCACGTTCACTACCGTCTTCCCTGAAATCCCAGCGAGGAAATGATAGCCTAGTGCTGTTTCAATGACCCACGATTACCGGCGTCTCTGACTCAATCATTTGTAAACCCGAACTTCACATAAATCGAATCTACCGACACAGACCGACACTCGGACTCATCAAGATTCGAGCTGCCAGTGGAGCACAAGATTTTCCACGTCTATCGCGAAACGAAAAAAACACCTATTGGTATTATTACAAGACGAGTGCGAAACACTGTTGAAAGGTTTCGAAAAACTCGGCCTCGCCCCGTGTCGTACCTGGTTTCATCTGTCCGTTCCGTCCGTCCTGTTCGTCCGCAGTGGGTATCTGGGTCCTTCAAGATAGTCACTACTAGTGTCCGTTTTGAAATTCCGTCAAGTACATAGTGCTAGGTGACCGCGACATACAAGATTTGTTCCGATCTGCGTTGTCCATACAAATTTCAAGGCCCACAATGATAATACAGAAAAACGCTGCTGACCTTATCAGCAGTACTAGTGTGATCCGTCCCAGTCATTGAATATTGATCATCGACGGCATCATGGCGCGAAGTGCGTTCGCAATATTAATGTGTTTGTAAATATTTGTGCCCACCAAAAACATCTGATCTGAGGCTGGGAGGCAGCGTCAGGCTTCATGAGGTCGTAGTTGGCTTAGCACGTGACACGGGAGGGCGCAGGTTGCAGGTTAGGTGTAGTAGCCTAAGTAGGCGGCGGGAGACTGCAGGTCGGGCATGGTGGGCAGTAATAGACGCGGGATGGCAGGGGTGCTTAATTAACCTTGTACACGAGCAGAAAATACCTTACCGAGCGGTGCCGGAGGTCTTAATCTCTTCTGTAAGTGAGGGTACCTTGTTTTCGGGAGCTTTGGGGAGTCGAAGTACTTCGGAAAGGTCATACATGTAGACCTTCATTGACCCCGCACCTCGTGGAATTAAGCTCTAGTGCATTTTGATTTCGGCACTTCCCGGGTTATCCGTCTATGTCCGGCTGTCAATTGACTGCGAAACACGATTAAATGCTGCGATGTTATTTGTTGGTCGAACTAGTAAGTGCTACCAGTGAACCTAATTTCTTGCTGTGCTCCCATTTGTTGTATATAAGATAAGTTGCATCTCCTTGTCAGTATGCATCTGTACTGTTTTCCTCAACATGACCTCGTTCTATTCTACTGAAGTACGCTTTCAAAACTTGGGAATCCTTACCGTATGACTGAACCTGGCCTTTACAGCTTTATGTGACTGCTAACCAAAGAGCACTTGCCGAAGAACAAAAACCTCTCCCCAAGGCCCTTCGTCGCACGTCCCTCTTGACAAGAGTACTCTGTTTTGTGGCGCTCGGACGCCCAAATCTTGAAGATCATTGGAAGTCGCTGCAATCAGAGCAAGCGTTTGAAACCGTTATGAGCAGGTCATGCTCTATCCTGGCCAGCACTATCACCACAGTAAGCTGTCCAACTCCGCGCGAGCTCAAGCCGACGCTGACATACTCCAAAAAAAGGCAAGCGTCCTCCTCGCTACAGGTGGTGTTTTCGTTAGTACGAGCTCTCCTGTGCCATACTTCGACTACACATCACCCGTTCCCTATTGTCTGCTCTTCATATCGCTCATGCTCGCTACGATTGCGATGTTGACATCCGGCTCAAGTATGATATGCTGGCTACACACCGATCGACACTGGACTCAAGAAGTAAGTTTTGGTCTCAGCTTTACCACCTACACCCGCTAACCTAGTATCAGCAAATTAAGCCAGGCGGCTACTTCGTCCTGTCGTACCTGTTGTCGATAGTCACCCCCATATTTTTCGTCGCCTGGTCCTTACATTGTTTCATATTTGGCGAGTTGCTCCGTCGTTTGGCGCTCTCTCTGGTTCTCTGATGAATTCCACCCCCAGCGATGCTGATAGCAGGCTTTTGTTCCCAAAGCACGATCTACCGCGTAGTCACTGCACTCTGGCTTGTTACGTACGTCGTCAATACTGGAACGATATTGATGCAATCTATGTGGAAGTATACGGCTCAATCACGCTAGATATCACCAGTAATTTACACCTTCCACTTTGCTCCTTCTTCTTGTTTTACCAGTGGTTCGTTTATGTTAAATATAACCTCCCTGATGTGGCACACTCATGTGCCAAAAATGTAGATGAGTATATAGCCTGTGGCTTTTTTCAGTTTTATCATATTTCCACAATGCCTTGCGCCGTATCGAATCATATCAGTGTGAAAGCATATGGAAAATTATGGCGCTTGATCCGTTCGACTATGACGTGCACGCAACACACTCACACACAGACGGGTCGGCCCATCTGGAAAATGCTTTTTGTATGATACCGCAGGACTTGCTTATCAGGATGCATTTGAAACTTGTGAACTTTGGCGTGACTTCCTGTCACTGCGCGACGACACAGCGCTCGAGCTCGTTGCCCAGCTCAAATACTCGCCCAATCCTTCACCCCTTTCCCTGTTTTTTTTTTTACTCCAACATCTAAACACGTTATGTGAATACTGCAATCCCTCAACTTTTGTACTACTGTCTCGAAAGAAGCCCAGCCACTATTCATTCCTCAATATAAATTAACAAATGCGCTACATATCATCTTTCAACCCAATTATGCCTCTGGTGACCTTGGTAAACAAGGTAAAGACAAGCTTAGAACATTCGTCGGTTCCTATTCGCGCGTTCATAACCGCCCTTGCCCGAATTCGAAATCCCAAAGGTGCTGTTTCAATGACCCTGAAGACCGGCATTTCTGACCCAATCATGTGCAAACCCAATCTTCGCATACATCGAATCTACCGACACAGACCGACACTCGGACATCGAGATTTGACTTGGAGCACAAGATTTTCCACTTCCATCGCATCCGGGTCGTGTACGTAACAGAACAAGTATCGCACCACCCTCCCATAAGCGCATCCTACGCCTCATGTCCCGGGCGCGGTGTGGAAATGGCAGGGATCAACCAGATTAGCGCAAAAGTGAGCGGTACGACCGTGCGCCTCGCCCCGGGGTCTTTCAACAAGGGGATCTAGTACATCAATCTTACATCGGGCACGGACTTGGGCGAGAAGTACCACATCACGCACCCGGTGGCTAATGTGAATGGGATCTTGAGGGGGAGCTTTTATATCACTGTTGGGGATAGTACGATCGTTACTTGTGTGTGTGCGAAGGGGGTGTTGTATCGGGCTGTGATTGAGTATAAAGAAGAGGTGCGTTTCTCTCCCCAGCAATAGGGGGATGGGTGCTGACGATGGGACAAGTCATGGCTAGGCTGCGCACACTTTTTAGTCGAGGGGGCGATACACACATACGACGAAAGATCCACAGAATACGAGGAATGGACGAAAGTGAAATACGTCCCCGCTGCTGGGGTCGTAGCTGTTTTTGATGAATGTTGGCGGAATCATATACGGTGGTGGCGGACTGCTGCATCGCCCCCTGGTCCATCCACATCCGCATCCGCAGCATCATCTTCTTCCACGCCGAGTTTTCTGCCCCTTTGTTGTCAGAAACGGAATACGCGACGCTCGTAGATTTCTCGACGTTATTCGTCGTCCTGAAGAAGGTTCTTCCGCCAGAGAAGCAACTTCCGAATGAGAGTCGGAAGTTATGGGATGCTGTGACGACGAGGCTGCTTCCGCAAGAGTATAGGGAGGGTACGAAAGCGAAACTTGCGCAGAAGCAGAAGGATGAGGCGGGTGAGATGAAGAGGAGGGATGTTCAGTGAGTTTTCTTTCCTCGCAGTCTTCTTTGGTACTGGATTAACCGCTAACGGACTCGAACACACGTTTATACCCCAGTATTTTGAACAAGATATCAGTTCTGGAATTCCAGTTCTTACAGCTGCAGGCCGGAAAGCTGTGGAAGACTCGAGCTCGAGGAGTGTTCTGATGCTTGGCCATCGTCCCCATAGAATCGAGTCGACGCTGCTTGACCTATGTGTGGTTTGGAGTACCCACGTGTCATGTGTAGAAGATTTGGATAGAGGTGGGGACCGATAGGTGCGGGCCACGATATCATGCAATGGATGGTTAATGCTTTTTGGAGCGTTTTATGCTTTTGCTTTCTTCTTAGTATCTGATGATTTTTGTTCATTAATTTTTTGACGCAGTTCATGGACTTTTATGATGAGCGCTGCGAGGGTGGTTGTCCATGCTCGATTTTCTCGGTGTGGTGGTCGGCATTTTATTGATCCAGTGAGCATTGGCACCCTCAACTCATCACTCGGGATCTGGGAGAAATCGTCTCGCGCGCGCTCCCCAAAGCTGCAACTTGAACGCCACATAACATAAGCTTATATTGAGCTCGGAACTTGTCGTCCCACCATCTCTGTTCCAAACTATGATATAGCTGTTCCCTTGCTCCATCTCTTACAGCATGGTGAGTCCTCCTGTGACTTCACCATTAATTCTTCTTCGACTTAGTTCTGGTGGCAGTGATACAAGGCGCCCTGCCATGGAGGTGAGTCATGTTATCAAATCCAAAAAAACTACTGATGCTCACGCAACCCGGTGTAGGGCACTGCTTGCATGCTCCTTGAGTATAGCACCACGTAGGACATTTCTTTTGGGGGTCGATCTGGGGCGTGGCAGAGATTGGTGATGCTAACTTGGCACCAACGATAGCGAGTACAAGGATTGCAGAGGTGAAACGCATTGTCTGTGACTTGTGTGATGATCCTGATTCTGATTCTGATGCTGAAGAAGATGGTACGAACACGGCTGGCTTTTATGTGCTGAATATTGTTCTTTGAAATTCTTCTTGCGCATATGGTTGTGCCTAAAGTTCCATTGGTAATTTGGTGTGGAACTAATCATCCTAATTACATCCAAACTGTGGGGGGGACGGCGGCGACCGTTTTCCTGATGAACTCGGAACATTCGCGTTTTCTAATCAGCTGTCGGCTCGGTACTAAATGCACTCAACATCTCGGAGTCATCTCCCTATGAGTTGAAATCCTTATTACATGGTTACACAACGGTTATGGCAGCTGTACATTATGTAACCATTGGTATTTTGAGCAAAATGTGAAATTTAGTGGACAAAAATACGACAGAGTATATGAGAACGAGATACTAAACTGGAGCGCAAGAATATATCAGGGTCATTGCTAAAAGAGGATCGCAGATCAACTTGTGAATATGTACAAGACGGCAGTAATACGAGGTAGAACTACACCGATATGAATAACATCATCGACACAACGTGCCAAGGACGCTCTTAAACCCCGAAAACTGGAGATCAGCTGCGAGATCAATATCGATCATCGGGCGTCTTCTTATCACCAAAGGCGGTACGACATGCTGACAAGAACATGAACGCTGCGTTTCTCATGATGAAATGGGAATTGTAAGGCTACGCAGGGTCCTGCTTGCCATGACACGCCATGTACACCCAGGTCTTCTCTTGGAAAGCTTGAAGCCTGAGTGCACCTGTTCGTGTGGCAGCCCTCAGAGACGGCGGACGAGATAGGTAGCACGAAGGCAGAGAAAGAGCCGGCGTGGCAGCGAGAGAGATAGCGAGTGATGACAGAGACGGGCCCTGATGACAGAACTGATGACGGCACAGGATAATCAGCGGATGATATAAAACAACGGGCAGACCTCAAATGGGCGGCTGACGCGTAAAAGTCAACCCTATCGTACTAGTAGTGTTATTGGCAAAACTGGTTGTGCCTGGTCCTCGGCAGAACTCACGCGACAGGGGGGTGGCAAAACTTGGTAAAACTCCAGGGTGTCTGAGACTCGTGGAGATGTAATTTAGATCTCTGATAACATAGTTTGAATTCAAGAGAACATGCAAAACGACATCCCTAAGGTAAGATGGTGCATGCTGGAGGGCGCCCCCTTGCATCACCGATCAACGACAATTTCGAGCGCCTGGAACGAGTTGACAACAGCTCGCATCGTTACTACTGGAAATGCAAACATTGCGGCGACACTGATAACTCATCAGGCGCTCGAATCCAAGATCGTGACAACAACCTACCGAACCGTCTTATCAAGCGCTATCAAAATGCAACTGCTCCTCTGCGCCAAGCAGCGCGCGCGTTTGTTATGGCAAAGACAGGCAACTCCGGCGCTGCTGTGTCATTCCCATCAAGAAACGCAAAGCTTCAAACCTGGATGGATGTATTGATCAACCCTTGAGTAAAGAACAAAATAGCCTAGTAAATGCACAGAGTACCTCGCGTGATGATATTGCTGCTGAATTTGCAGCTTTCGAAGAGTTGAAAAGGACTGAAGAAGTTCAGAGCATTAACGAAGTTGAAGTGCTCGAGGGAAATGCTTTTGATTTTGACGGATTGGACAAGGAATAATACCAGACTGTTCTAGATGAGGTTGAGGTGGTTAATTACAATGGCGAGGGTGACGGCTGGGACGAAGCAACATTGATGTCATCATTAGGAATGTCGTACACATAATCTACATAACGGTGGGGCCCGGGGTACGGGTGGGTATTCCGGCGGCAAACAGTGTCAATATCGATGTTACAGCCACTTGCAGAACGCTAGACCAAAACGCAAAAACTACATGTCCTTTCAAACCGAGCGGCAGCAGGCTGCTGAATCAGTACTTGAGACATACTAATCATGACGCACGGCTTCTTCGTATCACAGGGTCGTTTCGTCCGCGTCAGTAACATTTTCTTTGTCGGAGTCCAACTTGAAGTCAGTGGCTAGCGCGGGAGTGGCCTAGATCTTCTTGCGGGCCTTCGGAATAACAGATTTTGCAGCTGAGGCCGACGACTAAGTCGCGTCGTACAGTTGAACACACGTGATGTGCGTGTTTCAAAGTCCGACTAGCCTTGCCGAATGTTGTCGCTTGACCAGCCGAAATCCATCCCAAATCCACCAAAGCTGATTTCTTTTTCAAAACGCACGTCCAAATCAGCCGGAGTCTGGCCATTGAACTCCCCTTTTTAAGATTTAAAATAGATTCGTACCTCAGGCTTTCAATCTTTGCAACAATCCCAGCCTCGCACCCCGTGCACCTCGTCCTAGCTCAGCATCACTCCTTCTGAGCATCGTCCACCCGTTCTTGCCAGCGATCGTCTTCTGTGGTCCACTCCTGTTGGTCAGGTTTGGCAATCTGCCTTGGATGATGGGACAAGTCATGACTAGGCCGCGCACACTTTTTAGTCGAGGGGGCGATACACACATACGACGAAAGATCCACAGAATACGAGGAATGGACGAAAGTGAAATACGTCCCCACTGCTGGGGTCGTAGCTGTTTTTGATGGATGTTGGCGGAATCATATACGGTGGTGGCGGACTGCTGCATCGCCCCCTGGTCCATCCACATCCGCATCCGCAGCATCATCTTCTTCCACGCCGAGTTTTCTGCCCCTTTGTTGTCAGAAACGGAATACGCGACGCTCGTAGATTTCTCGACGTTATTCGTCGTCCTGAAGAAGGTTCTTCCGCCAGAGAAGCAACTTCCGAATGAGAGTCGGAAGTTATGGGATGCTGTGACGACGAGGCTGCTTCCGCAAGAGTATAGGGAGGGTACGAAAGCGAAACTTGCGCAGAAGCAGAGGGATGAGGCGGGTGAGATGAAGAGGAGGGATGTTCAGTGAGTTTTCTTTCCTCGCAGTCTTCTTTGGTACTGGATTAACCGCTAACGGACTCGAACACACGTTTATACCCCAGTATTTTGAACAAGATATCAGTTCTGGAATTCCAGTTCTTACAGCTGCAGGCCGGAAAGCTGTGGAAGAGGCGCTTAGGGATCGTTCTAATGGTTGGCCAACGTCCTCATAGAATCGAGTCGGCGCTGCTTGACCTAGGCGCGGTTTGGACTACACGTGTCATGTGTAGAAGCTTTGGATAGAGGTAGGGGACCGATCTGGGCTTAATTGAACGTTGTAGAGGGCTAGGTGCGGGCCACGATATCATGCAATGGATGGTTAAAGTTTTTTGGAGCGTTTTATGCTTTTTATGCTTTTGCTCTCTTCTCCAAGTGTACCTGATGATTTTTGTTCATTAATAATTTTTTGATGCAATTCATGGACTTTCATGATGGGTGCTGCGAGGTGGTCGTCCATGCTCGATTTTCTCGGTGTGGTGGTCGGCATTTTATTGATCCAGTGAGCATTGGCACCCTCAACTCATCACTCGGGATCTGGGAGAGATCGTCTCGCGCGCGCTCCCCCAAAGCTGCAACTTGAACGCCATATAACATAAGCTTATATTGAGCTCGGAACTTGTCGTCCATCCACGTGCCAGGATCCACCATCTCTGCTCCAAACTATGATATAGCTATTCCCTTGCTCCATCTCTTACAGCATGGTCACCAGTACTCCTGTGGATCCCATTAATCACCCGGGTCTTGGCGGCAGTGATAAATGCCATTCTGCCATGGAGGTGAGTGATGTTATCAAATTCAGGAAAACTACCGATGCTCAGGCAAAACGGATCAAAGCACTGCTTGCATGCTGATTGAGTATAGCACCGCGTAGGACATTTTTTAGTCGGGTCGATCTGGGGCGTGGCAGAGATTGGTGATGCTAACTTGGCAGTAACGACAGCGAATGCAATTGCAGAGGTGAAACGCATTGTCTATGACCCGTGTGAGATAGGATCGGATAATTCTGAAGAAGATAGTACGAACACGGCTGACTTTTGTATGCTGAATATTGTTTGTTGGGCATATGGTTGTGCCGTTCTATTGGCAGGAACTAATCATCCTGAAACTATGGGTTGGGGCGGCGGCGGCAATATTCGCGTTTCTAACTGAATCAGGGTCGCCGCCGTCCCCCCCACAGTTTGGATGTAATTAGGATGATTAGTTCCACACCAAATTACCAATGGAACTTTAGGCACAACCATATGCGCAAGAAGAATTTCAAAGAACAATATTCAGCACATAAAAGCCAGCCGTGTTCGTACCATCTTCTTCAGAATCAGAATCAGAATCAAATCAATCATCACACAAGTCACAGACAATGCGTTTCACCTCTGCAATCCTTGTACTCGCTATCGTTGGTGCCAAGTTAGCATCACCAATCTCTGCCACGCCCCAGATCGACCCCCAAAAGAAATGTCCTACGTGGTGCTATACTCAAGGAGCATGCAAGCAGTGCCCTACACCGGGTTGCGTGAGCATCAGTAGTTTTTTTGGATTTGATAACATGACTCACCTCCATGGCAGGGCGCCTTGTATCACTGCCACCAGAACTAAGTCGAAGAAGAATTAATGGTGAAGTCACAGGAGGACTCACCATGCTGTAAGAGATGGAGCAAGGGAACAGCTATATCATAGTTTGGAACAGAGATGGTGGGACGACAAGTTCCGAGCTCAATATAAGCTTATGTTATGTGGCGTTCAAGTTGCAGCTTTGGGGGAGCGCGCGCGAGACGATTTCTCCCAGATCCCGAGTGATTATGGTGGGCCAAATGCACCATAAATAAATCACGTGCACGCGCAACTTTCGCGCGCGCGCACCCAAATCGCGCGCACGCACGCAGACACTTCATGTAACGCAGCGGTGTATTAGTAGTTCAATGTAGAGTCAAATATGAAATAAGTGCTTGGGTAAAGACAGTCTAGAGGATTAAGTGTCAAGTCAAATTAACTGCTTGTATGTAGAGTCAGTAATATAAACGAAAAAAAGTCGATACTGTCATTTCCTATCCCAGGGATTGGCCTTTGGTTTGACGAGCATCCTGAATGCTGATCAAGATGATGCGAGTCGGGGGACATTACTCAGTGCCTGCAGATTCCGTGGACGGCCGAAACCAAGATCCCTAGGCCCATGTGCTGCATGAGTCGAAGAAACTGAGGTGGAAGCACTGGCAGTAGTACTAGAAGTTGTCGAGGTACTGCTGGACTCAGATGCGGAGGGTACTAGCATATATTCTTCAGGAGTACCAAAGTCACTGTAGTATTCGTCCGCTGGCGTGATACTGGCAAGCAGTGTGCTTGATTCTGAGTCACCATCCAGTGGCATGTTCAAGGTTGGTTTGTCTTCGGCTGGCAGGATCTCGTTCGAACCAACATCTTCCAACATCTCAAGCTCTGATTCCAGCCGTGTCACATCAATCTGTGCCACACTGCTCCTCTCATCGCCATCCGAATTCTCCGAAGTGGACTTTGCGGCAGGAACATCTAACATGACTGCAGGTGCCGCTGAGGTTGGTGATAATTTAATGCCGTGGAAAAAAATAATAACGGACGGGACTTACATTCTATACCAGTGCCTGCCAGTGTAGTACTTCTCGAATCCGACCCTGCGAACTCCATCTGACGGTCGGAAGCAACTTCAAAATAGGTAGTAAGAATGCAGAATAATAAATGGAGAAGTTGTCACATACATCAGGGAAATTGGTGATTCCTAATTTGACACAATATCACCCAATTCTCGCAGATTGTCGAGGATTCGATACATTCGATTGATATGACTGATTTTTTTAGTCCCCCTCCCAATTGTAGACAATTCACCCCAATTACTACCAATACCAAAGCATAAATCTCACATTAGATCCAATTCAAACATCGCGAAAACAATCAAATTCAGGTGAATCCTAGTCAATTTTACTACTAGCGCTCATCACCTACTACTCCTCCAACTCTGGCATTGCATCGATGTCAAGGAACATCAATGCCTCGTCCGTCTCCAGATCGCACACCACATTGGCCTTGGAGCCACTGCAATACACGGTCAGTAAAATAGCGAGAAAATTAATCGAACGAGCACATACTAGACGGGATGAACTGCATCAGCGTCGGGTAAGCAAGTCAAAAGGCAAGATCACAAACTTCCTGAGAGCGGGACGCAACCGCGGCACCATCAGCATCAGTAAGCAGGTCAAATGACAAGATCACATACATCCTGAGAGTAGGACACCGTTGTGGCACCATCAGCATCCGGTAACTAGGTCAAAAGACGAGAAGACGGCAGATGCTTCATCTGTGGAACTTGGAGACAGGTATTGTGTTGAAGAAGATGGAGGGCATAGCAGCAGCGTGCCGAGAATTGAGATTGGCTGTATCGCGAGATGGGCAATTCATAGCAATAGAGATGGAGAGGTCATTGTCTGGCACGAAGAAACTAGCGAATCACTCACGCAACCCATCAAAGCCTATGAAAAGTCGTAAGGATTTTTCAACCGTAAGTCTGTACCCTAGGGCTAGCTGCCATCGCAAATATGATAGAGATGATGATAAGAGAACTGATCGATCGATTCGATTTGCAAAAAAAAAACAGATACAAATCCGGAAAATGCCGTGAACTTTCGGAACTCACCAAGTTCAACCTGGCAACATTCCAGCAGTACATACTAATGGACTGGAATTCATCAATGAAAGTAGCGAGCTCCCGGCCAAACTCGTCATAGTAGGTCGTGTATCCGTCTATCGCCTCAAATGTGGACCTGCAGAAAATCATATTGCCGATGGCACGAGCCCTCTAGAAAAAGGCAACCTTATTCAACCCATCCACGCCTTGAAGTTAATACCGCTCTCAACGGTTCCATCGTGGAGATTGAGACTGACTTGAACGCGAGTGGTTCGAAAGCCTAAAAAGAGGGACAGTGCCTTCTACTGCACTCATAATTATACTTGTATCTCGAAGCGTGTCTTATTTCCTATTTTTTCTAGGACTGTAGTACTAGTGTTCGACAGCTGTCATCCTGTATCTAAAATTTTTCTCCGATGCATTTGAATTCTTTTTTTCGATGCGCACATTGGCTCAAACTGTCGAATATTTGGGTCTTTTTGGCACGCATTTTGAGAAAATGGTAAAGGATTTTCTATGTTTGATACAATCTGCTCTAATTGTCCCCAATACGAAAAGGGGGTTTTTCCTGATGTACCTCGGTGGCACTTTCTTTGCGGCGCTTTGGTCCTTTCACCTTTACGGCCATGATCTTCCACCAGTTCAACATCAGAATCCGAGTCAGAATCAAGGAAAGTCGCAAACAGCTTGGCACCACTGGATCGAGTTCGTTTTTTAAGATTAGGAGAGTCTGAGCATCAGAAGAATAGTGAGAATGCATGGGCAAGAAGAGTTAATTAAGGTGCGAAACCTTTTCCTTTGGGAGCACCGACACCTCATTCTCGGACTCGTCCATATCATTGCTTCCAACAGTGCCTATGTCCTCCGCCTCCGCAACTTCGTTCATCGAATCATCAAAAGAATCTGGGTCCACTTCAAGCATGGTACCTGGACAATGGGTTACACATATACAACATGCCCGGGTAAGTCTCTATCAGGATTCAGGACTCACCGAAATAAATGAACTGATCAGTCCACTTTCGTCCAGCAGGATGACGAGTCTTTAAAACTTCGCTGCCTGTAAGTCCCTCCTGACTGCTCTTGACCATATTCTTGCCACTTTTGACAATTAAATACCAGCGAAACCCATCTGCACCTGCCAGTGTCAAGTTCGAATTATTCCTGCCATCATCATCATGGTTTTCGAGGTAATCGAAGAGACGAGGGAAGAGAGTGCGCAGATATCTGTCAATGTCACTCTTTGTCATGCCTGGTGCAATCTGCAGATTGTCGCCATCGGGTCCCTTGGATACAGCAAGCTTGAGCCTTCGCAGTTCTTCAATCTTGGCCATGTCAGGTGCAACCTTTCGTTTCATACAACCCTTTCTATTCTGACCGAAAATGCTTCACATCAGTGCCGGTTTTCCTTGAGGCAAATAATCAGGTACTCACAACTCCAACAGTCACCATCACGATTGATCCAACACCCATCTTTCGGAGGTTTGCTGCAGTTGTCTTCTATACACGAATTTGATTAATGATTGATTCAGAGCAGCATTGATACATGCTGAGGGGGTCTTACTACCTTGATGACATCCTTACTACCACCGGAGCGCACCCCAACCTTTGCTGTGCGGCTCATTGAAGCAGGCATGGCTAGATCTTGCTTTCGGAACCCCAGATTTGTCTCTCGACGGGCAATGTCTTCTGACGCACCCGTTTTTGACAGCAGGTGAGAATATTTCGACATGATTGAACCAAAGCTGGAAGATGTTGTTGGTGGCTGTTGCAGAATGGCTTCCTGCGGATGTGATGTGTCATAATGACCACAGTTTACACATATCGCAGGCTCGTCGTCCTTCTGGTCCTTCCTAAGCTTAGGGCGGAGCCATGGACACAGTGAGCCATCATTGGTTTTGCCTCGGCATGTTTGTTCATCAGCTGGAAGCATGGTGCTGGCAACGGGAAGTTCGGGAAGTGACAAGGTGGTGGTTTTGCATCAGCCGAAATTGATTTTTAACTATTCCATCAGCCACTTTATTTCATACACATTTTTGATGATATTCAATAAGACTATCATAATTCTAGCAAGTAATGTAACACTGAAAGACCTTGTGCCCAAATGAGAGCCTGTGGCATCCATATTTTGGGTGGGAGGCTCATCAATAAAGTCTTTGTCTTTCGAAAACCAACTGATATATCCTTGTGAGTTTCATATGTATCAATAGCCCACTCTGAGGCAGTGAAAAATGAGTTATCGGGCTTCAAACCTGCAGACTGCACATCAGCAAGGGCTTGGCAAAAGATGGCCTCTACTTCAGGAGAGGGAAATGGATTTGAGTGATCAGGGACAGGGACTGGCTGGTCATGAAGGTTTGATTGCATGTCAGCGGCAATCTCTTCCTGTAATGCAGTTCGAGAATTGTCAGTGTCTTTTCCCAAGTCATCAATGTGAGAAAGTGGTGGACCACCAGTACCATAGTATCGGGTGAGTATATCAGGGTGCACATCATGAAGTGGATCAGTGATATAAACTCCATTCTCAACTCTGGAGAGAAAATGCATGTCCTGTGAGATAAGCGATGGAGAGTCAGCAGAAAAAAATGAATAAAAGATTCCTCTACTTACTAGTGGAGATTGGTGGTTTGTTGTTGGACCGGAGATTGGATGATGATTCCATTCCTCCATAAATATTTCACAATCTATGTTGACCAGATCAAGGGAAAGAAATTGCAGGAGCCACAAGTGGTGGGGATTCTTGCGATTCAGGCCATGAAGTTGTTCGAGGCGTGTGAAGAATGCCTTCCATCGTTGGGCAAACTGACGGCCAACCTCCACCCAAAGGCGTTCAATTTGGGTGTTATGTGTTGAGCTATTTGAATCATAAGTATCATGTCTGACTTCCACTAGCTTACTAGTATCACTCATGATCCCCATAAAAATGAACCTCTGTTTGGACCACAGTGCATCACCATCCAAACAGACACCTCAATGTTTTCACCTCCTCGATCCCCTCTCATCCGAAGAGGGACTCCATATGTTTCTATTGTTTGGAGAAAGATGGTGAGGACTGTCGAGGCACGATTGTTGTTACTTGCTCAAAGCACTACAATCTGAATTTGAGATCAGCAAGTTTATTAAATTGTTGATCATTGTAAAAGTAACTTTCCGTTCGACAGTAACCATCTATGAGTCCATGGATGACAATCCCCCAGAGGATAAGTTTGTGATGCCCATCCAAATGCCAGAGATGGTTGGACCGTTGTCTTCTTACTTGAGGGTCTTATATGTTGATCAGAATACAATGACTATCACAATTGTATTCTTTAAGACTAAGGTGCCAGCTCCTCAAGTTCATGGTCAACGGATTTTCTACTTCTCGGTTGATAACGTGGTGTTCGTGGGTGGCCAAAGGGTAATAAATTACTTCTTTGCTAGATCACTTCTTGATAGTAAAGGAGTATATATATATTTTTGTCAGGTTAACTGAAACCTAGTAGGTAATATGGACCTCTCTGAACTGAATGTGGCACGAATACGTAAAACGATGGATAAAACGATAGATTATTGTATAGGCGATCCCTGTAAGATAGTATACAATCAATCTAGACTAAAAGAATACGATTGTTTTCAAAGGCAACTCGTAGGCCTTCACTTTCTTTGTGATCTCACAGTGTTGAGACAGAAAGTGGGAAAACTCCTGACTTCAAATTCCTACGTTCCCACACGGTTTGGGAAAAGAATGGAAGGGGAAAAAACTTATATATTATGTGAGAATGGAGTCCTTATATACATTTTAGAAACCATCCTTACTAAGCAATGAGTCATCACTGGATTGGTAAGATTATGCTTACAAACCAAGCCTTTTGGTGTGCTGAATCAGCTGCTTACTAAAGTACATGAGTAAAATATTACAAAGCATGATGAGTCATGGAAAGTCCTTACAAATCAGAATATTACCAGTCACATGACATGCTTACAAACATATCTGAGTGGCTCACTGATGTAATTAAGTGGCTGAATAAACATGAACAAATATGGAAAGAGACAGAAACTACAAATACAACTAAATAAATAGAAACAAAGCTTATGTAAGTAAGAAGTATATCCTTTGTACACTCCTCTACTTATCTCCTTTTATACTGCTATTCGTATATGTCATGGTATGAACTCCATACTATGCATGACACCGTGGCACAGCATATTTCCGTCGTGCAATCACTTTGCGTTGCCGCAACATCTGACCAATCATGTCGACTCTATGCATCAAGCTTCTCATTCGATGCCGTGGAACACGAACACTATGGGCTCTCAAAAAGCCGACTAGGTAACGAAGGCCAGAATCTGGTTTATATATCTTGAAGGTCTTAACAAGGATATCAAGATTGGCATTGGAGATTGCTGAGAATCACTGATACACATTATGCTTTTTTAGATAACGTCAAAGAGTGTTCCGATGCATGCCCAAAGCGGCCGCCAAGCGCTTGAAGGTAATTTTTTGGTGAGGAGAGAGAGCATCTTCAAGCCAGTAACTGTCAATAACTTTGCAAGGACATCCACATGTCTGATGAGGTGGTATTTCTGTACTGACAGGGTTGACCTTTGCATATCTAGAATTCGTGCTAGATGAAAAGTTCGTCAGATTGCTTTCGGACTAGAAAGATCGTGACTGACATGTCTCCAGCAACTTCTGATGCCTGCCTCAGCTCGACTACTGTTGTAGCCAGTGCCCGAGCACATTCATCTGTCCATATGGCATCCTGAATTTCCAAGTCCAATGCTTCGAGCACAGGGAGTGAGTCATTCAAAATCTTCTCAATTATGGTCTGTAGTTGGAGTGGGTCGTGGTCCTCCTGTTGAAGAACTCAGGTAGCATGATTGTAAGTATCAGAAATTATTCCATGTGCTTTTCTGGTGTCATGAGACCAATGTTGTTGTGCAGGTAGTTCTGGGAATTGTAGAGGACGGCCTTCAAGTTTTGACATGATACTAGTAGTACAGCTGAGCTGCTCGACTCACCCAAGAAAATTTCCAAGTCAATTTACTGTGACACGTAAACGGTCAGTGGCACTTCAACCATGTGCCCATTTTCATGTTCCTGACTCAGACTCCATCCATTGATGCCAGGTTTCTAACCTAGCAGTACTGCTACCTAGACAATGAATTCTAGGGCTTGTGAAGCGATACTACAAAGGTACATGCTGCTTTGCTTGTCATCTGAGTCAAATGTACTGACTGCCAGTGGTACCACAAAAATAGATCAACAATTCCTCAACACTCGGCAGCTCATTACTACAGTAATGAATTTGTTGTTCTACAAGTAAGCTTAACATGTGCCATTGAACCTCAGGCTTGTCCTACTAACTGCACGGTGTTGGTTGTTGCTAGGTTCAGTCACAGCTCTATCATATTCCAGCTGACATTCTCGCACGACGGCCTAATGTCTTCGCAAATCTATTTTCATTGCCTCGCACTGGGATCCGTCAGGACGAGGGCCGTTCAGACAAATCCCTGATCATACTGGATGGACATTCCAGTGTAGATTTTGATTGTCTTCTTGATCACCTTTTCAGAAGGTGTGTTATTTGCTAGCCTCTATCTTACTACTAATTGCTTATAAAAATTCAAGGATTCAAGCTGATACAGATGAACTTAGTCCTGCGAACACCGAATCTGTTCCCTTTCTGATCTCGCTCCTTCAAATGGGTGCCATCTTCGACATTGGAGTTGCAAAGTCTCATGCAATCCATCACCTCGAAACCCATCCAGATCTTGAATTGACAATGAAACTCCAGTTTTGCCACCGGTTCAGAATCATTACGTGGCTTTCTCCAACATTCAGGCCCTGGTATCCCAAACCCATCGAAATCTCGATCCTTC